CTGGTGGGTATGCGCCAAATTTCGAGGATCGATGCCGCAAGCATACGAGATCCATGGATAAAAGAAGATTGTATTTATTGCTGTGATGCTGCCATAGTAGGCAAAGTGCACACACAGGGTGCGATTCATTTCTCGCACTGAGCGAAAAGCAGAGGGATCAATGGCGGCAGGTTTCAAGTGGTCAGGAAGGGAGATCTTCCAGGTCTCCAATTGCTGGCTTAGCTCGGCCATTCGTTCCATAATGACTGGCGGAGATTGTCGAAAGCCGGACACGGAAAGAAGCTGTCGGCAGATTTGTGCTGAGATGCGAGCATGATGCACCATCGCCGTCATAAACGAGAGATCGATCGTACTGCCAGCGACAACAGTCGTTGGAATCTGACAGCTGATGTTGTCTTCATCAATCGTCTAGCATTGTGTGCTATATCAGTGCAAGGTCCGTAAGAAAAGGGGGTTGGGTTCCCGATGGACGCACGGATGGACGACCGGAACGGTGAGTGACTTGTCTTTCATGAATGTAAATCGCCCACCACAGCCACTTGCGATGAAGGGCCTCATCCTGTGAGAGTCCCCAACTACTTGGTGGTTCTCGGTGTAGACCTTTCGTCTGCGCCAATCGTACGGCGCTGGCACACATGACCGACTCGAGAGCCGCGTTTCCGGCACCTTCAACATGAAGATTCTGGATATCACCAGTGGTCAGACGTGAAGATGGTACACGCTTTTCCTGCAGACGACACGACCCACCATTGCCGCCAGAGCGCGAACAGCAGTAAGTCCGGAGGGGGTGTAAAGCAAGTCGACGTAGACGGAAAGGGCATTCTCGAAATACACCCAGGACTGTCGTTGTGCATCGGACCAGTTGGACGATTTCTGCTTGGCCAGATACGTCCTGCAGCCAGTGGCATACACGACATTCCTCAAAGCATGCCACGTTGGGCAATTAATGCCACGGGAATTCAAGTGGTCGTGGAGCCGCGCTTCGAACTCGGGACGGTATACGACACCATAGAGGGCCTCGAGAGAGTCTTCGAAATAAGCTGCAAAGGTTAGGTCCAGGCACACCACAACGCGAGAGAGGAACGGTAGGAACCCTTGGTATACAGCCACGCTGTCTGAGCGTCGGGTTCTGACGAGTCGTCTCGATGTTGAAGCCCGGCGAATTTCAGACGTTGAGACCAACTCAACGTGAGGTCCTTGGCGCACTCGGCAAGCGCATTGGTCCCTGATCGTTCCGCAACCCATTTCAATCCCGGCGGAGAGCAAATGGTGATCCAGGAACTCGGGCCTGCAAAATCAATTAGGGTCCTGGCAAAAGGCAGAAACCAAAAGCACCAGAGCTGACCCATGTGTTCCCAATTGGCCTGTTTTGGTTAGATCAGTTCCCCCACGATGCTAATTCGGATGATTGATTTCGTAACCTACCTTATGTGGAGCGATGGTAATCTGTTCCTGAACATTCACCGAGTCCTGAACAGCCTGTTGGTCTATGGACCAGTTTGAATGAGACTCGGAAAACAGGAGTGTGGTCGGACTCTGGGAAGCCTGGACGACTTCAAAATCAGAACCTGGGGTCTGGTGATTGTGGTTCCCGCGTTCACAGGAGGGGCAGGAATGGTGGAAAGGAATGATGAAAATGGCGCTCACCTGCCAGGGATGGACGGCCACCCGTTGAGAACACGTTGCATCGGCCGAAAGATTTTCATTCCCTTCCGGCGCTCCATCCAGTGCCACAATCGACGACAAGGCTGCTGGTGGATTGGTTCGGGCAACAGACGCTGGGTCAGGTCCCAGATGTACCCCAGCATTGGATGATGCAGAGTCTTGCCGGGACTGTATTAGAGTCTCCATTCGCGCCATTCGACTTTCCAGCATGGCTGTGCGGTCATTGTCGGCGTGTTTTTTCGGACGGCGAGCGGGGAGGACGAAGCATTGTTTTCTGAGACTCTGGGTCAAGGAAGAACCAGCCGCCTGCATATCTGGATCGGAGGTCGACTTACGACACATTTTTCACAAGGGAAGCCTCCACGGCCTGTTTGCCACGAGCCTGGTGAACAGCTTTTCCTTCGGATGGAAGCAGAAAACTCGAACTTACAGCGTATTTTCTTCTCGCGACAAGCCACACAAGCGACAGGGACTTTTGGTGGATGCATGATCCAAATGTTGCTACGAGTCTGTCTGCCTTGTGGACCAAAAAAGGTGAATCGTCTTTTGGAAGAGGTCGTAGATGCAGCCGAGGTTTAAAAGGCAGACGTTAACACTTTGACGAGTCCAGCCGCCATTAGGCAGAGTTCGCAGCCAGGGGAATGAGAGATGCTTATGGCCCATGAACCCCCTGCTAGCGGATACATGAAAATGCGCTCGATGGGTGCTTTACCCCGCTTCAGGCAGGCAATTTGTGACACAGTGCCATCAATGCTTAGAGAAGAGAAGTTCAAAGACTTTGTTGCCTGCTGTTCTACAAATTGTGCCGCAGATCAGATTGAGCATTGTACAGGACTGAATGGCGACGTGGTGGCTCGTCCAACCATGACAGTTCATTGGGTGGATTCTCTCGTCGAGGTCATGTGCATAAATTGATTCTAGATCCTGAGGCTCCTTAACATCCTCAGTGGTTCTCTGGAACATGATTAGAGCATTAGGGAATCTCAGAGTTTTCGCCAACCCCCCCTTAGTCCAAACTCCTAGGAAACCCTCACTGCCGATGTAGTTCTCATTTGTCAAGGGAAGATTGACAGGTTGATGGGCGAATCGGATGACCCCCAGCCGAACACCGAGTTAGACCAGAGAGACTTCGGATCCGAAGGATGAATTCGATCCGTCTGTGGTCCTCTGACCCCCTATTCATACCTTTATGAGAGAACAGGAGAGACTTGGAAAGACTGTAAGGCCGGAGGAAGCAACAACGCCTCGGTCGCAAACATTTTAGCACCCGAGGCGTAGCAACAAGCCATCCCGACGATTAAAATGGGACCAGCTCTCAACAGCGGAGGTCCGATGTACATAATAGAGGAAACCGGGTCCAGTCCCCCGGGCCCCGGTATGAGAGAAGGCCGTAAGATACTGATCGAGTATAATCGCGCAGGGGTGTTACCAACCAAGTAGATGGCAGCTATAGGCGTGCTCCTATCTGAAGGATCTAGACAGTACGTCTAAGCGTTCTGAGGAGAGGAAAGAAAACGAGAGAGGCACCGACTGCGAAGTGGATGCTGACAGCCGGCGCTACTGGCAGTATTTTGGAAACCTCCTGAGTAAGTGCTGTGACAACCTACGCTTATAGATTTATTAGAAATTCATGCTTGAAATATTAGAGAGTATATTAGTAGATAGTGTTACATCGTCCTTATTCTGAAGTTAGAATCTTATCATACCCTTACCCCCATTTCGATGAAGCGAAAGCAAAAGAATTCATAGTATTGTCAGGGAGAGGCCCCAGCCCGGGCGTAGAAGGAATCAGATGAGCAATCTCATTCGACTCTTAACTACCTAAATATGCATAGTCCGAAAGCTTTTGTTAGACATGGACCTGTCTGAATTGGATCGAACAAGTTTAGTAGGAACATGGATGACATTTCCCAAGAGTTATTCCACCACATCTGCCCCGTTGTTGCAAGCATAACAATCCCATCTTCAGTCAGGTAATCGAGCGCTGGGAGGGAGTCTGGCGGGCTTGTACGTTTGCGGCCAGTAATGAGCGGCGGCGAGACCTTCCAACGCCGCGCCGTAAGGGAGTGAGGTGTTCAATTGCTCCTTGATGACGGCGCCGAACGTACGGCGGGTCAAGCGTCGCGTGAGCTCTGGCACCTGCAACAGCTGGCGAGCCAACTTGTGTGCTCGTGGAAGGAGCTCCGCTGGCGGTAGGACCTCGTTGACCAATCCCCAGTCTTGAGCCTCTCGGGCATCGAGGATTTGACCGGTGTACATGAGGTAGCGGGCACGGTTCATGCCGATCAACATGGGCCAAATCACCTGGACACCATCGCCCGGCACCAAGCCATTGGGAAAATGGGGTTGATCGCCAAAGGCCGCGGTCTCGGACGCCAGCACAATGTCACAGAGGAATGCCTGTTCCGCGTGCACGGTTGCCGGACCATTAACCGCAGCAATCATGGGACAATCAATGTCGATGTGGTTGTGCGGGAGACGCAAGACAAAGGGGTGAAAATGTGTCCCCCATTCCGACGCGGGCAAGACGTTTGCTCCCGATGCGAGGTCCTCGTAGTGGATGAAGGTACTCCCACTGCCGGTGAGAATGACGACCTTGTTGTCGACATCGTTGGCCACATCCGCGTAGAGTTGGCCCAACTCATCGTCGGGCTTCGGACCCCAAATAATGTCTTTGCCTTGCGTGTGAAATCGGATGGTGAGGATACCATCGTCCGTGCGTTCAAGATGGTAGTGGGCGTAACGGTCTTTGTACTCGTCAAATTTGGTCATGGCAATTGGCTATCGTCGACCTTTTGGATCATCGACGAGGCGCGGAGTTTCCAATTTTGCACAACAGAGAGATCAGGCTCACTAGGAACAAAGGCTTGGACATGCTTCCAAAGGAGTCATTTTGAGCAACGCGAGCCATCTCTCTCAGATGATACTTTTCAAGCCCATCGCTTAGTGTCGGTCGGCCCGAGATGGCACACCCGTCAGGGGAGAGTTCGGTAGGAGCGCGTCCGTCGGCACAAGATAGCAACACCGGCGGCGAGTTGGATGAAAGGTGTTCGGTTGTCCTGCTGGCTCGACCAATTCTCGTGGTCGGATGACCATTCATGACCGGATGCCGAATCAAGTTCACCCCCCATCATATTCACCCTACCTTTCACTGATCAGTTTTTTCCCATTGTCGGATTCGGGAACGAGGAAACAATTGCTAATGTGACTTGTACAAAGAACAGCAGCACCAAAGGATCGGATTACTCTTCGGGCGGCGAAAGGGTTTCAGAAGACGGTCCCGATTTTGGAGCGTCCATGCTGCCACCACACAACATGATGTCGGAATTGGAAGTTTATAGCAAAAGCATACCACTGTCAGTACTAACGACAGTGCCGGTGATGTTCTGGTCCGTCATGAGGTAGACGTAGCTCTGCGCTACGTCCTCCACTCGCCCAATCTTGCCCGTCAACGACTTGCCCTCTCTCATCCTGAAGATCTTTTGTTTGTCTTCCGCGGGCATTTTCCAGAATTCCGTGTCAACAGCCCCCAGGGAGACCAAGTTGACTCTGATCGGCTTCAGGTCCAACGCGAGACCTCTCACCATGCCATGTAGACCCGCCGCAAACGCACCGAGAACAGACCAATCTGGGATTGGTCGCGCCGCCACGGCCCCGGTGGTCAGTGTGATGCTGCTGGAAGGCGTCGGGGTGAGATGTTGAAGCGCATATTTGGCCACAAGCAAAGGCGCGTAGAATCTGACGGTGCCCAGCTTCGTGATGGTCGCCACGTCGAGCTGCCTGATGTCAACTCCGGCAAGCGCGTCACCAGCGGTGTAGACGATATGGTCGACGTTGCCCACCGATCCAAACAGTTTCTTCACATTGACCTCCAATGTATCGATTGTGCCGAGATCGCACACGTGTCCACTCACACGGGCCGCAGGATAGGATCTCTTCAACTGATCGACTTTGGCCGCAATCCTTGATGTATCCGAAGACGAGATGTGCACGGTCATGCCATGCTCGATACTGGCTTCAGCTACACCAAACCCAACACCTGTACCCAAGAACGCGTGGTCAGCCACCTGGAGACGTGATGAAGAAATGCGGCGTCGACGGGTCGAGATGGAACAAGATTACCGGACGAGCCACCAATGATAAGAACTGAAGCTCCCGCGAGCCTTTGAACGTATCGCAATTGACCCGACATTCTCGCGATCGCGATCAGCAGAGGTTTAGACCTTGTAGGCCTTGGATGGTGAAGCTTTTCTGGCTGTCACCGCGCTCGAAGCGAAGAGAGAGATGATTGTCCGAATGGTCAAAGCAAGATAGCCGCCGCAACTGGCCAGAAAGTCTTATTTCCATACGAGCGAATTGAGCGTTGCGAGACCCGTGTCTCATTTAACCCATTGAATATTATTAGACCAGCATGATCGAGGCCGACGGCGTCAGTATCCCTCAAGACCGGGACCGGGTCGAGGCTCACCCCATTGGTCGTCCGGCCCGACCTTTTCACCAAAGATGCATAATTATATCGTGGCTCATATTCCAAAAGAAGAGTCTGAGATTCTAGGCTTATAAATCCAATCGGTGATTTCAGAGTTCTTAGGGTTTGAACGAATTGCGAGAATCTGCATCAATATGGCTCTTTCCACAAGTCATGGTACGTTGCTCGCGCCGCTTCTTGATCAGCCCACCGTTCCCGGGTCATCTTGTCCCTGAGCAGGCCGGCCTCCTTGCCCGCGGCGACACGCTCCGTCCCTTGGCCCCTCGCCGCCTGAACAGTGACTGCCGTCCTCGCCTGACGTTTTTCAGCATACGACGCAAAGGCCGTGGCCAATTCCGCGGTGCTCAGCTCCTTGTTGGCGCCCGGGAGTAATTGATTGAGCACCCAGCAATCCTCCAGTCCCTGGTTAGCCCCTTGTCCACGATGCGGGCTTGATGGATGTGCTGCGTCGCCCAGCAGAACGCATCTCCCATGGTACCAATGCTCCGGGGCACGTGGGGGACGATCAAAATGCCCGAATCGGAGAATGAACTCGGTCGACTTTAGGAGGTCTCTGACCGCGTCGGGCCAACTCTCGACCGCGTCCAAAAGTTCCGCCCGGGTCTCTTCTAGCTTGTCCACCTGGCGCCAGGTGGCCTTCTCGGAGCCGGTGCTAAGAATCATCGTCCAGCCCGAGTGCGTGCGGGAAACTTCAAAGGCTACGACCAATCTGGACTCTCCCATCCAAGCAGAGACTGTTTGTGGTGCTAAGCTCTTGGGAGTCGGAGCAATACCACTCAGCTCCACCAGTTAGTGCGCACTCGACATGATCCCAACGGGGTACCTACCGATAATTGTCCAGTCGCATTCGCGGGAGGTTCAGAGATGCCATGTTTCTGATTGATTATCTTTCGGGTAGTTGAGTGAAGACCGTCGCAGGCCACCACAAAGGATGTGGCAATCTTTCGACCGTCTTTCGCCGTCGCAACGACGCCGTTTGCCAGGTCGTCTATCTCGTGCAACTCCCAGTCTTCATGAATCTGCACACCCAGCCGCACCGCCTCCGCCTTCAGTGTTTGCAGCAACACACCTCTCCGTACGAAAGCGGGCCAAAAGCCATACTGCTCTTTCGTATAGGAGATATCAAGACCTCCCAGGTACTCCCCATCCGCGTTGTAGTCCCAAATGTTGAGTACGGGTTCTCCAATGTTGGCCAGCCCGATGGTATCTAGAACCTTCAACCTGCACGGACACGTCAGCCAAGTTCTCTACCCACGGGAGAGGAAGATGCTTGCCCATTCGGCTGCAGAGCAAGTGCAACACCTGCTGCATTTTCCGGTCGTTGAATTCTTTCCACAATAGTGACTTCGTAACCCCTTTGCCTCAACATAATGGCCATGGTCGGGCCGATGATGCCACAGCCCACCACGAGGACTTTCGACATGCTGGACAAGACAAAGGTCGATGTCTGCCCTTCAGAGAACGCTTGTTGCCTGACCGTCACCACAGCAGCTGGTCTCAAGATCCGAGGGCGTGTAATGAGACCGCAATGCCGGCTTTCGCTCATAAATACCAGCGTGGTTTCGAGCTTCATGATAGCACCGAATACATTAATAATATTTGATTCGTCGAGATGATGCCTACACCAACCGGGTGGCGCTCAGCCGTCCCGAATCGGACGTCGGACGTACACGACAGACAGAGTCACCCCGGATCTCCGTGTGACGCCGGGCAAACCTGTTTGCAGACTTGCTACGTAAATTTATCATGGATTAGACCCAAGTTCATGGGAACCAGAGTCTCGGTCTTCTGCTTGCTCTGAAGTGCTGCTGGTTGCTGTGATTTTTCTTCTCACAAAGTCAACTGGACCAAAAATGCCCCGGAAAGACATCCACTTCCAGACTGACGACGGCGTCACGCTCCGAGGATGGCTGTTCACCCCCGAAAACCACAGTGGCAAGTTGGCCTGTCTTATCATGGCCCACGGCTGGTCGGCAGTCAAGGAGATGGAACTGGAACTCTTCGCCAACCACTTCACGTCGCACCTGGCATTGGCCTGTCTCGTTTTCGACCATCGGTCCTTTGGTGCCAGCGACGGCGAGCCGCGATATGAGATTGTCCCTTCGTTGCAAAAGAACGATTATTCTGATGCAGTGACTTACGCTCAAAGTCTGGATGAGATCGATGCGGACAAAGTTGGGATATGGTACGTTTATATTATCGGATTCACGGCGTGAATATGCTGTTTCTGATTCTCATCGAATAGGGGTACTTCGTAGGTCTCTCAGGATTGACAAGGTTCATCGAGATCAACGCTGACGCGTCGCTGAAAAATACAGCTACTCTGGCGGTGTTGTGCTAGAAGTCGCTGCTGTGGATAAGAGAGTGAAAGCGGTGCTGGCGCAAATGTAAAATGCTCCCTATCATACCCTGTCAAGGAGAAAAAGGAGAAACTGCTCACCACGAGCCTTCAGACCCTTTACCACCGGACCAGAAACATATCGCCGACTGATGAGCAGCGACTCTTTGCCGGAATGGGCGAAAATGTTCCAAAATGGTATTTATCAGATTCAAAATTCTCAGGTACCCAGGGCACCGCTAACATTGAGCGTCTGGACAGAACGCCTGAGCCGTATGGCTGGCAAGGAGCCAACATACATACCAATTGCGGCCAAAGATCCCCTAGCAATGGTCGCCCTCCCCAAGTGGGATTGCTACCACTTTATGATTGAGCTGGGTCAAGTGCCACCAGAGTGGGTCAATCAAGTGACAGTCAAGAGGTAAACCACAGTTAAAAAGTGTCTTTTCGTGACGACGGCCAGCTCACTCGTTGCTTAGTGTCGAGCTCATGAGTGTGAACGACCCCACGGCGCAAATTCATCGAATATCACCAACACCGCTCCTGATGACCGTCGCCGAAAATGATACCTTGACGCCGACCGATCTTGCGTTGGAGGCGTATTCGCGCGCACGAGAACCGAAGGAACTACACCTCATTCCCGGAGGACATTTTGATGGGTATGGAGGACCGAACTTTGAGCGCAACGTCGGGACGCAGACCGAGTTCCTGGCCAAGTGGTTGTGTAAGAGAGCGATACCGATGTGAATGCCACTTCCATGGCAGCAAGATTCGCTTGACAAGAAACTTCCATTGTATCTTTGGTGTCTTTCGTCTGAATTCGTAAATGAAAACAGCGGCTTGTTAAATTTCTCATCACATCTACGACGTGAAAAAGTCGACAAAGAGTATTCAAGGAACTCGGTTGAACTTGCTTTCAAACCTGAACTCTTATCGTATGGTAAGGATGAAAAGTGCGATATAGCTTTGGGGGGTCAAGAGTGCTGAGCTTGGTAACTGTATAGATACACGGATCAAGGTAGGCAGCTTGTGATGGACAATAATAATCCAAGTCCTGAAAATAAACAACTCTTCAACTCGGTTCAAGCTTGATCATTACTGCGCGTCAGAAGCAAAGCAGTTCAACGATGCGAGAACCCCCCTCTTTATGACCGCAAAAACCAACTTAAGCGGCTCCAGCCCCTTCACCTTGCCGATGTCCATCTTTCGGTTGCAGTCTCTCAACTGGAGCATCAACGTGGTAAGTCATGATTTGCTTGATGTCACCAAGCCACCAACAGCCGATCATTGACACGAGCACGAAAGGTGCTGCGATAATGAACGTGCATCTGATGGCATCAGCGTATGCTTCTTTAAGAGCAGCAATGCCAGCCGCGATGATTGATGGAGTCACTCCAGCAACGCGAGCCAAAGCCTCGATCTCGTCTGCAGCGAGGCCGCGGACAAACAGGGGTATCGAGGCGGCGGGAAGACCTGCCGCGACGGCAGCTTTCGTTATGTACGTCGGGAGATAGTTGGCCAGTTTCTGCGTCACCACGGACGTGTAAATGGAGGTGAAGACTGTTCCCGAGATAGCTCGCGCGACCGTCGCCACGGCGGTCGCCGCCGAAAGATGTGAATGTTGCGAGGCCATCTGAACGCCCGCAATGCCTTGAGTCAATACGGCCGCGGTGCCTAGCCCACCAAACGCAGCAAACACCATGGGTTTCGCGTTTTGTCCTGGTTGGACTGTCGCCATGCCGATCAGGCCGATCAAGGCCGATCCGAATCCTATGACCAGTGACTCCCGGATCGAACGAAGTTTGACACATATGATGCCAAAAATAATCGTGCCAATACCAGCAGAAGCATAGTAGATTATCACACGGGCGGCGGCTTTGAGGATGTCTGTCTCGAAGACCACTTTTGTTCTACCGTGATACTTGACGTCAGTCAAATTCGCACCCGTCTCGTCTGAGATTCAGACAGAACAGAGAGAGAGAGAAAGAGACTCACAGAAGCGGATAGAAAACAATAAAGGCGTAAACCAAGACACCTTCAGAAAATACGAGGGCAACGCAGATGCAAAAGGTGCTCAGACTTCGGCTGTGCGTGAAAAGCTCATGGTGCATGATGCCCGTCTTAGTGCCTTTCCATTCCCACACTCCAAAGAGGATGAGCAATGCAATGCCAACGAGCATGGTCGACAGAACCGTCGCAGATGTCCAGGGGTAGACACTGCCACCCATGTTGACGCCGGTCAAAAGCAAGCACAGACCGGATCCGAGCAAAAGGGCTCCCAGGAGGTCCATTTGTCGGAACTTGTGCCATGCACTGAGATGATCCAGGCGGGTGTGTCGTTTGGGAGGCCGATACCCGAGGAAGAGAAAAAGGGCCGAAGCGCCCCAAAGGCCGGTTGAAATCCACTACCACTTGGGTGAGTTTGGTTCCTTTTGCGTAACAGCTGAATCACATTGTCAGGGGTATTTCTTACATAAAAGTTTCGCCAACCATTGTTCAGGTCGCGTTTGGTCAAAGCTCCGATCGAGAGGGGAGCTGCAATCATGCCAAATGCTCCCGTAGCTTGTAACAAGGCTTGTGCCACTGCGAGGAAGGGTTAGTGATGGTGAAGAGCAACCGTGGGGTTTCCATTTCCACCTCAAAGGGAGACATACTTGGGCGCCATTTCATGGGCAAAATCTCACTCGGCACGGCAAAAGTCAGGGGAACACACACATAGGCCACTCCGATCAGTGTCTGAGCGGCAATGAGTCGACCGACTGTTTGAGCGCCAGGTGCGATGGCGGATCCAATGAAAGCGAATGTAGTGCACCCCACCAATAGATTCTTGCGTGCTTGAAACAAGTCGGAGTACTGTGAGGCGATATTGCAGAATACACCTTGAGGAATGACGAGAGCGGTGACGACCCATGCCTGGTTCGCAGGGCCACCTGGGAGCTGCGCAAGAATGGTGCTGAGCTGGAAAGAGGAGGAAATCGTCATCAACAGTCAAATCATAGGGATTTGAGGTGTTCAATTGCACTATTCAGGACCAGAAGCAGCTGACTTACCGCCGAGGTTGGCCCCAAGAGTGACCAAAGCTGGCAAAAGCTCTGCAGGCACAAGGCCAGCAGAACAACGTACGTCCGCAAATGAAACTTTGGCTGATGCTCCTCATCAACATACTCGAGGTTATTGGCGAGCAGGTCGATCTCGTTCGACAGTCTTTCCCGGCCTGCTTTTTCAGGTTGTCCTTGGGCGGTGTATTCTTCGTGAACGGATTCAAGACCGATGTCTTTGCTTTGGGAGGATAGGATTGCCATGACGATTGCGCGAGATTCAGAGAAGATGATGACTAGTCACGAAGATACGCCTTGAGATTAGGTGGGAAGTTCCCTTTCTATACAAGTCTCCGAACCGTGAGCAACAGTCTCTGGACTGCCTCCATACAAGCTTCGGTATTGACCCGAACCGACACCTGAACAACTGGTGATTCGGACCGAAACACCCTTTTGTACTAGTTAGATTACTTCTGACTACGAATAGAACTAACCTTGAACGTCAGACGTCGCATCAAGCACGATCTAGACTCTATATTAACCTTGAATTGCTGTTAGCGCGTCCGAAAAGAGACTGGTCAACCGGCAACATGCGCAACTCCACGATCTTTTGGCGTCGGGCGCAAGTCAGGGCACCCAGGGACACCTTCGGCAACACGGGCAACCTGCGCATTCCGGCTCAGCACACGGCGCCTCCATCCGCAAGCCAGCTGAGTTATGGCTGATTAGGTACATCCTCATCACCATTCGGCACCCTGACGAACTCCGACCGCATAGGCTTTTTGTGGGACCAACTTGATTGATTGATTATCTATCTAGTGGGGACGCGCGCGCGGCAGTTTGACGTGCCGGCGTGAAAAATCTACCTGGCTAACCTTCCCGATTAGGTTAGAGTAGCACTTTTTTCGCATAGATTCCCGATTCGGCCATGGTTGTTGGAGAATCAAAGTAATGTAGGAGGTATCAGTCGAGGCTCAGGTAGAGCTCGGTCTGAAGTTATCAATCATCGACAGGTGGATGATCATCAGCCAGTAATCGACCTTGAGCTTTCCTCTCTCCATTAGGGGCCTTGTTTGATTAGTTTCGGAAAATTTTGATCGGATTCACGACAGACAGGTGTCCCTCGCCTATCAAGCGATCGCCATATCTATTGCCCATTCCCCCAACTCTCATTCGCCGTGTCTTCTCTTCCCTCGCTCACGCAACTACCCAACCATACATCTGCAAAGCCATGGCACCTTCGAAGGACGGCGAAGCGTTCAACGAAATGGGCTGGGTGGCGGGAAACGCTCGAGGATACCGTACTCTGGAGCAGCCTTACGATTCGACACGCAAGTTCCGTGTCATCCATATCGGCGCGGGCGCGTCGGGCATTACGTTCTCCAAGTTCCTTGAGGATCGGTGTCCTGGGGTTGAGTTGCAGATTTATAAGAATAATGATGTTGGAGGGACGTGGCTGGAGAATCGGTATATATTGCCCTCTGTGCAGGTATATTGTTGGGATTTGGATCATATGGTTGTGCCCTACATTGTATGGCATCGTGCTCAAGCTGATGGTCTCGGCCTGATAAAGATATCCCGGTTGCGCGTACGACATCCCTTCAGCGGCATATCAATTCACCTGGGAGCGAAATCTATACTGGTCGCAATATTACTCCGAGGCGTCCGAGATCTAGCAGTCCTTTAAGCATATCGTCGACAAGTACGGCTTGATCAAGTACGTTAAACTCAAGTACACTATGGTAGGCGTATATTGGCAGCCTAAAGATGGAGAGTGGGAAGTCCATGTACGACGACCGGACGGCTCGGCATTCGTGGATCGATGTAATGTGCTTATGAACGGCGGGGGAATTCTCAAGTACCTGGTTTCCTCCCGATCCGTAAAGAGGTTTGAAATACTAATCGATTTGGCGACAGCAATTGGAATTGGCTAGACATCAAGGGCCTATACGCATTCTAAGGTCCTCTTATGCATAGTGCCAATTACCGCACGTCACTGGATCTGAAAGGTAAGCGCGTCGCTGTAGTCAGCATTGGCAGCAGTGGAATTCAGATCATTTCCAAAATCGCGTCGTAGGTGGGTTAGCTGTATAGCTAGATAAGGACACCGATATGGATCACGGCTGGGTTCGCCCAGAGGTTTGCAGGCCTGGACGGCGCAAACTTCTATTATAAGTCGTCCTCGATATGGCAGCATCGGAGAATAAGTATCGTAGCTGACTATAAATTAGATACTCCTGAACAGCAGAAAGCATCTGTCGATAATCCCGAACTATTCCCAAAATATTCTAAGATGATTGAATTAGAGCTCAATATCCGCTTTAAGCTTATCTTAAATGGAACCCCAGAAGCAGAGGCTGCTAAAGAGGTGAGTGATCTATTTAGGTTGATGGACTATACTAACGGATTATCTTAGTTTGCAAGGGAGGAGATGACGAAGAAGCTCAGTCCAACTAATCCAACTTTACTCAACGCAATTGCTCCTAAGAACTTTGGGGCGGGTTGTAGTAGAAGACCGACGGTAAGTTTCTCGGGAGACGTATACCGCTCATAAGCTGACTTTCGTCTTTCCATAGCCGGAAAATGGCTTCCTTGAGTCGCTTATTCAAGATAATGTCAAGGTCTTCACTTCGCCTATGCAGGAAATCAACGCAACTGGATTTGTGGATAGCGAGGGAGAGCAGTATGATGTAGACATAATAATATGTGCGACGGGGTAATTGAAGCCCAGGTTATGGTCACCACGAAAGGCCGATAAACTAACGACATGCCTCTAGATTCAACACCAGCTGGATCCCCATGTTTCCGGTCGAAGCAAACGGTCACTCTATTTCCAAGATGTGGGCCACAGAGGCCGTCTCGTATCTGTCGATCGGGGTGCCGAACAGTACGCGAGTCCGTTCAATCAGACGAGGCATCATACTGACTTCGTAAAGTGCTGAATTACTGGACGATGAGCGGGTCATATGGACCGAACGGTCACGGATCTTTCCTACCTATTATCGAGTTGCTTACTGGCAATATCATTCAATGCATACAGAAGATGCAGATGGATCGAATCAAGAGAGTGACGCCAAAGCCGTAGATTGTAGAGCAGCTTCGAGAACATACATAGTTATTCCTCAAGCGAATAACATATACTAGGGTAAGTTACACATATTAATTTGATTAAGATACCCACATCACTAATACTTCTTTCGCAACAGCCATATAGTTCGTGGTTCAAACAGGGCAAAATCGACGGACTAGTGCCCATATTCCCAACCTCGAGATTAGTATATATAGATCTAATGGCTAATCCGCGTTTCGAGGACTATTAAATTGAATAGATAAATTCTCTAAATATGTTTAAATTTCTAGGTAACGGATTTGCGACGCGAGAATTTGACGGTCGAGATCCATCGTATTACCTTGGTTTGCTGGGTGATGACGATCATCAAATCGACCTGGAAGGGAATATCCACGAGGATTTAGAGAAGTCGCCTCTGATACAGCCATAGACAGAATAAGATCGGGGCGATGCATTACAAATATCAAGAGGGCGAGAATTCAATTTTCAAAGTAAATAGTCGTTGAGACAAAAAAAAAAAGAAAGAAAAAAGAAAGAAAGTAGGTGATTCATCTTTGGTAAAGTATACAGAATACGAGAGATGACTTTTACCTTCCTCATAGGCGGGTTCCTAGTTTTAGGCTGTAGATTCTAAAACTAAACCGTCACGGAGGGTCATATAAAGTTTCGTTCTCCTCCGCTTCATCGAAGACATCCGCCACCGTCTTCTTTCTCTTCGGCATTGGGAAACAGCGAGCAGGGCCAGTGAGCGCCGGAGGAGTGTAGCAGGAGCTCGAGGAAAGACAAGCGCCGAGGGGAAAGGTAAAGACCGCGACCGGGGACGGTGGATTCAAGGACGACGAAACGCCAGTATGGTCCGGTCAAGAAGACCGGACAAGAACCAGTGAATCACACGAGGTAGAAGGAGGACGAGGGAACCATATTAGGACCAAGAAGAGGAAAGGAAAAGAGGACAGTGAAAGGAAAAGAGGAAGAGAAGCATTGTCCCCTAGAACTGGGGGATTCAGTTGACCCTATCCAGCAGTGTAGTAGGGCCTCCTCTTGGGGATCCCACCTTTCATCAACGCTGAAACGGGCCATCACAGACGTGATCGGTTAAAGTTACCAAAAGGCTGAATATACGCCACGTTAGCGCATACGAGACTAGAGCCCGAACGGGGGCCTCAGTAGTACGTGAGGGAGCACGAGAGAGTAGGGTCAGAGCAGGTCAGAGCCGTGAGAGAGCAGAAGGGAGTGGAATCGGAGCGCGAAAGAGAGGGAGGAAGCAGAAGAGAGTAGAAGAGGGCGGACGAGGAAGCGAGTAGACTAAATAGTCGCTCGCGGGAGTAAAGCGGCGGGAGACTCGCCAGCGCGGTAAAGGACGTATACTCGGGGATGCTATATTATCTTTTCTCTCTTTGTTTTCTTCTGTACAGTATCCTGATTGATCTCGTTCGCCTGCTCTGAACTTCTGTTTCCCTCCTTACAATTTGCCCCTCTTTCTTCCCCCTCTAGCCGCGGTGTCGGTATGTCGAGAGGATCGCGCCATGTTTAAATTGAATAGCCGAGTTGATAAGTCGTGTATGATGTGAGCAGCCTGATATTGTGATAGCCTGATCAGCAGCCAGTCAGCTCCCAATGTGAAAGATGTGTGTTTTCTCATAGTGGTTTTGGGGGAGGTATTGGTACTGCCAGGCTCCGTACTCCTTTAATCGTGTATCCTCGTGTCGGTCGCTGGTCGTCGTCGCTCGTAGTAAGGTCGTCAGAGCTGTCTGTTCTCTCCAGCCCATCTCCTTCCGTCTTAGGCTCATCCGTGCAATTTCGTTTATCGTCCATCATAAGGTGGTCTAATGTCGCCAGAACTCCTCGCTTCTTTCCCCCGTATCGTGGCCTCTTATGTCCCCGTCTTAACTACCATTTGCTGCGCCGCTTGCAGTGCTGCCGACGCCCACGGCCTTCAGTATATCACCCACGCTCCAACCAGGTCCACCGGGGACGATCTCTCTCCACGTCTCGTCTGGCACACTGTCTTCAGCTGGCAGCAAGGACCAATTCGGACTCGGCTTATCGGGAGAAAGCCACTTGAAGTCATCGATCTGGTTCCATTGGTTGGGCACGGCGGAGGGATCTTCTTGGGATGTAGAGATGAGGTCACTCTGTTCCGACTCAGTTAGCAACAGCATAGCGAAGACGACGGAGGGGGAGCCAAATCAAGGCTCGAGAGGACGAAACGTACGTGGAACTTCGGCAATACAGCGAACCTTATGCCCTTACAATTCTCAATGATCGGTCGACTTGTGCAATGCAAGTAGACATCCACGTTCTCACAGTCGTGCATACGGAATTGGCGACATTTGAGCACAAGCACGCTGCTCTTGACGCCTGTGATGTGCGCAGGACCAGAGACTGAACCGCAAAGTACCAGGGATGATGAGACGGAGGTGATAGTAATGCTCGCAAAGGGTGCTGTGGCGGTCGTGGGTACGGATAGATCGACCACACACCCACTGAGCTTTGAGAGCGAGCAGGGTGTTCGCGTATTTGGGGCTGACGAGGGCAAGATGATGTGTGTGCCGGATTGATTTGAGATAGAGGTTGACGTTGTCGTTGTGGACAGGGACGGGCGGTCACTTTCTTGGGCAGGGTCTGCTGGCGGTGATTGTGCCTTTGTTTCGGTGTTGGTCGTGCCAGCGGGTTTGCCTTCTTGTCTGGGTTGCTCATTTTCCTCGTGTAATGAATCCTGCTCGTCATGTGCCCTCTCGTTGGCAGGGGTGTTGATGTAGCTGGGAGTATTGACAAACGAGGCATTAGGGGAGGGCGATAGATAGCCTGGTACGGCTCGACGTTTCTCTGCCGCCAGCTCTGCAGCATCGCTGAGGGACAGGGCAGAGGGGGATTTCGACTTGAAGGAGAATTTGGGTTTAGGAGCGTGGGATTTGCGTGTTTCTTCCAGCTTCTCTTGCAGAGCCTTGATGGCCTCGCCATAGGTTCTCTGATCGTAGGGGGGGATGTAGCCCGAGGCGTCCTTGACTTCGCCAGATAGTCGCGTGATGCCGGCAAGACAATGGTCCATAGCATCAGAGCGCTCGCCGCCTATGAGGGCAGTTTCTGCGAGACGGTCCATCTCATCTTGAAGAGCTGTCGTACAGTTCCTTTCGTCAGCCAGGGTCTCTTTGGCAGCGTAGAGAACGCAGTGTACCAGTTATTTCATGCTGGAAGAAGTTGAAGAACCGCTGTTGATGGGAGAGCTCGCCAACGGACTCGGCAACAGGGCGTGCCAGTTCTTGAGGCTCCATAGCGGTAGTTGAAGTCAGTGCCAGGAGAATTGGGTCAGGGAATCAACAATGCAGTATGATTGAGTTGGGGATCTGGAGATCTTCCAAATATGCTTTAATATAAGCGTGTCGTGTGGGCAGAGACAAGGGCACTGGGGTTGAGATAGCGTGGTGCTGTGCAAGGAGCCATGACGAAACTCTTTGAATGTGCCTTTGACTGATGAATGGGAATGTAGCGGTGCGGGGGAGGCGTAATGGGGGGCAGAGTGGCACCCAAGTCACCCAAGAGGCATCTGGGGTGGCCGGGTTGCAAGTGTCAGGGCGAGGTAGTGTGGGAAGCAGTCGCCGCGTCGGCCACCGATTGGGCGCTTCATCGGGCTACAGCTGCCGGGTTAGGTGAAAGGGTCATCCCTGTTGCCCTCCATCGAGACCCTTGGAACGAGCCCCCAAAACCTGGCAGCGCAACTCGCCAATGGCCTTCAAACGGTCTCCATTTCCGCTTCTTTGCACACCATCTTGCACACCATCTTGCACAAGCTATCTCTTGCAATGGTATCATCACTTCTCACATAGGTAGTTGCTGGCGATACTGCTTCCTCCCTTCCATCCTTTTCCTCGTTTCCGACCACTAAGGCCTCTGCTCCCCTCGCTTCTTTTCTGCGCATGGTCCTACGCTCCTTTGCACGTTGCGCTTCAACGGTTGCTAAGAAGACTCTGAGTCGTGGCTCTGGCCGTTATGAGATAACCAGCCAACGCCTGTGTGGTAAGCTGTTGACAGTTGTGGTCGCTTCATCTTTCCTAACATCCTATAGACGATATCCTCAACCGACTCCGTACCAGCCTTCCTGCTCCAAACACCTGCGACATCATCGATATCAACCCCGGACGAGGACTTTGGTCCAAGAGTCTGCACCATGTCCTCCAACCTCGACGACACGTACTTGTCGAGTCTGATCTGGAAAGGTACACGGAGTATCTCCAGCCCTTGTTGAAGAGTCATGGCTCAGCATATCGACACGCTACCATTCTTGAAGACGTGTTTGACCCTGGGAAACAACTATTGAACCAATATGACGTGGAAAAGGCTGGCTCTGTGGGAAAGGTCCCTGAATATAACAGATCCTTGCTGATGACGGTCAACCTCTCTGGTGGGAAGATCAGCATTGGCGGTTATATGGGATCTCTGAGCAGAAAATTCTTCGACGAGCTCTACCTGTCGCTTCTTTCAAATCCTCGGTCTGGTTTCTTTCGTTATGGTCTGATTAGAGTATTGGCATGGATTCCTGATCACGAAAAGGATTCTTATATCCCTCGCACCGTCCACGCACGCCACAAGCAGACCGTCATGCTGGAAGCAACCACAGACATTACCGAGGTTGCTGGTGCGTCGGCAGAGGCCAAATCGACACGCTATAGGAAGTGGCCTGATCTTGAGTTGGAAGAGCTTGCGGCCATAGATGCTAAAACCAAAGGTGCATCGGGATACAAGATACCCAAATCCAGGCTCGACACCCCCCCGCCACGTGAGTTGCTCAGTATCGAGCCTACTCCTCGAAACTTGCGAAAAGCAGACTTCACCTCCGACGCGGAGTGGGTGCCGAGATTGCTCGAATTAGACAGCCACATAAAGCAAAAGTATCCCCATTGGTATCGGCGCTATGCTTCAGGGCAATCGATACGCAAGCTCGGACTCAAAACACCGCCTCAGAAGGAATGGGGAGAGCTTTTGCGGCGGGCAAACACCACACACAAGACGCATATGAAAGCAGTCGAAGTGGTTAACCAGGAAAGACAATTGATATCGGAATGGAAATCTGCTATATTTAACGCTAAGAACAGCCCCCTTGATCCGGACACGGAACGATCGTTCCAGAATCGCGCCGAAGCCATCAAGGAGAACCTCAAGGCCTTGAATCGCACGAACAGGATCTTCGCAGAAAAGGCCATCGACGACTGCAGAGCTTGGGATATGTCACCACCCATTTTGGCCTGGAATCGGCGGGAAGCTCACCCGTTGATCGTACACGATACCGAATTTGACGCTTCGTATCGGCAAATGGCCTTACTGGATGTGGTCCCACGAGCAGATTTGCTCTCCAAAGTCGACACTTACGACAAGATGGTATGCTTCCGCTACATTGTCGCGACACTCTCCCTATACTTCTCCAAGAGCGTTGCTGAAGCGTTGAGGGGTTTGGTTCATGAAGGCTTGAATGACTTTGTCAAGACCATTCCGGGGATTCATGATCCCACCAAGGGAGGGTGGTATGATCTGACCACGTTGCGAGTGAGAGTCTTGCCAATGGACATGTTTGTGGAGATTGGGTTGGCTTATGAGAAATGGCCGTTTCGCACGAGTACAGAGGCGATCCTCATGGCCACTGCAGATCCAATGGCTGGATATAGCGGTCAGGAGGATGATATGAAATGATCCACCCAGCGGTGGCTGTATTAAAAGTGTTGTATAGTATGCGCGAGACACACTCGCCGTGGGCAATAGACAATGACTAATGAAGGTGGCATTCGCTCATGTCATCTCTCCAGACCTCTTGTCGTCCTCTTCCCTTCCTAACCACAAGGCGGTTTGCAAGGCGCAACGGCAGGAGAGCGATATCCTCATCCGAGCAGCTGGTCCAGAACGTCCCTTGTGGTCATGACCCGGGCGAACTCGCCCTCGAGGCTGGCGAGATGGACCTTGTGCACCGTCTCGGCGTCAAACCCCCCTTTGTTGAAGCACGCGGTGGCATCGCCGAGGACGACGATCTTGCCTGCCTCACCCTTCTTCATCCCTTCTCGTTCGCCCTGAGGATCCCCCTTGCCCTCTGCGCCGGCGGCGGCGGCGGCATCCTCGCCTCGAAGAAGACCGGGCCTCTTTTTGACGACGCCCAGGTCCTTTGCCCACCGCACGCTCGTCGTCACGCAGTGATCCGTCGCGATCCCCGCGACGACGAGCTGCTCGATGCGCCCGCGTTCCAGGATGCTCGCCAGCTCTGGGTTGCCGAAGGCCGTGTTTGTCGACTTGGCGAGCACGCGCTCAACGGTCGTTGGCGAGGTGCTACTGCCGTTGTCGCTGTTGTCGCCCGACGACACCGCCGCCGGTTCCGCGCACGGCATGAACAGGATCCCGTCCTTCTGCGCCGTGCCCGACACGTGCAGCGGCGACAGCGGGTTCGTGGATTTGTGGTACACATGCACGATGTCTATCGCGTAGGGGGGTTTTAGTGGGTTGTTGCCTTCAGCGCCGTCGGTGGATGCGTTTTGACCTGGAGAAGGAGCATTGTTGGGTTCTTGGGGCTTGGTCGTGCCGGCGTTGTACCCCCTGCACGCGGCCAGGAGGGAGGTGATGTTCTCTTCAAAGTCGGGCGTCGAGCGCTCGGTCCCGAAGTAGCCGTTGTGGGTGTTCAGGCCGCGTTGGATGTCGATCAGGAGGAGCGCGGTGCGGGTTCCTGACGCCGGCGAGAGGTGCTTGCGTTCGGCTGCGCTTGTAGTCGTTTCAATCGCCATCCTGTTTTATCTTTCCACACCCCAGAACAGGACCTGGTGGTTGGCGATGGTGTCCAGTTGAGGATGGACAATGAGGCGAGGGGTGAATTATCTTTTGTCGGGCCTGGAATGGAGATACAGTCAAGGGGCCTCGATCCCGTTCCCTCTTACTGCCCTTTTCTCTGCCTCTTTGGTCGAGAGTCAACTCTAGACACCTTGGCTGTGCCTTGCCTGAATACCAGGAAGAGAAAAGTGTTCTCTATGCGGACGAGGGACTTCCCAAAACCTGGTTTGTGGCGCCCTTCCTACATCAGGAGTGCATCCGGGCTTTCTCAATATTGCGGAGAAGAGGCGAGTCGTTTCCCCAGTCGAGCGTTCCATTTGAATGGCGTCTGCCTGGAAGAACGTCTTGCGATGCATCCAATGAGAGACACCGGATCCGAGTACGCTTGTAGTAGGGCGCAAAGACAGAGAGCTCATGTTGTATGCATATGGGGAGATGTTACATCAGGCTCGCTGTAGGAACCAAAACACCATCTCCCTTCCACTCACCACGCGGGCAGCAGCCACAGCTTGCAAAGAGAGGTGGAAGGGGTACAGAGCGGACATGTAGGTTCCCACATATATGTACATACGACGCAGGACCCCAGCCTTGCGGGTGGGGAACAATTCTCCAACGAGGAGACTGCATATCAGCTCAGGAGCACCATAGCATGCAGAGCATGCAGAGCAGAAACCAGCCGAGTGCGCAAAGTTCGTCCTCGATAGATGCCAACGACATGATGGCAGCCTCTCACCCCCTTCTCCTGGGAACTACCAGAAGTCTCGCCAACAAAACACAGCAGTGAAAGAAAGACGCAATTATGGAAAACGGACGGGAAACGGCCAAAGCCCCAGGATCCCGTGCTTAGGAGATTCTGATCAAAGCACTCAGCTGTTGTTCCGTCTCGATGACACATCTTGAAATGGAGAAGTGTTCTTCTCTGCGGGCAAGTAGCTGTCAGCCATTGCCTGAATCCTCCGCAACTGAGGCCCAGTCCGAACAAATGGTCAGTCAGAGAGCATCCTGTGAGGTCGAAGGTGTATGTTTGGCAATGCAGAGCTGGTCAAAGTCCCATCACGATTCCCAGAGTGCATGGACGTGAACGACAATCCCCAGGGGGGAAATGCTTGGAAAGTGGCTGGCATTACGGACTGGTGAATTCAGCAACAGCAAAAGCTTGCTGAGCGAAACACCACACTCGGAACATTCGTGCCTTTTCAAGACAATGGAAGCTCGTGAGACCCTGTCCGGAAAGGGCGTCGCGGCAGTTCACAAAGGACCCAGGACGACGAATGGGCAAAGGGAGAGCCAACATACTTTCGGCCACTAGCCGCGGTGTTTTGAAACATCTCAGACATGGCGGCGAGGAAGTCGATGTTTCTTTCTTCTCCCTCCAAATCACTCAAACGCCCAAGGCTAAATATAACAAAGCACCGCGTTCGGCACTGGTCAACGTGGATATGCACAGGTTTCGTGCGGCTCCAAGCTGGCTCTGGACTCGACAAAGTCAGCCAAACCGCTGGTTCCCCGCCTGTAGGAGATGGAGGTGCACCACCAAGACTCGTGAGTGGCTGACGTGAGGTCTGCCTTGTCCACGAGGCTCTCAAAAGCGTCCAATGGCAGGCTGTGACTTGGTATATGGCTTTGACACAATGAAATGGGTAACCATGAGTATGGAGTCGTTGAGTATCACATATATAAACAGTGCCAAATACACACAAAACTCACCTTCGTTCCCGCAAGCCAGCAATTCATTCATTCTCATCTCAGCACTCGTTCCAAAATTCCGCAGTCTCTCATTCTGTCGGAAGCCTCTGCCATCATGTCAATCTTCAAGAAGCTCCTCCCAGCTCTCCTCCTTCTCCCAGCTTTGGGTCTTGCGGCTTCCTACCCGAACCCGGCCGCTGCCCCCCAATCCTCGGACGACACGGATCAAATCACCTGCTTCGAGCCAGGGAGCGGGTTGGTGACCACCCAGCAAGCCAACGACCTCGTCAACGAGTTCGATCGCCTGATCTGCCAGTCGAACCCGAGCGCGCCCATATCGCTCAACCCATTCGAGGGGGTGTCGGTCGATGACCCGTCAGGAACCATCATCTTCCAGAACACCTTGAATATGGTGGCGACTCCACCTAGCTGTGGTGAGGTGGTGAGCGACTTTCAGAAGCTGCTGGCTCAGTGTTTCACCGGCCAGGGTAGCTATGGCGGTGTCTTGATCGAGACTGCTGGCGGGGGGAGGACCTCGTACGTTATCAAGTCGCCATGAACCCAGAGCAGGCGAACTATTCGAAAGTGAGGAAGAAGCAGCGGGCTGGAAAAAGGTAGATGATGTACAGCCAGCACTGTAGTTTCAGAGAGATCAGGCCTACCTTTCACGTTCATTTGGTGTTCGCCCAACTCTTTGAAAGCTAAGATAAAAGTTGTTGAGTATTGAAGTCTCTGCAGGTTAAGATGAATGAATGTTATGTCCCTGATATGCGGCTTGGTAGAAGTCGGGTTGAAGGCCAATACCGTCAGCAGCCATGCTTGACATAAGCACTGAATCAGTTGGTAATATCACGGTGTCTGCACAACCCTTCTGCGATACCGGGTGTCTCTTGATCTTCGTAAAGCACTGACTCGCCCCACGAATCTAATTAGATAAGGAAGCATCTATGCAGTAGGAGTTATCCCAAAGGAATATGTGATTGATCAAGGCCAAGGTAGAGAGTGCAGACGAGTTGGAGGTGAGAAAGATCATTTTCAGGGGGAACAGGGACGATGCCGCCCTAAGATAACTGCCTCCGTCCAAGGCTGAGTGACAAGGCTGGGCCCCTTGGACTCATCACCACATCTTCACTCAGAAGATGCACCACCGTTGTGAGGCCTTGACATAGACTGACTCAGATATGTCCAGGAAGTCACTCCCCTTGGAATTCAAGAAGGATTTGGCTTGGCCAAAGTCGTTGATCCCCCGAGGTATAAACCTCTCATACCAAGATTCCTCCGTACAAACAATAAGCCCCGCGACGTAACGCGCCCGCACTGGGTTATCCTCGTCTTCCAGGCCACCCTCCTGGCCTAGGTCGGCCATGGGCATCGTTAACGCAGCAAAAGTTTCTGATCGGCTTGTGGGGTCCTCAGCCAGGAATAAAGCGCAGCGACCGTTCCAAAACTCCGCCACGTCAGCCCAGTTGTCGTGTTCCTGGTCTTTGAAAAAGACGTATTTCCGCGACGAATCAGGTAGTCGATACCGTACATGCGTCTTTTCGATTGTAGGAAGCGCCATATCTGTTAACAGGGTTGCCTCGATGCCATCAACAAGGAGCCCATCATCTGTTGGTTTGGCCGGTGGATAATCTGCTGACGGGGTGAGGAGCCTTGTCGCTGGATGGAGCAAATTGCTGGGAGCCCATCGAAAACCGTCAGCCTTCAGACGAGGCCCAAGCATCCATAGGACACTCGCAGGCAAGTTCCCTCGGTTTTTCCAGAAAGTCTGCATCTTCACATCATCCGGCGCGTCAAGAACCGCGCCCAAGCCGGAGCCTAGTAGGATTGATGCGCACACTGTAACGTCCATCGGCCGCGATGTGGATCGAAACTGGAGGGCTGCCAAAAAGCTCAGAAATGGGTATTTTTCATGAGTGATGGCTTGAAGGGACAGTTTGGCCTGATCAATGGCGATCGCGGCGTATAATCCGAGCAGCATAGAGACGGGGCCGGTGCCACCATATGAGGCCATGACCCTCAAGACATGCTCCCTTGGAGTGTATGGAATCACGGTATCAGCAAACTGGAACTTGAGATCCTCCGCCAACGAGGCTTCCTGCATCGTCCAAAGTCGTAACATCCACTTGCAGCAATATATGGAAAACAAGGTTTGGTCGGGACAAGATGGAAGGTTGTGGGAGAGAAGTTCTCCAGACAAAACCAGGACTTGACTGGCTGACGAGTAGACCTTTGCCATGCGCAGAATAGCCAGGTGCCTTAAGGGTTCCTTCACCGGTACGCACAGGGTGTCTATCCAGAAGAGCGAGCTTTGACTCTCCGTCAGGGTTGTTACATAGTGTTGGATCGAGCGAAGTTGGCACACGGGTAAGGAATTCTGCAAGGGATTCCCCCTGCCATCAGACCAGACGTGGGAGATTGCAACATACCGCATGCCTGGCTTGAAGCTCACTGTGTTGGTCTGGCCGTTCTGGAATTCCACAATTGGAAACTGCTCGTTTTCGAAGGCCGCCACCAAGTCAGTGTTCGGTATTACCTGGTGTTGACAAGGACAATCCGGCTGCAGGTGGTCACACCCAATCCTTGTGCAATCGCAGTGCTCGGCCACGTGTTGAGTCTGGTACTTACCTGTATCGATGTTGGAGGCGATACAGGCATACCTCGAAGTACAGTTCTCATGGCCAAACCCATCCTTCAAGGTAGGCAGAAGGCTGGCAAAGTACAGGCCTTGAAGGCCGAGGCTTGAGCCCACGCGATGCACAATACTGGGACACCAGCCATCCTCAGATATAAGTTTTCTCTCCAGCAGCTGGCACGGCACCGAGACGGGTGAATAGTGGGTAACATCCTCGTCGTCCTCGAGCCAGATCGTGCGGTACCTATCCAGCGTTTCGACCAAGATAGATAGAGCAAGGCACACCGGAAGCGGCATGAATTGCATCGCAGCTTTATCCGAGACTCGATCGAGCTTCTGCAGTATCCATTTCGCCTCTTGTAAACAGCGGTCCAGCCTGCTCGCCCAAATCGAATCGTTGTTCAACTCGTCGCGTCTGCGCATGAATTCTCTGAAGAGACCTCCCGCCGTGAGATACCGATCTGGACCGCCTGTGCGGTTTTCTGCTGTATTTGCACCGGGCGCTTCCACAGATGTCTCTTGTCTCGACACCGTTCTGCTCAATGCTTCCTGCCAGATCCCGAAGAATATCCAGGTCTGAAGAAACGAACCCACACAGGCGAGAATCTTCTCCCGCGTGCTTGATATGCCGGCAAGTCTACTACCTTGCAGTGAAGCCGACGCATAATAGCTCTCCCAGTCTTTGCGAGCAGCCGCGATCTTTCCTCGGAGTAGGGCATCGATGTCCCAGCCTTGACGCTCCTCATAGCCTAAGAATCCTTGATTGTCGAAGTCTGGGCCGCCGAGGTCGGGGACGGGCAAATGCGACTCGACGCCATCTGGCAGTGGAAGGAAGTCCATGCTATTTCTGGAATTCAGATGAATGTTGTGTCTGCGACGAGGGAAAGAACACTGTCGGTTGAAGATGATTGTTTCAGCCTCACTCAAGCTGCCATGTCAGGACTATACCCAATAGTCACTAGTCAAGACCATAGTCCAAGATGACTGGTCTAGTTGTATATACAAGTATAGTCCCAGTGACTCCTGCTGCTGCCTAGAGGAAGAAGCGAATTTGCTCCTCAAAACAACAACAGATCCTAGAGAATACATCTGGGGGTATCTTCAGCCGTGCTTTGGGACCATCATCGTCCGGGTCCGTTGCACCCCACAGATCGGGTTGTAGGTACAAAGGACCAGAATATAGAAAGCCAACCAGAGACCGGGCGATCGGGGCAAGAAACAGATAATGGCAATTGATGAACTTGAGGGTAGATACAACTGATCCAAACTTGAATACACGGTCTACGACACGATCCTCATTCCACCTGGCTTAACTTGCCAGTTTCAATCTCATACAGTAATCCGACCACTGCTGGAGCATTTCCCCCATATGTCGGATCGTCCTTGATCATAGCCACATCTTCCAAGATACTGGCTTCTAAGCTACAGCGGGCACATTAGCAACTTCCCGACACTGGTACTAGATAGGTTCGACATACTCCTTGATCTCTCCAAAATCCATGGCGTCAATAGCTTCAGCAGGAAGGGATGAAATTTGCTTGATTCTTTCCCGCACTTCATTGTCCGGGACATGAGTCGTGCCGCAATCTGCCGTTAACCAGTGAGTGGAGATCAGGGCTAGAAAGTCAAGTAAACTCACCAGTATGATGAACGACTATAATCAGATCGAGAGGAGTGATGGTATTGAGCACTTGCAATGTTCGTATCGCATCCATTGCTCTCCCACCTGCGTTCCGGATGATGGCCGCCGGTCTTTCGGGCCCCAACCCCATGAATTGTTCGGGAATGACCCTTGGATCACTGCAAGATACTTGAGCGCGTCAGTATACATTTGTCGCTCGCGTCTAGAGACAACGTACAGATGACTGTTCCTTTCTGGCCTTTCTGTGCCCACATGTCTCGCATCTTCAGGAGTGGGGGAGGCTGCACATATTTCGTAGCGAACTTAGCATTGCCTTCGAGGAACGCAGCAAGTTTGGTTGCCATTGTGGAGAGGAAGTATTTGAATTTGAATTTTGTGTCTGAATGTTTGGATCGACCACAGGGGAATTCCAGGGACTGGAGAAGACAAACTCACTTAATATACTTCCCAGACTTCATCGCTCTCAATATTTTGCTACGTGCGCAATTGCAACTCCCTCTATGAAGTCAGTGGCTAGAAACGGAAGCAGTTGTAATCAAGCCGGATTCTCGTACTGCTGATTGGAACCGGTGCTTTAGTCATTCCGTTTCTCTTGGTATGATTGGCTGGACAGCCCAACGGATAGTTTGCAAGTATTAATCAATTCGTACTTGCGCCTCAAGCAGCGTAGGGGGAGGGATATTGTCAAGCTGTCTTTCCGTTCGTTTGTAAGTGATCAGTGATTTGAAGAGCCCGACATCTGAATCTTGAGTACCTCGTATCGGGGACCTTAGGTGGTGTAGCAACGGATTCGAGGGAAGCGAAGGGGCAACTGGCGGTGGACATCGTCATTGAAGAGACTAGAAGCAGAGGCGTCTCCTTGCTAAGGTAGATTCACTGAGAAGGGGGATAGCCATAGTAATCATTTAACACAGATTGATCGTCAGGCACAACATGCACAGGGTACCGCTATCCAGCAAGCAGGTTTTGCGCCTACCTCAATCGACCAAGCCAACTGTGCTGCTGAGTCACGGTACATCAGGCGTCAGAGTTGCCCATTACATGAGGATCAACGGTATTGTGACGATCCAAAGGGAATGGCTCTAGACGCGGTTTGCAGTCCATATGGTCTCTGTAGCTGTGCAGTGTCGTCTTCGTCCTATGTTACTTGCCCGCGGGGATTCCATACTTGAATATAGAGGAGACAGCTTCTGAACAGGCGAAGTGTCCGTTGGGGTGTGATTGGCATGAAACCAAGTGTAGAGAAGAAGAAGAATGAAAGACGATGTTGTGGCTTTTGAAGCAGCGCGCTGATCTCGCACGTGACTTCGCTCGGCTCCAAGTAGCTCGGTGGGTTCAAAGCCCGCCAAGTGACCTCATCAACAACACGCCCGCCATCGCAGGATCGCGTCGCACAAATTATGCCCACCGCCCGCATTGTTGTGCAATGCGCCATACCCTCGCTCTCCCTCTATGAATGTTGTTGACTGAGGCGCGTGTGTGAAAGCCCTACGTGACAACAATAGACAGCTGTGCCCGCAGCTTGCCTGTACGGCGCTCGTCAAGCCATGCCTCGCGCTCCCCTTCGTCGCAATCAGCTCAACCGAAATGGCCCGATTCCACGCGGCGCAAAAAAAAACAACAGTAGCCCGGCTAAACTGGAATTAGAGAAGAAGCTGGCGCATAAACCAATCGGCCCTCGACCGAACGATAGCGATGACAGCGATAGGCTCGTTGTCAAAGGCAATGGGAGGAGAGGCAGAAATGTTCCAAGGCAGGAGATTTACGCTTCTGGTGCAGTGGCTGCTGGTGACAAGCCGGGGAACTACCCTACCAGAGCCCAAAGGAGGAAAAACATGTCCCAAGCGACGAGGGAGATTGTTGCGACCGATCACCAGGAGACGCGAAAAGATGCGGGCTCCAGCCAGGTCAACAAGCAGCTACACCAGCCCAAGCCTAGGTCTCCCACCACGAATGGAATCTTGAAAAATGCGACGCACACGAACAAGGTACCTGCCACAACTATATCACCGGCTATGAAAGCTCCGGCTTCTGTTCAGCGTGCCACACAGCCGACTTCGGCAAGGGAAGATTCCATTCTCGGTACCTTGAAGCCCAGACGACGGCAGCCTAGCATTCTGCAAAACCTGGATCAGGATTCGTCGAGTTTTGACCTAGGCGAGGAAGAAGATTTTCTACCCGATGACGAGTCTACACCGTTCGGCGTCTCTAAACTATCGGACAAAATTACAACCCCTGTTCCAGCTTCACCTATGCTCTTGTCATCATCACGGAAACGCAAATATGGCTCCTCCAATCCTCTTAAGTCAGCTGAGATGGAATCCGTGCAAAAGCCAGCGACGTCACCCTTAAAGATCATGCATACATCGGAAACTACCCCGGAGTCCTTGCTTCCAGCTGTACCGCTGTCCAGTTTGCGTGAGTCAGGGCGAAGGCACCGCGAGAATGTTCGTGACGAAGATGATATCATGGCCCTCCCACAGAGCAGTTCCTCTCCTGCACCATCCCCTGTAAAGAGGACAACTTCATCATCCACAAAACCAACAAAGCATCCTACGAAGCTAGCTCCAGTCATGACCACGAAGGAGCTCCAAACTCACATGATGCCCACCAAGAGGCGAAGGACCGATCGGGAGCGAAAACAAACCCGTGAAAACTTCGACATTCCAGCCGATCTCGATCTTTCAGAATCCGAAGCCTCCGAGCAAGACGTGTCGAATTTCCTTCCCTCGAAGAAGGCAAAGAAATCACGACGGAAAGGACCTTTGACCAAGGCAGGCCACACGCGGACCAAGGTTAAATCGGGGAAAGCTGAAAGGCGGGACACTGTTGCTGCGTCATCAAAATCAAGGCCAAAATCAAGTACGAACCACCTCATCACTACTACTTCGCCTATATTGAGGCCATCTACTTCGAACCGCGAAGCTAAGTCTCCGTCACAGCATTCTACAAACTTGTCATCGAATATCAACGCAGAATCCCAGGCAGGACCGCCGAAGCAGTATGGTGGCTCCCTCCACGGAAACCGAGATACGGCTCATTGGCAAGACAAGGAAAACTACTTTAATCAAGACGGAAAACCTAGCCATCCGGGTCACGATCGAGTCGAGGACACGAGTAGCCTAAGTGAGACGCGAGAACAATTCGCTGAAGGAGATAGCAGAGTACAGAGCAAGCTAATACCCACAGGGAAAAGCAAGTGGGCAGAAATAGATGCTTGGGATATGGATTTTGAAGACGTTGAAGTTGTGACTGGGTCGGGTGGTAGCTCACCAACGCGTAGGTGACAAGCAAGGCTGCATTACTTTCACTTCACACGACTTCAGGATAGCAATGTCCCACGATCATGGTACGATCAATGAGCAAATGAATGGGTCATCTGTGCGAGTCTTCTCCAATTCTATGAGCACAATCTCCACCGAGCTCTTGGTTGAATGCCAACCAAGCTGTTGAAGCACGAGACCGCAACGCCGGGGATCCGGCGTAATAGCAACAGCTAAATGCCAGCGTTAGCATTCACCCAATCTTTTGGTGTATCAAGGAGATGATGCATCAATCACGCGAATCGTCCTCGTCCAGAAAATAGATACACAATTCTATAATTGTCACTTCATCTCTTTCAGCGACTTCGGTTCCTCCACTTGGAGTCCAAACGTGTCGAATACTGTGGGTTGGCCATTCATGAGAGGTATTGCTGTCCATAGACCCTGCTGAGAAAAGACAACTCTCAAATGGGCTGCGAGCTTTGAAGGTCCCTGATCTGAGAGAAGAAATGATTTTGATCCCAACGGGGTACTGAGCTCGGTCTACTACTGACATCGAGAAACCAAGAATATCTGGGAAAGAGGGGCTCGACAGTCAATATAGAGTGTATGGGACTTAGGATATCTCCCTTGGCATTAGAATCTCCGTTTCTTCCCCATTCAGCTGCTCGTATCCTGTACCCTTGGAGGGTCATCGTAATAGACTAGTGAAAGGCGTGATATGGAGTGGTCGACGAGGCTGTGATGCCAAGGCTAGATAAGGCTGAGATCGGGACAGTGCATCCCGCACTTCTGGGGAAGACAACCCACCAACACGCCATTGTTCAGCCTGCGCTCACCCACCCCTCCTACATTCATACCTGTGCGGTCTACCTTTGGCCAAATTTGCAAGAGATCTCCAGCCTGGCACTCCATAGGCCTGCGGCAACTCTAACCCCCCAAATAAAGTCACAATCGCCGAGTTGACTTCGCTTCTCACTCTCGCACATGGCAGATCCGTGAGCAAACCTTCGCAGCCCACTCACGGCGTTCATCGCTAGCCATGGACAAGCTTCTAGCGGAGAGCACTGCTCTCGTTTCAATCCCAATCCCTCAAGAAGAAGATCGCTATGACAAAACCGCAAAGGCGTTCGTAAACAAACTGAGCAAGCTTTCTCCGAATGAAATAGCACCTGCGAAAGATGATCTTGATGTAGGTCCATTCCAAGCAGGCTTGACGTGAAGTTGACCATATTGCAGGCGATCTCGCCCTCTAATCACACTATCCTCTACACCTACGTCCTTGTGGCCGGCATCGAAGCATCTGCAGCCAGCGGAAAGGCGCCTCCGAAGCAACTACCCTCAACCGCCCTCCCTGAAGGTGCCTTATGGCCCTACATCGCTCAGCTTCTCCTCGAATTCGACCCTGTTCAGGCGCGATATTGCGGCGTTCAATTCCTACGAATCGTCGACTGCGTTGCTCTGGGGGCAGAGCAGACCGCGAATTATGTCCCTGCTGTCTCACTGCTTCACCATGTCATTCTCAGACTCGACAGCAGCTCTTCTACCCTGACCTCCACACACCGCACATTCCTCCGCCTGTGTCTTCTGTCGCAAGCATATGCTGAAGCTGTTCGTATTCTAGACCATCCGATCTATCACATTCCTTCCTCCAGGCCGGACCCCCGCACAAATAGATGTCTTTGCTCGGGTTCGGATCAGCCATGGAATTTCCTGAGCCCAGCCACAGGTCTCAGTCTACCAGTCACAAGTCGGACATATCTGGAATACTATCTGATGGGAGGCATGTGCTACATGGCTGTGAGAAGATACAAGGATGCTATGTTTTTCCTCGAGGCTGCCTTTACCGCACCCACTGTTCAGAACGTCGCCAGCATTATTATGGTGGACGCATACAAGAAATGGCTGTTTGTTGGCCTATTGCTGACAGGCGCCACTCCTCCCATACCCAAATCTGTTGGTCAGAATGCCATCAGGAATATTCGAGCGCTTGCCAGACCGTACGAAGCTGTTGCCGAGGTTTTCAAAGGTTCCAGCATCGAATTATTGCGTGCAGAAATCGAGGCAGGCAATCAAATTTGGCAGGACGACGGAAACTATGGTCTCGCGGTCGAGGTCTTTCAAGCTTTCCGAAAGTTTGCAGTCCAGAGACTGAGCAGAACCTTCGCAGCGCTCTCAATAGCAGAAGTCGCAAAATGGACCTCGCCAGATCCGTCAAATCTGGCCGAGACGAAAGCATATGTTGACATGTTGATTCTGAACGGCGACCTCAGCGCGGTAATCACAGACGGTCCTGGTGGTGCCCAGACCCTGCGGTTCTTGCCTACATCGGCTGCCACACGGCCAGAGGCACAAGTTGAGTCGGCACTCGCCGCGCAGACACGAGAGCTCCAAGTCCTCCTCAAACATGTTCAAGACACCGAGCATCGCATGGAAGTCTCCAAAGAGTACATCGACTACCTCAAGAAGCTCAAGAAAGTCAGAGATGACAAACAAGCTGGAAAGGGCAGTGGGAGGGCAGCAGCTGATGAAGACATTGATGAGGACATGATGGAGGAAGTCTAGCATTGCATTTGGGATCGAGCATTCGTCTGATTGTTTGAGGCTGTGTACGCACTTCCTCAGCGCTCCACGTCCAGTAGCTTGTAGGTGGTTACGATGGACACAATGGACCGGGTAAGTTGATCTTCGCCCACTTCAAGACAGATAACCGAGCTCGAAAGCGATGGCTGCATTTCCTAGAAGACGGGGATTTATGCGCAGCCACTTCTGAGCGGCAGTTACTTCATGAAGAAGAATCCATGTAACACATAATAATCTGCCTTATGATTGTCCATTCGATACGAGATGCTCAGAGAGAGGCTGAGGACTGCATGAGGCTGAGCCACCCTTTCCGCTTACAATGACCTTGAACACATCGGGCGGCCTGGACCAGACTGCGTCTTCTCCTTCCTCTCCTTTTCAGTACGTGACATTGAACTCTATAGGCGTGTAAATGGACTGAAGATGATCACTTGGCAGATGGAAGCTCTTTGGAGTGTCTGCATCACCGAATCTGCTCAAGCCTCGTCAATCCCAGGCTGACATAGAATCAGCGATGCCGCAACCCCAGGAAAGCCGTAAGTATCGGCCAGGTTAAAAGGCGGGTGAATAGACGGGGGTGGGTTCACGGTGAGGTCAAGATTGGAACCAGAACAAGGACATAATAGGCTAATTGGGATGATTGCTGTGACATGTTGCATATTTTAGATATGACTATATGTCCCTCGCGCACCATGCGCTCAAGTCCTTGACCCTGTCCGGCTTCGGCACACGCCAGCAAGACTTATTGTTTCGATCAACCTCGCATCGCACCATGCCGACGTACGTTCTGACGGGGGCAAACCGAGGCCTCGGTCTCGAATTCGTGCGCCAAATCTCCTCGGACAGCGCCAACACCGTCATCGCCGCCGTGCGCAGTCTGCAAGGCGAGCTGGACGACCTCAAGCAGCTCGCCTCGACGGCCGCGGGCACGGTGCACATCCTGGAGTGCAACACCGGCGACCTGCAGTCGATCCGCGCCTTTGGCGACGCCGTCAAGCAGCCCCTGGCCGGCAGCGGCGGCGGCAGCAAGCAGATCGACTATCTCCTCAACAACGCGGGCATCAACGCCACCCCGGAGCAGAGCAGCCTGGACATGACGGCCGAGAGTCTGCGGAACCACATCGACGTCAACGTCATGGGCCCGGCCGAGACGGTCAAGGTCCTGCTGCCGTATCTGGGCCAGGGCAGCGTGGTGATGAACATGACCAGTGGCCTGGGCAGCTGTGGGAAGAAACTGTAAGGCCTGCGGCTTGTCTTTTTACCCGCCCATCCCCTTTTTCTTTGACCAATGGACACCCGATCCTGCGTGTTCTTCTACGAGGGAGAAGAAAAAAAAGAATGATTGACCCGTCTATGCTACAGACCAAAGTGCACGACATACTCCATCTCCAAGGCCGCGGTGAACATGTTGACGGTGCATCAGAGCGAGCAGTTGAAAGACCGCGGCATCAAGGCCATCTGCATGGATCCCGGTACGTTTGCCAACTGCGGTTCTCATCCTGGTTCACCCCGACCACAAAGCGGTAGAGCAAAAGGCTGACCACCTCACCCTTTGCATAGGGTGGGTCAAGACGCGAATGGGCGGCGAGGGCGCGATCTTGGAGCCCGACGTCAGCATTGGAGTAAGTTGTCATGCCCCCGTTTTCTCGCTCTTCTGATAGATAGGAAAGACAAGAGGTATTGTGGATGCTAACGATCGAAAACTAATTCCAGGGAATGCTGAAGACCCTGCATGGACTGAAGGACTCGGATACAGGGAAATTCTATACATACACGGGTGACGAAGTGCCGTGGTAAAGTGGCTGTTCACGTCGTGAGACGAGCCCCGAAATCCTCCTCTATGATATATCTCCGCGGGCGGAGTAGACATATAGATATATACATATATAGAGAGAGTGTGTGTATGTGTGTGGTCACCGGGTAGAGAAAACATCTCTCCTATTTCCACATCTTCTCAAGATTTCTCAACAATAGATACACGCACTGTGGGGAGAACGCCAGCACGCTGAGTTGTGGGCACGTCTGCGTCTATAAAATGGGCCTTTGGCTGCTGTCGAGGGGTGGAATGATCTTGATAGCGTCAGGCATGCAGTGTATAAGACCGTCCCGAACGCCTAGGCACGAGGACCGAAGTCTTCCTTTGCACTATTAGGTAGGAAGATGTGGGCAGAGACAACGGGCGACGGGTTGCTCATATGAGCCCCACTGGTTAAATGCGTATGTACCCAATGAGCCAGGTGTATAGCTCGATATGTACGAGGTATCGGGCATCGGTCAATGTACCTAGGTCATCCTAAGCACCGTGAATGCTCTTATCAACGCCAGCAATTAGGTTGTCCGAGGGCCAGTGTTGTATGTTCACGACATGTGCACTGGGGAATGTGGGCAACGAGACGTCTTCATCCCAAGCAAGATCCAGGCTAGGCCGGCTCGAAGGAAATGTCAGCGTGGCAAAGAGCACAGAGTCCGTGGGATATATGATTTGGCTAACACTGAGATGAGTAGCGACAAGCGAAAGATCTCCTTGTTGCTGTTCTCGCCCACGCGCCCCTTTGTGTCCTGTACGCAGAGCTTCCCGTGTAGCATTGGGGGCACGCTGCTGGATTCTACCCAGGGTGCATCCAAAAGCTCAGCTATACCATACCACGATCGCAATGCTCTTCCCTCCAACATGAAAGAGGCCCTGCATGACCTGCAGAGGTCCAGTCCCCTAACCACCGAGAGGGGTGAGGCGATACACACCGAACAGCAAACTTGGAACTAATCTAGTAGTTTGATTGAATCAGCCTTTCAATTTGCAAACCGACCTATACTCCTGCCGTTTGTCTGCGAAGAAAGAAGGGTATCCGCCTATTGACACAATTTTGTCCTGCCACTGGCTGGTCCTCTTGCAGGATTTTCAACTCTCCGATCTCATCCTTTCTCACGCCGTCGCACTGGCACCCGTGTCGGTTGTCGCAGTGACTCGTTCAATTTCAATCTTGGGCATCGCCGCCGAGGCGGAACCCAAGTCCGTCGCCTTAGCCTTGGGGTCTAATAGACAACAAAGTCAGCGATTTCTATCCGACGTGTCTTTTGAGAAGAAGTGGACCTACTTTTCTTATAATAGTCGCCGATGGCGCTCTTGATAGCATCCTCGGCGAGCATTGAGCAGTGTAATTTGACTGGCGGCAGGCACAGTTCTTTTGCAATCTCTGTGTTGCGGATCTTCCCTGCTTGTTCTAGTGTCATGCCGCGCACAAGCTCGGTGAGATAGGACGAGGAGGCGATCGCGGAGCCGCACCCGAAGGTCTTGAACTTCACATCGCTGATGGTTTGAGTGTTGGGATCGACCTTAATTTGCAGTTTCATCACATCGCCGCAAGCAGGCGCTCCAACAAGGCCTGGATAGTGATGGATATGTCAGCTAAAGTTGTGTGCGTTATGGGGTTTCGACCGAAGCTCGCTCTCCTCCGCGGAGTGGCCGAGCTCCGGACCGTGTGTTTGTGAACATTTTCCCCAAGTCGACGTACCTGTCCCAACATCCACCGCAGATTTGTCCATCGAGCCGACATTTCTTGGGTTTGAGTAATGATCAAGGACCTTCTCGTGATAACTTCGTCGCTGCTGCGAGACGGCGGCGGCGGGTCTGAGCGATGACGGGGAGGCGAGACTCGGTCGGACAGCGGAGGTTTGGACCGAGGTGCGCATTGCACGAGGAACCGAAAGGAGAGCTCGTCGGGACATGGTGATGGTTGGTAGGCGAGTGTGTATGGTGTGTTTGGTTGTGCAGCGAGCTGAATTATAGGATCAGACTTGGTAGAAAGAGTGTGTAGGTTGTTGAGTGAGTCTGATAATGAGAGGTGCTGCGTCAAAAAGTAATTGACGAAAGATGTCGACCCTTCGATGGCGAAGGAGGGGCGGGGTGGCCGTCGCTCATTGGCTGCGTTGCATGTGACTAGCGCGCTAAGCCTTTTCCAGATATGACGTCGCTCCAACTCGGTCGACCTTTCCGAGTTGCGACTGGCGCGAGACAAATCAAATCGAGTAATTGCCAGCGACCGCCTCGACGCGCCCAGATCAGAGATCGCGTTGCCCTTGGACAGGATGGAGAAGACACGGAAGAACAGAACATCCTCGTCCACAACACCCAGGAAAGATCACCTCAAGAATCCCTCCCATCCATACACCTTTGAACACCTTCACAACGCGTACATCACCTCTCTGTCCCACGGCAGCGATATGCCCCTCCCGTCCAAGAAGAGAAAGTCCGCAGCCGGCGACGACAGCGACCTGGATGTATCCACCACCAAACGTGGGAAAGGTGCCTCAGGGAGTGCTTTCGTCCCATCCTCCAAGCCACAAGTGGATTCAGATGGAAATACATACTGGGAGATCTCCAAGGCGAGGCGGGTCACCCTCTCCGAGTTCAAGGGCAAGAAGCTGGTCAACATCAGAGAGTATTATGAGAAGGACAACCAGTGGCTGCCAGGAAAGAAGGTATATGTGACGTGCATGTTTGATTTGTGAGGGTGCTGATCCATGATTCGCAGGGCATCTCAATGAGCATTGAACAATATTCAGCTCTCATTGAAATCATGCCTCAAATCGAAAACGTGCTCAAGTCACAAGGCGAAAAGATACCTCGACCAGACTACGACGGAAACGCACCTGCTGGAGATGACGAAAGCGACGAAGAAGGCGCAGACGGAGATGAAGAGATGGACAGAAAACCTAATATTGAGGCCACGAGTGATGAAGATGAGTGAGGCGATCACCTGATACCACACGACTGCGCCCACACATCTTAAGACGAGAATCGACCGGTCCATGACGGGCTTCAGTGATCAAGTACAGTCCATGGGACCGCCGGACGATTAAGCACATCAACATTTTACATGAACGAGGTTTATGGTATGTATCGATCACTCCTAGCGAGGCGTCTGACTGACATGACAGGCATCGACAGTAGCTTTCTGGCCTCGGCAATCAAAGCTCTCAAGAGCTGGATTCCCATTCCGCAAGCCGGGAAGCAAGGCTTCCCTTTTTCCAATGCTTCTCATAGTCCTCTTTCAGCTGGACTTGGGACTCTTCGCCCGGCTTGCCATAACCGCCGCCGCCAGGTGTCATCTAGGGAGAAGAATCAGTCAGCGCTGTGCCCTTAATCTCCGTGGCGGATCGGTACAAATGAGACTTACCACAATGATCCTCTCGCCAGGCTGCATGCTAGCAGTGTTTTTGGCTCCGAGGTTGATATACCTCTCCACATACTCATCGTCGTCCCCTGATTCTCTTCGCTGCCCTTCATGTTCACCACCTAGACCTTTGCTCTCCCCTTTCTTGATCTTCCTGACCCAGATATTCTTGCCACATTGAGCGTCACCTCCACCATGCAACCCATAGGGATGGTACACTCTCCGCTCACTCAAGATACTGACTTGCACAGGGATGCGGAACTCGATGTCTCGTATCACGCCATCTCCACCTTTGTGCTGACCCACGCCACCACTGCCAGCCCTGAGACTGAACTCCCTTAGGATGACAGGATATCTCCGTTCAAAGACCTCCGCATCTGTAATTCTTGTGTTCGTCATATGTGTGTGGACACCGCTTGTTCCCTCCCAGTCCTTACCCGCGCCACTTCCACCCGCAATGGTCTCGTAATATCCAAATCCCTTCTTCTCCGTTCCACCCTTCATATTTCCACCAAAGCCAAACGTCAAGTTGTTGCAGTCTCCTTGACTTGCTGCACATGCTTCGAAGCACTTGAACACGACATCCGTGACCCGCTGACTGGTCAAGACGTTACCACCCACCACGGCGGCCTTCTCGCTCGGAGAGAGAAAACAGCCAGGCGGGATGCGCACGTCCACAGGCTTCAGACACCCCTGGTTCAAGGGGATGTCCTGGTCGATAAGACATCTCAAGCAGTAAATGATTGCCGAGTAAGTCACCGCCTCGGGCGCGTTGATGTTTCCGTATACCTCAGGGCCGGTGCCCTCAAAATCAAACAGGGCCTCTCCTTTGTCGGCATCGATCTTTATCTTCAGGCAAATGGGGCTGCCGTCGTCCATGTAATCTACCGCCTGAAGGTGCTGGCCTTCAAACCTCTTGTGCACTTCCTTCAACAACTCCCGCACCGATCTCTCGGCGTTGTCCTGGATGTTCTGCATGTAGAACTGCACCACGTCCTCGCCGTAGTCCTCTATCAGCGCACTGATGAGGTTGATCCCCTTCTGATTGGCGGCGATCTGCGCCTTGAGGTCGTTGATGTTGTCTGCCAGGCACCGCGTGCCGCTGCACTCGGGGTACTGGGCCGGCTCATCGTAGAGAAGCTCGGTGATTCGCTTCTCGTCGAACTTGCCCTGCGAGACGAGTTTCTCGGACTTGATGGCCGCGCCTTCTTGGTACAGTTCGCGGGAGTGCGGAGGCATGCTGCCGGGTAAGATGCCGCCTATGTCGGCGTGGTGGGCGCGCGAGGCGACGTAGAAGATGATCTTGTCGCCGGAAAAGGCGGGCGTGACGACCGTGATGTCGGGGAGATGCGTGCCCCCGTACTCCGGGTGGTTGGAAACGATGACATCCCCCCTTTTCAATTTGCCCTTCCAGATCTCCGCCTGTGTGCGCACGCAGGTCGACATGCTCCCGAGGTGGACCGGCAGGTGAGGAGCATTCGCGACGAGACCGCCCTCGGCGTCGAAGAGGGCACAGGAGTAGTCCAGCCGTTCTTTGACGTTCGTGCTCACAGAGGTCTTTTGCAGCGCGCGACCCATCTGTTCTGCAATCGCCATGAAGCGGTGCGCGAAGATCGAGAGCAAAATCGGGTCGACTTCCTTCGTGTTGACCCTTTTCGCCGTGCCTTCTTCGCCAATGTTGATCACCACATGTGTCTTAATTATCAGGGCCGATGCCTTGGGGTCGATGATGATTGTCTGCGTCCCATCCGCGATGATGGCGGGACCAGGGATGCGCGTGCCCACTTCGAGATCTTCGAGTTTGTAGATCTTTGTGGGAACACGGCCGCCTTCAAAGTAGACTTCAGATGTCGTGTATGCCTTGTCTTCGGCCACATCCTTTGGTTTGATTTCCTTGAGTTGCTGGTCTGCCGTTTTGGACATGCCCCGGAAGGACTTCCCTATGCCCCGCACGCGCACGTCGTCCACGATGATGTCTCGGTCTGGGAGGGTGAAGCCGAATTCCTGCTCGTGTTGGCGTACGAACGCGTCACCAAAGGCCCAGTCGTCGCCACCGTAGAGTTCCTTTGCTTCATCCGGGTTGGGTTTGATTACCATTAACGCAGATTCAGTGCCGCGGTATCGCATGTTGAGGTATTCTTCGTACTCGATCGAGTCGTCCCCGAATCCTTGATCCTTTAAGTGCTTGCGGGACCGTTCTTTGAGGTCGTTCATCTTTGCCTTCAACTCGTCGCGCGGGGTGCCCTTTTTCATGTCCCAAACGTGTGATTCGGGGACTTGATTTTCGTCCACCACGTCGGCAAGCGCCATCCCGTAGGCGGAGAGGACGGAAGAGTATCGATGGACGAGGATCTGCCTGATGCCCAGGGATTCGGCGATTGCTACAGCGTGTTGGCCTCCTGCGCCGCCGAACGTCGCGAGTCGATGTTGTGAAGTATCGTGGCCCCTCGCCTCAGTCAGTGATCGAATAGGCCTCGTCATGGTCTCATTGGCAATCTTGATGAATCCGTAGGCCACCTCATCGGCTGACATGTTCTTGTTTGTCTTGCTGTTGATCTCGTCTGTCAGCTCTTTGAAGAGCTTCCTACTGGCTTCTGGATCGAGCCCTTCGTCTTCATTTTTGCCGAAAATCTTGGGGAAGAAGTCCGGGAGCAGTCGACCGAGGAAGAGATTTGCGTCGGTGACAGTGAGCGGACCGCCCTTTCTGTAGCATGCTGGGCCGGGATGTGCACCAGCAGATTCTGGCCCAACGACAAACAGGCCATTTCTGAAGAACAAGCGGGATCCGCCACCTGCAGCCACGGTGTTTATGTCGAGCTGAGGGGACTGAATGGTGACCCCTGCCGTGGTGGTCTCGAACACATGCTCATATCGGCCTGCGCCATATCGACTGACGTCTGTGCTCGTACCGCCCATATCGAATCCGATGACGGGGATTTTGGTCTCTGGGTCGTACGATGTCAACGCATATCCGACGACACCGCCTGCCGGCCCTGACAAAATTGCCCGCAAGCCTGAGAACTGATCCACGTCCACGAGACCTCCATCTGACTGCATGAATTCACACCTTGCGCCTCTGTCACCTTCTTCCTTCTTCACGCTCTCTGTGCCCAATCCACCTTCAAAGCCGGCTTGAAAGCCAGAAATGTATTTTCTAATGGCCGGTGTGAGGTAGGCATCTGCGCAGGCTGATGTCGCCCGTGGGACCAACTTGATCATGGGCATGAGTTCATGGCTTAGACTTACGTGCTCAAAACCAGTATCACGGGCAAGCTTGCCGACCAATGCTTCGTGGTCGGGAAACGTGTAGCCATGCATCAAGCATACCGCGATGCTTCGGAAGCCTTGGTCGAAGAGTTCTTTGAGCTGCTGCTTGATTTTATCTTCCTCGGGCCTCCGTAAGATCCTAACTGCCTCCCCGGACAAGCCTTGGACAAGATCACTGCTTTTGTAGTTCTCGTGACTGGATTCAGCTTTCGTCTTGCGCCGCTCAGGATCCTCCGCGTAGTCTTCCAACGTCACTCTTTCATCAATCTCGACTACGCTCTGATAAAGCACATCGGGTCGTCGAATGGCCAGATCGAAAATCTTCGGGCGGGACTGGTTTCCAATCTCCAGGCAGTCTTTAAAGCCCTTGGTAACGACCATGGCCATTTTCTCTCCCTTTCGCTCCAGTAGTGCGTTGGTAGCAACAGTCGTGCCCATGCGAATGCTCTCTATCTTGCTTGTGTCAAGTGGCTCACCACGGGGAATCTCTCGGCCTGTGAATTTTGACATGAGCCTGCGAATCCCTTCCAGAGGTGCATCGTCGTAGTTTGAGGGGTCCTCCGACAGCAGTTTGATGATAATATCATCTTCCATCCGCCCCGTTCCCGGATTCCCAACACAGTCCGTGAACGTGCCTCCTCGCTGTATCAAGTCAGATACTTGGGAGGTGCATTAGTAAGTCGGTTAACTCACGTCGATGGCAATGCGAATGCCTCTTTCTGCGCCCCCAGCGTCCCCCATTGTGAAGTCCTTGATCAAGCGGAAAACAGTGTTTGAGTTCGAGTTTCAGCCGAATAGTTTCCTGTTATAAGATGCCAGAACCAGTCCGTAAGAGTCACGCCAGGAAATCAGGTGGTTTTCATAGGAGAAGTCCGTATCAATGTCGTTTGCATCCACTTGGCCGACAACCACAAGAATCGAGGCCCAAATCCGCATCAAACGGAGACAAAATCCAGTAGAAATGTATATCTCTATAGTCGGATTTACACACAATTCCGAGTATGGCATATGGTACAACAGATGAAAAGTCATGGGCGTGATTTGCGGTTTCGTCATGGCATTTTGTCATTTTTGCGCTTGTGTGCGTGAAACATCCGCCGTATGATATACGGCGAGTTCTATGAGCGCGAGCTGCAGACATCGAAAACATTGCCGTTCATTGTCAAACATGCACGGATATGCAATGGAAAAGCATCAGTAAAACAGTACGGCCAAGTCAAGAAGTCTCATCCACCAACCCATTTCCGTGAATATACACACCTCTCGCCAGCCACACATCCCAAAGAAACCTCTTTCAAAGAAGAGCTAGCCCAATGCCAGTCCCCCATTCCCCTTCACTCGCCGCATGGATATTTCGTCAATAAAAAGTCGCTCATTTCCGTCTCCAAACGGACGCCCTTGCGAGCCGTTGGATACTTCATCCCCAATCATGTGTCAAGCATCTTCAAGTCCTGCCGATGAAGATCAGGAATCAGAGCTCGAGTCTCGATCTTTGCTGCTCCCGGATGCTCTCTGGAAACCCCGTTCGCCACCCTTTGTCACACAGTGCTTGACGACCCAAGGGTGCCGGAGGACATCATCAAGCGGAATCCGCTTCTCGGGGTCAAGGACCAGAAGCTATAATACCCTGTTAGCAATTCTCCAGGAATGCTCAGATGAGTGGTATTCACTCACTCGCATAATGAGGTCCTTGGCCTCAGGACTGACGAAACTGGGAACCGTCATGTCGCATCGGGCAATCCTTCGCTGTGTCATGACCGCTGTGTCCTCAAAAGGCGCTTCTCCAACCAGGAACTCGTATGTCAAAACACCCAAACTCCATAAATCGACCTTTTCGTTGTAGAAATTGTCGGAGCTCCCTGGCTTAAGCATCTCCGGAGGCAGATAATCCAATGTGCCGCACATCGTTTGCCTCCGGTTGTTTGGAGCGTGTACCGACCAGCCAAAGTCTGAAATCTTGATCTCTCCGTGGATGCCCACCAAAATATTTTCGGGCTTGATATCTCTGTGCATGACATGCTTTTTGTGCAGATACTTGAGTGCGGCGGCCATCTGAGCAATATACTGCGCTGCTTTCCATTCGGGGAAACGACCTTCCTTGCGCAGATGCTTATATAGCTCACCCTTGCCTGCGAACTCGAGGATCAGGAATACTCGCTTACTGTCGTGGAAATGGCCAAAGAGCCTCAAGATATTTGGGTGTCTTAAGTTGGACTGAATTTCGATTTCTCGTCGGACTTGCTTCTCCACTTTGCCTTGTTGCAACTCGGATTTGTGAAGGACCTTCAGGGCGCAGACGAACCCGGATGATCTCTCCCGTGCAAGATACACTCGACCGAATTTTCCCTTCCCGAGCGGCTTTCCAATCTCAAACATTCCAAGATGGAATTGTTTAGGTGCTTGTGGGTGATCGAAGAAATATTTCGGGGTAGATCTACTACGTATAGAGTCATCGCTCTCGTCCGACTCACGGGCTGCTTGAAGGGCTACCCGCACTGGCGAAGGGGGATGGGTTGGCACAGTTGTTGTGGTTGTTATTGTTGCGATTGACGCAGTGTTCTGTTTCGATTCCGTAGTGGCTTGGAGGGGATATTTGACAAGATTTGTCCGGGGTTGAGTTGAGGAAACGGTTGGTAATACTCCTGGGCCCGCGCTCTGTTGTGGTAGAATTAGAATGGGGCATGTGTAAACAGGAAGGGTTATCAACAAAGCAAGCTACCTTTGATTTGAGAAGTGTTGCAGTGGGTGCTTCATTTTCGTCGTTGACGCTGAGGTGCTCGAAGCGGGATTCTAAAGTTTTGGTGGCCATTTCGAAGGAATATTCGTGGCGAGAGATGAAGGAACAGACAAAGGAACAACGATATCTCGATCTCCAAGACGATTACTGCCGGGCGTAGTTGGGTATTGTAAGAGCAGTCGGTGCGTTTCGGCGACTCGGTCATCTATCGCAGATAGACAAGGTCTTGGCATAAACACTGATCGTCGGCCGGGGCAACCGTGCCTTGCGCCCTCGTAGCCCTCGCTTCCCCGCGCTGGGTCACAAAGGCACCCAAGACGTTTCTGCGATTTGCTCTCATCGCACTTTGCTCGACACCGAAGACCAAATCACTTTTCCCATTCGGACATCCACCTCTTTCAAGGGGTCTTTGGCAGGGCTCCAGGTGACGTCGCAATTGACGCAGTCACCATGGCAGTCAACGGTCATCGGCCACCTGATGGCTTCAACACAACGTTTCCCTCGCCCTCTGCTGCTCCACCACGGTCGTTCTCAATCGAAGGGTTCCGCATCACGACCCAGAAGTTGCCCATCTTGAAGGCCGGCCCTATCGAAGAGATGACGAACAAGCTGGGGATAGCTCCACCTGAAATGATCTTTGGCGATAACTTCGTGGCTATTGAACACGCACCCTCGCACTGGGGAATCAAATTTGATGCCTTTGGGGCACTAGATCGAGTTGACAAGACAGGGGAGAGGCGGCTGAAGGTCGCCTACTCCCGAGAATGGCAACAAAGCAGAGAAGACGCGCATGACATCAAAGAAGTTATCAAACCATTCGACTGGTCCTATACCACTGACTATAAAGGTGATCTTGCGGAGGGGAGCCCCGATTTCCATACCGCCACTGAAGCCATCCCTCTCGAGCTATTAAGACGACCAGATCCCATTCTGTTCTTCGATGACGTGATCCTGTACGAGGACGAGCTTGCTGATAATGGCATTGCCATGCTGTCGTGCAAGATCCGCGTCATGCCTGGGCGCCTACTCCTCCTCTGCCGGTTCTTCATGAGGCTGGACAATGTGTTGGTCAGACTGCGCGATACCCGGCTATACATCGACTTCGGGAAGAAGGAGGCAATCAGAGAATACATCGCAAAGGAGGAAGCGTATGACAAGGTTCGCGATGAATTGGCGAACAGGAGGGATGATGTGACCGCAGTGCTACGAGATGCAAATCAAATGGGCGATATCTTACCCGTCGTCGAAAAGACTCTTGAACGAGTCCAACTGAGAACGTAAGGGAGCCGCCGACACGCGAATCCATAAATGAACGGGACAATCCCCATCTATGTGCGATCGAAAATGCAGGTTTTGGGTTGCTGAGGAAGCGATGATCCTTGGTCCATTCAGGAAACCACCGGCTCAGTGGGGATGTCGCGCAGGACAATAGAGAGACGAGGTGCCCGGAACCCACGTTGTGGTCATTGTGGTTCCACTGGACGGGAGCCTACAAGTATTCATCAACATCCCAGTCGCAGCCCGGGTTTTGTCAGTCCAAATAAAAAGGGTGCAGCTCTGCAAAAGTGGAACCACGTCTGTGATGGTACCTAGGAAGGACGGGCAAATGGCCCTTCCTGACGCTACCTATACACTAGCATGGCCGCGATGACCGGGATGCGGTTCCTTGCGAACGAGGAAAGGCAGCGCGGGCAGGGATGTATCGAAGCGGTCGACTGTGCCCGGGCATAAAGGACATACTTTGCCAGGATTCATGCAAGGCTGCATGTAGCCACATCAATGTACCGAGTACGATATGGAGCATCAGCCCCAGCACCTGGCTTCTGTCGGGGTTTAAATCCGAGTGCCTTTCCGTGGTCCCTGCATCCTCCTTGTATTTGTACTCCTTTCTTCTTACCCTACTTTCGAATGGTCTTATATTCCCGCCAGACTCGTGGAGTAGGCCGCAAGGTTGCGAAGCAGGGAAACGATTTCACCGTACAAAGGGTTCGAGATTGTCCTTGCCTCGGCTCTGACCAATTGATGCCTTCAAGACGCGCTGACACGCGTGCTGAATGACCATCAACCCCGGGAAGCCATGTCGGAGGCTGCGCGAACCACCTGAGCGACGCGGATGAGGCCAATTTCCACTGTCCCAAAAGGGGAAAACGTCGACTTCGCGTCCAGCCAATGACATGGCTTGTTTCTCAGCCTTCTGCTAACCCCTTATCCATTCCTCGCCTATTCTCGTGAGAATGACTCCCAGCGATCTTTTAGCATGAAGCCACAAGGTCCGCAACAGGAAGATGACACCGGCTCGCCCGCAGGACTCTGGCCTTCTCGGCAACTACTCTCGCAAATCCCCCACGGCAGACGAGCCTGACAAGGTTGGTCCCTGAAATTTCGTCAGCACCACGAGGCATCTGTTTTTCTAACTCAAGTCTCGCCCTATCCCCCCCCTGCCTTCGCGACTCTCTTCTGAAACTTGCACAAACACTCGTCTGGCCTTTGCGGTGCCATGGGCACAAGAATGGACCATCGGAGAGTGCTTTATCCGCTGGCATTGAATATTTTTCTTTGCTTCTGTGTTGCATCACCTTCAGTGCCCATAGCAACGGATCCTATTCTGTCAACCGTAACGATACCGACGGTTATACCATCTTTGGTGACAATATACTCAGTCGTTCCGGCTACCGACGCGACACCAGATGCCCTGACTATCACCACCACGATCGATGGCCAGACATCAACGATAATATCAACTGGAGCAATAGCCGGTTCGATTACCAGTACGATTATCTCCACCATCACTTTGACTACAAGTCAAGTGGTCGTCAATACCGTCGGTTATTCGACAATCCTGGGGCCAGATCCAGTCGCAACGGTAAGCCTTGTGCCATTCTATACCTTGCATCCCGTTTCTCATAGTAGCATTTTATGAGATAATCCGCTAGTTGATGATGCCTTCGTCCATTTTCTTGTATCAAAATTCTGACTAGAGCTCAATAGACAACTGCTCCGAGTGTCCCCCCAGATACGGCGACATCCACATCTGAAACACCTACATCGACAACTACATCTGCATTAGGCGCGTTGTCGACGACTTCTGCGGTTGGCGATACCAGCGCTTTGGCGACCTCGAGTGCCAGGTCCACAACGTCAACTTCCATACAAAGCTTATCCATTTCATCTAGTCCATCGCCAACCGGAACCAATGCTTCGGCCCAAGCCTCACACTCTTCATCCACGTCGAAAGGACTCTCCACAGGTGCGAAAGCCGGGATTGGTGTTGGCGTCGCCCTGGGAGTCATCCTGTTAGCTCTTCTGTCGTTTTTGCTTGGCCAGCGCTATTCGCGGCGTCGCAACGAGCATGCGAGGAACAAAACCGATCTAAATGGCGCCGACGAAAAGGACATGTTCCGAGCGGGTCGTCCATATGAGACAACAGGGCCAAGACGCGATGCTCTCGGCCTATCTGCCGGCAAGGGCCATCCATATTCCACGAACACAACAGCAGTTGGCAGTGGGTCGGAATCCGGGAGCGGCAGGTCCTATGACATGCCAGTCTCAAATTCGTCGAAAAACCGTGCGGACAATCCGGAACTTTCAGCTTTGCCTGCAATCGAAAAAGGAGACGAGCCCATGTATGTGGGCGTCCCTGCACACATGTCAGGCTCCAAACGTTGGAGCATGAAAGAATTTATGAAATGATGCATTACCTGTTTGGTCATCGACCCGTTTTATTTTTCTGAGCACCTCTCTGATGCCTTGCGTACCGACGAGATCTTGCCTTAGGGACGAACTGGCCAATCAAGAAAGACATTCAGACTCGGGAATTGCTACGGAGCCAGTGAGATTTTTCCATTTCCGGGAATACTCAAGTCCATCCTTTCAGACGCCCACAATGCGGCTGCGCGCCACTGTCCATTCCTCAAAAGGACCAATCCAGCGCGTTCCAGTCCGGGAAACATCACTGGAGACAGAAACCCAGACACAACTCGAGCCTCCGACAAGTTCTGGATCGATCCATGAACCAGCGATGTCGGGTCATCAGGACGCAGGCTATCTCCCAATCGTGTCATATGTCAATCCTGTCGCCAACAGCGCCATTCCACCTCCTACCGAGGCTGGCCAGCGTCTTCCAGAAAACCTAAATCAGTCCAAAGGAAGACACTTTCAGCCACTAAGGTCGATGCCCGACTGCCCCGAGCACTCCGAAGAAAATCGCAGCTTGGGCCCTGGGTCATTTGACAGTTGATATACACTGTTGACACAGTTCTTTTGGTGTTACACACTTCGTCGAAGCGCATCCTTTTGCTTGATATTTGAGGACATTGAATCTCTACGACATGCCGAGTATACGGAAACGGACCACAGTACGTTTGGGCGAAAGACCATACGGGGAAATCAGACAACATCGCAATTTGAAGGCAGTAATAAGGAGGCCCCTACCGCGGTGGTCGCCAGGGACTCCATTACGATTAGTGTTTAATCCATAATCTACATTTTCCTCTTTACTTCAGCCTGGTCAGAATGCCACAATACAAGTATATAAAAGTATGTGGTCTGCTCTCTTCGGGTCGGCGGCTTGCCAGAAATGGATTAGCTTGCCAAGTCCATGTCACGTGCCGTGAGCTAGCGACAAAATTGGACGATCGCCCTTCCCCGACGTCCAACTTTTACCTTTTCACTATCCTTCAACGACATCCGTATCCAAAGACCGCCGCTCCTTGATCGTCGCTGACCCCTTGGTACCGCGTCTGACAGATTGCTACAATTCTCTCGGCTTTTCCGCGGTGGATGGTTGAAGATGCCGGCCCTGTTGGAGGACCCAGAATCCCCTGTAGTCTATCGGGCGTCTGGACCGGATCCGTACCCGACCGCCATCAATCCCCAGATACCTTCATCGATTTTTCCCAGGCCTGTCACGCTTCGCGACCGTGTCACCGTTGCCACGCTCATACCGTTCTTCTCTCCTCGTGCTGTCCCAAAGAGACTACTCGCATATCTTTCGGAGCAGCTCAATAAGGAAATTCTGGGTGGGGACACGTATCCGATGATCGATCCGCTACCTCTGGATGTCTTTGGGCCCTATTGGTTTGGTAATTTTGGTGCTGTCATGATCCTCGGTAACATTGGAGGCATTGAAGACGTATCCGCCATGGATCGGGAGGGTGTGGACTGGAACAAAAAGTGCTTAGGCAGCTTTTACATCAAGCCCAATTATCCTGGTCGAAGCAGCCATGTCTGCAATGGTGGGTTTCTAGTCACTCCTGCGGCTCGTAACAAGGGCGTTGGAAAGTCGATGGGGCAATGCTATCTGGATTGGGCACCTCAGCTGGTAGGTTCACGAGCCCGGATGAGGGCATAGAAAGCTGATGTCTCCCAGGGGTATACCTACTCGGTTTTCAACTTGGTCTACGAAACCAACACTGCTTCAACAAGGATATGGGACTCGCTTGGCTTCAGGAGGATCGGAAGAGTCCCCGGTTGCGGCTATCTAAAATCCTCGGAAGAACCTGTTGATGCGATCATCTATGGCAAGGACCTGACAGGAGAGGGCGAGAATGACCTCTCTGAAGAACGTTTTGACAAGATAAGGTATTACCTCAAACATGATAAATATCCGGAAGGAGCCGATAGATCGGAGAAAAGTCGACTAAGGAGTGCAGCGACTCACTATAAACTAGTCGCCGATGACGACGGAGGCCTGGAGCGGTTGTTTTTGAAGGAAAAAGAGGTCATCTCTGACCCCCAAGCACAGTACGACATCGCCCAAAAGATCCATCTCCAGGCTCATGCAGGCATCAACAAGACCACCGCCATCATAGCGACCCAGTATCACTGGATCCGGATCAAAGAAACTGTGAGCCATGTCATCAAAAACTGTCCTGAATGCAAAGGTTTCAATAAACCTCCAATATTACGCTTGGAGAATCGACCTGGCCGGAGTAGGACCATTGATGAGACTCCCCCTGACCTATCGCCATCACAAGCAGTACCACCTTCAACAGTACCATCAACGCCGGCGGCACCAGGACAAATATCGCAGCCAGTACAGTCAGCACAATCCACGGACGAGGTGCAAGACCTGCCGTCGCAGGATCAGGAAATCGCAACAAATCACATATCCGATCATATATCCGATCACATATCCGATCACCTATCTGATCACAATTTCGCGTCGATACAGCAACCCATGGATTTGTCCAACGACCATGATCATCTTGTCAACGACCCGGATGGTCACCTTCATGCGTACGACGAGATGGCCATTGACCCACGGATCATGGAACAGATACAAGCTCAACTTGATGTCAACTACGACCCCAACAATCATACATATGTTCCCCCCGGACTACCCACTTTCACGGACCCATCCCATTTGCAGACTGCCCACGATCCGCGCGATTTCAATCACGCAACCTCGGACCACCATTTCATTCGGGACCCCAATCCGCCAATCTTGGGACACGACCATGTCATGGACGAGGGCGGTGCAAGCACCGGGCTGAATAGTATGCAACCCATGCAACACGTATTGCAGATGGACTATATCGACCCGCCGAACGAGCCACAATTCAAGCTTGAAGAGCAATTCAAACTTGAGGAGTAAAATGCGGAGACTGGTGTTTAGGTTTGATCGGATCGGGGTACGTCTTGATGAGAAATGCATGCGGTCGATATAGACAAATGATCTGGGTGCTGGCATACTCTTATGGGAACGAGTTAGATGACAGCAATATGTAGGTGGAGTACAGTCTGTGGGGATAGATGCGCACGCATTCGGCAATGAGTTGGGGCGAAGGGTTTTGGGCCATAGATTAGGGTGGCGATAGACAAAAAGAACCCAATATTAGCTGACTACTCGTTCAAAGGGGGTCTGTGTCTTTTGACGAATCCAGTATAAATGTAACAAGCGTGTGCGGTTCACTCTATTTCTATAACTCTAGAATTGCTGTGCTGACGGAGGCACGACGCCAAGCTATCAAAGATATATGCACGGTCTGACAAGCACCTGGAGCCCTGGATGCCCTTATTTGTTTCGTCAGACAAAAATAATTCTATAGCTTGAAGAATCCATTTGTCATCCGCCACTTCACCAAAATGCTTCGATCCAACTCATCCTCACAACGAGATCCTATCATGGATGCTGGTATGCTCAAACGGCCCGCAAGGCCGCCTCCTCGACTAAGAACCAAGACTGGCTGCTATACGTGTAGAGTAGGTACTCCCAGGAGCCACATCCCTTGATATGTCACCCCCTACGCTGTCACTCTTGAACCCAACCTCCTCCCCCCTCTCATGTACCGATCGATCTCAATTTGACTTCATCGCATTGATTAAATTGATGTGAACAGACGAGACGGAAAAAATGTGACGAAGCACGCCCGATTTGTGGTGCTTGTAGGAGACTCGCTATCCAGTGCACATATGGGGGGCTCTCAAGTCCGACAACGGCTTCGCGGACTCCACCTACTTCATCCCTGGACAATCAAAACGATCTTGCGCCAGAAAAGCCGGTAGATGTGTCAGCAGCTGTCCCGACGCTCAATAGGTCTTTAAGCTACATGCCGCAGGGGCTGAGGACTGAGCGCGACTGGAACGTCTTCCATTATTGTTCAACACAGTACATGAGGCTGCTCACTTCACCTGAAGCCACCTCTGAGTTTCGAGACGTTTCTTTGATATTCGCAATCGGGTTTGACAAGCCTTGGGTGATGCATTCCGCACTGGCTCCAGCAGCGCTTCACGCTTCCTTTGCTTCTTTGCTCCCCAAAGAGGACGCGATGCTGTACACTCAAAGCGCTCTGAAAGGACTCCAGCAAGCGCTTCAGCCAACGAGGGGCCGAATCCCTCCCGAAGAAGACGCATTCCTTGCAGCTTCACTGTTCCTCGGCGTTTTTGAGGGAGGCGACTCTCCGAAGTTCTCGCGGTTCTCTGATACTGACGTTAAATCAGGACTTCTACTCTTCGTCGTGCAGTGCGAGCCTGACACATTATCGCGCCATAGCCAAGATACTGGAAGATCGAGTGACGAAGATTCCCCGTCTTGACATTTCCGAGCTTTCAATCCTGCATTCTACTCTCCTCGACTCCGTCCTTTATCATTTCTCTACGAGGTTAATATTCGAGAAGGACATCGACCCTACCTGCAGATCATTCCCGTGCCAGACTATCATTAAGTATATGGAAGCATTGGAGTCAGCGAAAAGAGACAAGTGCATTGAACCATTCATTCTCCCTGTACTTGGTCGGACACCCCCACCGTTGTTCGTTCAAATCTACCAGATCACATGGTTGAGCAGGCAGATTCCTTTCAACCAGTGTGAGCTCTATGGACTAGCCACACAGTGTCTAACCGAACTGGAGGGCCTGGCACAAGACTATCCGCTGGTTATTTCTGACATCGTGCCATCTTCAGAGTCCACTGTCCCAGTCAATCTCACCAACTCCGAGATCGCGGCAAAGCTCTATTACATTGCGGCGCAAATATTTGTCGCCAAGGTCCTCAACCCAGAGGGACTTAGCAACCAGTCCTCACAGATCCAGGCCCATCTTCCTAGAGCGGCGGCATTGTTGGAGATGTACGATGCAACTTTGCCTTGCGGACAATTCATCTGCTGGCCCCTGCTCATTCTCGGTTGTGCAGCATGTCCGACGAACACATCTGAAGCGCAACACACTCATGGTAGCAATCCTGGCGCCCTGCAGCGATTAGAACTGCGATGTCTCATTCAGGCGACACTTGTGCAAATCTGGCATGTCTCATATTCAGGCTATGTGAAGCGCACCGCTGGCGCATTGAAGAAAATATGGCAACTTCCCAGCATACTTACAAAGGCCTCGGCCGATACAGGGGCTGCCGGCGAGGAAGTTGAGTACGACGGACTCATCGCGCTCGTCCAAAAGGATGGTTTAGGAGCAGGCTTCCTAGTAGCAGAGAATGGCTAGTACGATGGTATCTCCCGACTTCGCAGATGCAACATGAACTGTTGTTCTACCGGGCTCGTCACCTCAGGCATTTTTCAATGATGCGAGCTGCTCTGATGCACTCCTCGTCGCGCATACGACTCGTGAATATCTGGATTGAGCACGGGGCTCCATGCTGTGTCCCTGGATCATCTGGACGACTGCATCAGCGAAGAAGTGTGGTCGGCGTGGTTTCCACTTACAATGAGGGCCAGCTTGTCCTGGCTGGATTTGGAGCGGCTCAGAATCCTGTTCCTGCAACGATTTCGAAAAGGGCAATATACAAGCCGGGTACTGGGCACGTCAGCTGATATCTCGTGACTGAGGCGGCGAAGAGGACTTACGTCAAGTAGGTTGAGGAGAACGGTGTATGGTGGCCAACCATATGTGTCGTGAGGCACAGCAGTGTTTTGGGCAGGGGGGCTAATGACCGCATCCAGTTTCATTTCCGACCATATCTTCCGCCAGTCCTCGGAGAGCTCCTGACGCTTGACGGTCAAAGCTGCATATTTCTGCAGCTTTTCCAACTTGCCAATATCCGGAACACACTTGTAGCTTCCAAAATTGGCCGGTCGATGTCCCGCCGCCACGGAGGGCACCGGTGGCTCTCCGCTTGCAAGGATATGTCCTCGTGGTGTCTCTGTCTCGAGCGTGAATAGCTCGCATGCCACCTCAGTGGAATCAGCCACATGGCCTTGCTCTGGGCTTAGCTGAATCACTTGATGACCTTGGTCTTCCAATTTCTTAGCAGCTTCAGCAAGCGCTCGCTTCACTGGTGGATGGAGTGGATAAAGAGGGTCTTCAGCCAGAACTCCGATCCTGAGCTTGGCTCCAGCATCTTGTTCGAGCCGGCGCCAGGGGACGTCAATGGCGGTTGAGTCAAACGTGGCGGGCACTGCGTCTATGATTGCTTTGGTCAAAATCTCCAAGGCTTCAAAGTCGCTCGCTAGAGGTCCTGCGCAGGCCAGGATGGGCTTCCACCCTGGCAAACCGGGTGTCGCTTGGCCCCCATACGGAACCCGGGAAGATGTTGGTTTGAAGCCATAGGTACCACAACACAATGCCGGAATGCGGATTGAACCACCAACATCAGTTCCGATACCAAGAGGGGATCCTCGAAAAGCAATCAAGGCTCCCTCTCCCCCACTGGAACCTCCGGCGCCTAGAGATGTATTGTGAGGGTTTAAGACTCGGCCAAAGACATTGTTGTCAGAGTCCGCCGTCATCAGCGTCTGAGGGATGTTCGTTTTCACATAGGGTACGGCACCCAAGCTGAGCAGAATGTCGACGATTGGCGAATTCTGTTCGGATTTCTTCCCTAGGAACGAGACGAAACCGATTGAAGCCTCGGTGCCGGCTACCTGGAAGGAGTCCTTGAGGCTGATGGGAAGGCCGTGCAAGGGCCCAAGCACCTTTCCCTCACTCCTGCATTGATCGACATACTTTGCCCGTTGGAGTGCCAGCTCGAAGAATGTCTCCGTCAGACATGATGTCAGTTGTTGGGCGATTGCAGCCCTTTTCGAGAATGCAGTTGTAACTTCGACAGAAGTGGACTCCCCAGAGGCAAGCTTGGCTAGCAGCTCCGGCACCGTGTAGTCTTCGGTGATTGATATTTCACGCTCGGACAGGATGCCTGACTTCTTGACTATGTCCATGTCAAAGAGCCTGTTTGGGTTCTTATCCAGCGGGAAAGCCAGCATTTTGGAGATCTCGGGGGACAGCTGCCACTCCCGTGGAATGGCTTCACGACACTGCTGTCGCTTTTGAGCGACCTTTGTCTGCCAGTCTGACGGCTGAACGTCCTGTTCAACCATGGCGCTGATTGAGCCCATATCGTGGGGTTGATATTGGTGGATGGCTTCTGTACTGTCTCGGCGTCAGTGTATAGGTGCCAACTTGAGGGTATTGCTTCTGATCTATACCTCTGTTCCTTGTCGGTGGGATGAGCCTCGATAAGTTATCTCGAGTCGCTCGGTGGAATGGCTGGACAGCGACAACTGCACAGTCCCCGGCAATATGTATCCGTTTTGCTCGACTTCTAAATACTCGGCACTGGCGACCGGTTGTTTTGCGATTATGTTATCTGAAGCATTTCTGTCCCACGCTCTTGTCCGCCTTTGACTTTAGCAGATACAAAATCCGGGGGGCCAATCAACCATCTTTGCGCCCTCCAATCATCCAACTTTGCGCCACGCCTGGTGGTGACACCCCGGAGTTTCTCTTTCAGCCACTACTTGCCGGATAGCAGGGCTTATTCTCGAGCCGGATCGCCATTTGTCAGCCTGCCTTCGCGGCCCTCAAAGGACATCTTGGTAGCGGATGCTCCAACACGCGGGAGATCGTTTATTTCAAAGGCTACTTCGTGCCTGAGTGAGATTCGCCGCTAATCGGGTACAAGAACATCCAACAAGCCTGTCTGTGTACTGCTTCGACTGACTTTCTCGGCTTGTCTAGTGTGTGTCGACTCGGCTTCTGCGTGTTTCTGATATGGCGGAAACAACTGTACCCTCTCTTCTGCACAAATTGGCCTCCAGGCTAAACCGAGACCCTGGGGCGCCCGTCGAAAAGCCGACTGAGTCATTTTGGCAAGACCCTCGTCTTTCTTTTGCTGATGAACAGTCGGAAAGCCTACCCCAGGAATCCGATGTCGTTATCATCGGCTCTGGGATTGCTGGCATAAGCGTGGCTCAGCATCTGCTCCGGCTGCAGCCCTCGCAGAAAATTACCATCCTCGAGGCCAGGTCAGCGATATCGGGAGCAACGGGTCGCAATGGTGGGCATATCAAAGCCGTTCCATGGGCCGACTACTACACTCTCAACCAAACACTGGGCAAGGAAAGCGCAATGAAGATCACGAAATTCCGCCTTGCCCACTTGGATGCTTTTGTCAATGAGGCTGCCGCACTAGGTGAAGCCGGCAAGGTCGGCTTGGTGCGACGTGTGGAAGGAGTAAGTGCTGTTTTCGACAAGGAAAGTTGGGAGTCGGCCAAGGTCAAGTTAGAGGCATGGCTTGAAGACTTTCCGGAACATCGCGAGAAATGGAGTGTGCATGAGGGGGAGGAAGAACTGAAGGTGCCAGGAATCCTCCGAGAGAATTTCCTTTTGCTCACCTAGTCCAAGAAATTCGGCATTGTCAATGCCTATGGATGCATCAAGGGCCCTTCAGGAGCAGCATGGCCATATCGCTTTCTTGGTTGCGTACTGTCAAAGCTGCTTGCGAGCGGCCAGGTCAGTCTCGAAACGCACACGATCGCAGACGAGGTACGCCGGAGCCAATCCCAGATTCGCCCTTACGAAGTGCACACATCGCGGGGAACGATATCAGCAAAACACGTTATCCATTGCACAAATGCGTACGCCGCACATTTGCTGCCCTTTTTGAAGGGCAAACTCTGGCCCCTGAGAGGGCAGATGACGGTTCAGTCGGTCCCTGCAGAGTTCCCACGGCTTGGTGCTTCGAGGTCGTGGAGCACAATGTGGGCGAGAGGTTTCGACTACATCACGCAATCTCCTGGCGAGGATGGTTCACTGTACCTCGGTGGAGGGTTTTTCCAAGGCGGCCCGGAGAAGGATGAGGACTTGGGAAACGCCGACGATAGTCAGCTGAGCGCGCAATGCCTAGAGCATCTGGAGACAGTCCCGCCCAGAGCGTTCGCTCACGGAACGGGCGCAAAGATTGACAAGAAATGGACTGGGATTATGGGATTCACCGGCGATGGGTTGCCCCTGGTTGATCGTGTTCGAGAATTCATGTCTGGTCGGGCCGAGTGCGATCAGGGAATTGGTGGCGAATGGATTGCTGCAGGATGGGATGGTTACGGCATGGTTCATTGCTGGCTCGCCGGAAAGGCTCTCGCACACATTGTGATGGGACGCGAACGCGAGGTTAGTAAATGGTTCCCGAGGGACGAGTTCGGATGCACCAGGGAGAGACTCGACAAGATGAGTCCAGAAGGGGCTCTCAAACGGTTCCTTGGGCTGCTGGAGACATAGAGGGCGCCAATACACTTCAGAACCCGAGTCTGTCGTCGACCCAACTCCTCTCCCACCACCGACATATCAATATAGTGCCTATCCAGACAACCAAAAGAGGCAGTCCCAACCAGCGCACCGTTTGACCTGGCGCCTTGGCCTCGTTGCATCCAGCCCGCACTAGGACGGCGCAAACGGATCTGATTCGATATGTTGCGGCGGCTTTCAGCGTCAAGCCCGTCGGACATCAGCTCGACTACGGGATGATCTGCCCTTCTCCGCATATTGACAGAGTCAAACCTGGACCTGGCCAAAGCTTGTCGACCATGGTGTCGAAGCAGTGGCAACGCTCCAAGATACCGGTGAGTTGATAAGGGTCTTTTCCACCATGGGGGGCTATCCGAGAGGTCTACTAAAGGATGGCTCTCCCCTTCCCTCGAGTCCATCGGCATCGTCGCGCTTCATCTTGAGACGAATCTTCCAACATTACGGGCAGCCTGCAATACCGACACAATGACTTACGAGAGACTCCCGCCGGGAACGCAGAGGATCGAGGACAGGACAGGACAGAAGATCCTGTTGGCACCTCAGCCAAATGCGGATCCCAATCAGCCACTGGTGCGTCTCTATTTCTCTGTGACGGTAGAATGCGTCCTCACAACTGCTACAGAACTGGTCGGCATTTCGCAAGTCGCTGCATATGACCATCCTATGCTTCTATGCATTGATGGTGTTTGCCATGTAAGTCTGGTTGGTCCCGAACGTGCAGCATTTCGCAGGGACTGATATCTTTCCTCTCCAGCCTCTGCGTCGCAGTGCCCCTCTGGCAAGACTTCAACACCGAGCTTGGGATGAGCTATGCTGTCCTGAACGACGGCTACGCGACAAACATGGCGACCCTGTCCGTCGGATGCATCATCTTTGTGCCCATCGCCCTGAGGATCGGACGACGGCCAGTCTACATTGCCACCGCATTGGTCATGCTTGCCGCCGCTGTGTGGCAAGCGAAGATGTTTACAGTGGGAGATATGATCGGGTCAAATGCCATTTCTGGTCTTGCCGGGGCTGTGAATGAAGCAATCTTCCAGGTCACTGTACGTTCTCTTCTGATTTCCAATGCCTCTGGATGTGAGTTCTTGCCGACCATCCGTACTGACACTCCTACGATAGGTTTCGGACCTCTTCTTCGTGCATCAGCGAGGCACCATGAACGGGATTTACCTCGTCGTTGTCATCATCGGAAACTATCTGGGTCCGGTTGCCGCTGGGTATGTCGCCGTGTCACAGGATTGGCGATGGGTTTTCTGGTATTGCACCATCTTCATGGCGGTGGTGACTTTGATTATGGTTTTCTTCCTCGAAGAGACCAAATACACTCCACTGGTGTTGACCGGGCGGGAAGTTGTCATCTCGACCTCGATCGAACAGCAGGACGACCTCACCAAGGTGCACAGCACCAGCAAAGGCAACGCCCTCGGCTCGATTTCTGTTGATTCCACCGACGCGGCCAACAATGAACGTCGCCGTCTCGTTGACATCGACACCTCGATCCCCATGAACTCGTACTGGAAACGGCATTCGCTGTGGTCACTCGAGAAGCAGACAACCACCGAACGACGCAGCCTGTGGATGCACTTCTACCAACCTTTCCAGATCCTGGTCACGTTTCCCGCGGTCATGTTCACGGCGCTGCAGTATGGGTTCTGTATTGCCATGTTGGCGATCCTGGCCGTGACGCAGGCGACGCTGTACCCGTTCCCACCGTACAATTTCAGTCCGATCGGAGTGGGCAACATGAACTTGCCCCCGGCCATCGGCGCCATTCTGGGCTCTCTTTTCGGTGGCCCTCTCAATGACTACTTCATTCTGCAGATTGCAAAACGGCGAGGCGGCATCTACGAGCCCGAAACTCGACTCTGGCTGTTCTTGGTCCCGGGCTTTTGCATGCCAATCGGACTGTTTATGTATGGGTTGACCATCTCCAAGGTAGGAATCTCCAGAGTGGTCTGAAATTGGGTGCACGTGGAACTGACATGCTCACTTCAAGGGAATGGCATGGCCCGTCAACGCTGTCGGGGCTGGGTTCATCGGCGCCGCAATCGGAGGATGTGGTGACATCTCTCTGACATACTGTCAGGACTGCTACCAATATGTAAGTCGAGCAGGCGCATAGCACCTCCCTTTGGGGATACCCTTTCTTGCTCTTGATGGCACAGAGTTCTCAGCAACTTACTAACTGCCCTCGCAGATCCTGGGTGACGCGCTGACATCCGTGGTCTTTGTGCGTAACATCATTTCCACGGCCCTCGTCTTCGCAATCACGCCCTGGATGACCAATATGTAAGTGTCCCTGAAATTTCCCCAAACCCTTATGATCGAGTTTCCACAAATTTACATCCTCCCACAAACATGTACTGGGTGCTAACGACAAAATAGGGGCGTGTACAACATGTTCGTTTTGCTGGGCTGTCTTGGGATCGCCGTGGCGTTAACCTGTGTACCACTGATCATCTGGGGACGCACGTGGAGAGCGAAACTGGCAGGGCGGTATGAGTATTTCGCCGCGAAGCAATATTGATTGGGGGAGGCTAGGACGAAGATGTCGAGCTTCAAAAGGGCGGACTGTAATTGTAGGATCACGGAACCTTTGCAGATTTTGGGGTCAGTTGCAGCTGCTGCATCAGCACCCTTCGGAAAGGTAATTCTCGAAGAGGCTATGTGCAGTAGAGAAAATGCACGAGATACGAGGTGCCAGCCCACGCATTGATCAAAAGGGTAGTCTCTTGCCTCCCTCTGCGACCCGACGCGAAAGCTGGCTTGACTGGAATCTGCACCGCACCTCGTTTACGTCCAGAACAAAAAGGAAGAAGGCCCTCGAGGGCGGGCGTGCGGGCCTGGAGTTGGCTGCTGCAATGTGCTGGCTTGGGATCCAATGATCCCAAGCCGTAAGCGAACGCCCCGTGACACGAGATGCTGTCCCTGTCTTCAGCTGAAAAGAAAAACACGCACACCACTTGGATGATAATACGAGGCGGGCCTATACCCAAACCCGGACAAAGACGGTGTCCAAGGCGTCATTAAGCGAAAAAGAAAAGCAAAAGGGCTTTCAAACCCAACTGGACCTTCGGGTCTTCTAGACGAGAACTACTTGTTCACCTCTTGTGCTCTCCGTTTTCGAGAAACCCAAGGGCTTCGAGGACCGGGGGCCGCGATTGGGCCGGGAAGAATTTGGCGATAATGAACGAACCCACCACACTTTGTTCCTCGTCCAAGGCAGACACTCGACCGCGGGTCAAGGCTGGAGTGCGGCATACGAGGACTGACGCCTGACAGGCAGAGAGGCAGGTATGCAGGCAAATCTTGAGCAATATTTGCCAGTGGCCAGATAAAATATTGCAGCTCTAGGAGAAGGGGAGAAGCAACTCAATAGTCAGAGTCCAATGCTCAGAGGGTGGTACAGATGACGATGCTCCTCGGTCGACTTCTTGAGCCGGGTCGTAGACTCGTAGTGATTCGTGATGGGCGGTTTTTGGCGCAATGTGGCAAGCATAAGTGCGAGAGTCATGCCGTCTGTTTGTCTCCCAAGCTTCTCGACATCAGCTACGAATTGTTCTTTGACAGGGGGACTCACTGGCTTCCCTGCCTCGCAATTTCGGCGCTGATTGAGCTGGTAAGGCTGACCCCCTGTAACACGTGACTGCACAGCTATTGAGGCTTTTACCGACGTGGCGTCTTGACTGTCATTATTTCCTGGTAGTGAGCATCGGACCGAAGATTCCACGCCAACGGCTTTGTGGCTCTCCAAGACATGGGCATGGCCCCTTGGAAGTGTGTCCAATAACGAGCCCCGTGCTGGAGGAGAGACTGTGCGTCCTAAATGCCCAGTAGCCAGATGGCTCAGGGATGTCCTCGCAAGCTTCACCAGCAATTCTCAACCACTGCCTTGGCTAGCTTCGCTCTGTTCGACTGATATCCGAGACTATTTCATGCAGGCTCGACGTCGTACAGGTCCCTGTCCATGTCCGGGGACACAGGCCGGACCAGAGGACGTGCGTGTCCAATCCTTTGACAGCAATAAGGCTGAAGAAAGGCTGGGTCAGCCGGGACAAACAGAAACACGACCAGCGCCCTGTGTCACCAGCCAGGCTTTGGGCCTTTCACCGCTTGCTATCTAGCGAATATCGAAGCCCGCACTCGTATCTGGTTAAAGACCCGCGCCATGACTGGAAAACACAGAGAAGAAAATCACCCCACTTGATCTATCCTCAAGCATGAAGCTGCATGTTGCCGCCAGAAGGAATTCGACCAATGCCCGCCTTGCTATCTCGCGCCAATCTCGTATAAAACTGGCCAGCACAGGGGACCAGAGGATTTGGCCCTTTGATCCCAGCGCGAGGGCGAACTGTGCCCCCCGGCACCCGAGACCCTTAGCCCTCAAGTACCATCGCTCTTTTCAATCTCTCCCTCTATAACGGTCCAACGGCACGACAAGACCACATTGGATTTTTGCTGCTGAGGGGTGCGCGTGTTGGCTATTGCTTCCCACGATATGGCGACGCTAGCCTCTTCACTCCTTTTGTTGCTTGCTCTGTTGACGGCACAGACGGTGGCCCAGGCGCCTGCAGATCCGCTCAGGAACTTCTGCCGGAGATATGGCCACCAGACTGCGGTGATTGATCGAAAGCTATACATCGATGGAGGCTGGCTCTATGCAAATCCCATTTCGCAGAATCCCATACCCACAATGAGTATTACCTGCCGAACTCTCATCGTCTGTTGCGAGTCTCCCATGCTGACGGTGGTTGGTTCGCAGACGAAGGCCTCCTCTATTGCGACCTGGACCAGTCATATCAAGACATGCCGCCGGAATATGCCAACCTGACCAAGAACTCGTCGGTTCCGGACGTTGCGGGAGGCACACTGTGGCAAGATGAAGTCAACAAGGTCTTTTGGCTGTACGGCGGCGAGTTCTCGGCGGCGCCGTCCGCTTTCCAGCTCTGGGGTTACGACGTGGTCCTGAACCAGTGGAATCTGTCGTCCCCGAACCTGGGTTCGACTGCGCCGATCCAGAGGGTGTCGTATGGCGCCGGCGTGGCCAGCAGTGAGATTGGCATGGGCTTCTACTACGGCGGCTATCTCAACAACCTGACGAACCCGCTGTGGACGGGGCCGCCGATGGCCACGAGCAACCTCATCATCTACGACATGGATCAAAACAGTCTCACCAACAATACCGGGTACGATAATATCGGCCGAGCCGAGGGGATCATGGTGTACATTCCCGCATCCATGTCGGGGTTGCTTGTATATTTTGGGGGCGTTACCTTCCCGTACGGCAATGAAACTGAGGTCCCGGCGCCCATGGACACCATCATGATCTACGACATTTCAGACGCAAAGTGGTATACCCAGACTGCCACCGGGACCGTTCCGGAGATGCGTCGTAAATTCTGTGGTGGTGCTACCTGGGCGGATGACCAGTCCTCCTACAACATGTGAGTCCTGCGATCCGTCTCAAGTCTTCATCGAACTTGGCCTAAACACACTGATTTCTGCACAGTTACCTCTATGGCGGATTCGGGTTTGGAGAAAATACAACAGTAAGCACCCCCGCGGATGTTTCCACGCTTTGAGGTGCCGTTTTCTGAAAGGGGTTCCAGGGCTTCGACGACGTCTACATCCTGACCATGCCTACCTTCGAATGGGTCAAATGGTATCCCGACCAACCAGGCCCCGGCTCGCCGCATGGCCTGCTCACCTGTAACGTCATTGACAGAGGCCAGATGATCGTCATGGGGGGCAACTTTACCAACACCACGGCCTGCGACGTGCCCGCAATCCAAGGCCAGCATAACCTGAATCTGGGCCAGTACGACAGCACCAACGCCAAATGGTATCCGTACCTGCCCAATCTTACAGACTACTTTGTTCCCCCAGCGATCTTGCAAGTTGCAGGCGGCACGTAAGTCTTCTCTTTCCCCGTTGGCGTCATGGGCGGTGTTCTCTATCCCCGACGTGACAGACAGCAAGATACGAAACTGACGTCTGTTTCGCATGGTGGGACAGACCCGAGGGCGGAGCCATCAACAAGGCACCATCGACCGGCTGGAGCGACGATAGACTGTCGGTCTATTTCGGCGAGAAGGCTGTCTTCGCCTCGCGCACGCCGACGCGCGCCCTGCCCGCAGCGACGACGACCGTTCCGCCCCCAAGGCCGACCCCTTCGCACCCGCCGGGCAAGAAGACCGACATTGGAGCGATCGTGGGCGGCGCCGTCGGTGGCGCTGCTGGCTTGGTGCTCGCGCTCGCGCTCGCGTGGTTCTGCGTGCGGAGGCACCGGAAGAACAAGGAGCAGAGTGGCACCAACCAAGCGGCAGCTACAACAGCAGCAGCAGCAGCAGCGACGACACCCATCCCCGGCGCCGCGCAGCCTTTCAGTCCCACCTCGCCGCAGGGGCACTACGTGATCAACGAGAAGCACTCGACGACGGTGGGCTCGCCGGGCTCGACCACCAGCCGCGTCGGCTCGCCCAGCGACCAGCAGCACTCGTCGCAGTACAGCACGCCGCCGCCGCCGCCGTTGCTCCCGCACCCGGAGTATCCGAATTATTACTACGCGGCAACGGCCCCGATGCCCGGCCAGCAGCCGCCGACGCAGTATTACCCCGTGGCGATACCTCCCGGCCACCACCCCCAGCAGCAGCAGCAGCAGGGGGTGTACGCGTACCCAGCGCAAGGGGGACCGGCGATGGCAGGCCCCATGATGCCCTTCTACCCGCCGCCGCCGGACCCGATCCGCACGCAGAGCCACGAGATGCCCACCGTGCGCAGCCCCGAGATCGTCCAGGTCCACCAGCCCAAGCCGCTCAGGCCCGAGGGTCTCGAATAGTGAAACAGAGGGGATTGAAGCGTGGTGGTCGTGGATGTCCCAAATCGCTGACTCTTTCTGCCCTTTGTTTACCCTCTCTTTTGCTGGCAGGAGAAGCGTACACGTTTGCGCAGGAAAAGGGTACAAGCGGACACTCTCCCGAGCCACCCACACGGTGGACGCGCATATATAATGGCATGCATGGATGGGAATGTCCATTCTATTGGAGAACGCGAACGTGAATGTGAATTTGAATGGTGTGAACCTGGAATCTCACGCTGCGTACCTACAGTAGATATGTAATAACTCACGGAAGAGACCCTGAGATGGGTTCACGGTTAATTGTTAGACGCAAATCCCCGTGAAAAACAACCCTCGGGGCCAAAAGGATGATGGGGGACTCCGTACAAGTATTAATCAGCCATCATCTCATGGACATAATTGAATAATCTCACTATCCATCTATAATAGGCCGGAGTGTTCCGCGACACTTGTTTGAAGTGAGTTGGAGCTAGGGACTTGGAACCATCTTTCGGTGAACACTTCCTTCTCATGCCCTCGCTGTTCTTAGCTGGAATATACACACATACACACATATATACACAGATACAGATAATTTGCATACCATCTATGTTCCCAGCCCTCATCATAGAATGGTCTGCTCATTTTGACTGCTCATCCATTTCTGCCCCTGGGTCCTCGGACTTTGTTCGCGACACGCCAGCGCAATAACAGTACATATACAACACACATCACACATCACACGACCCAAGAAGACTGTTCCACCTGTACTGCTCGATATCGCCATGCACGCAACTGCTGATGCGGCGGGGGGATCGGGATGTATACAGCCCATTGACGACGCGAGGGAGATGGCTGAGGGTGCACGGAATCGCTCGAGTCGGAGCATACCTATCTAGGGTTGAAGTTGAAGTCGAAGAATGGCGAAGAGGAACTGATCTTAGAAGGGCCGTGTAACGTCCCCCCCGTGTGCCCCTGGGTTCTGGTTCAAAAATCGTTGTTCTGCTCCGAGTTTATACTTTGACTGGCCCGGTTGTAAGGGGACGCGGAGCGCGGCCGAGACTTCGGCGCTTTCACCATGTGTCATAGTGTATATTTGCTCAAGAGAAATAGGGCGGTCGATCACTGGTAGCAAAGACGGACCGAATCTCTCGTGTGACGTCCAGAAGAAGGAATAACAAAAAGGTCCCCCAGTCCATAATATCCATTATTCATGTCCCTGGCCTGACTCTTCACAACACCTCACAGAACGTCGGGCTCAAACGTACACCTTCGTGGGGCTGAGGAAGTTGGCCTCCCGGGTCTCGGTCACCAGTCCGACGTGGCCCACTTGTCCGTCTTGCGAGACGTCGGCGATCCTGACCTTGACGTTTCGGAGGAGCCTCGCCCTCTCCAGCCCGCCGAGCGTCGTGCCTCCGCCGGGCAGGTCGATGTGCGGATTGTCGCGCGTCAAACTGCTTACATACCCAAAGATGTCGGGCGCGATGGTGTTCTGACGGTTTCCCCAAAACAAAGAATCAGTAAGGTCGTCTTCACAATGGTCCCATTGGGTTGAGGGTCATGATCAGGCAACGTACCTTGCGCAGCCAGAACGCTGCAATAGCGGCGACCAACAGGACTGTCTGGGAGACGAAATCGACCGCAATCCAAGCTTTGTTCGTAGCGTATTTCGGGTTGTATATGCCGCCCATCATATGAGTGACTGCGAAGCGAGGGTCGGCCTTGATAGAGTCTATGCCGTCCAGAACGACGGGTAAAAATTGCGGGTCGTCCTTTTGCAGTTGAGAGACAAAATAATATGTATTTAGGACCTGGCTGACACCGAGACCGACGAGACCAGCTACGTCGTAAAAGTCGAGTTCACTAACAACGCCGGCAAATGTGGGCAGGGGTTTCTGGTTGTTGTCTTGGAAACAATCGTCAACTTCCTCCCAATTGAGCGCAGCCAGAGTGTTTATTTGGTTGATTGAGACAAGGTTGTGAAAGAACCGCTCTGCAAAGACATCATCATCAAATGGTGTCGAGTTCTCCGGCGGGCTTTTATTCGCGTGTCAGCAGTTAGTATGTATGGCCCCGATCCGCTCTAGGAGGCCTCCTTCGCAGGCTCTTCTTTCCGTCAAGAATGTAAGGGAGGACCACTTACTGCTGCCTGAGAGAGTCTCGCATTTTCCGAACACTGCAAGTGACACCGTTGCAGTGTACCTTGAGCTCGACATGTATCTGGATCACGGTGCAAGAGCATTGCACGACCACAGACGAATTGTGCTGCGCAGAAACGGTGAAAGTTCGAGGACTGGTGAAATTTTGGGCTCGGTGGACTGCTGCCGAGTCGCTCATGTTCATGGCGAGGATTGTGCCATTGGGGAATTGCGACGGATGCAGAAACTTCCAATTAGAACATTCGGACTGCAAAAAGGATGTTTCGAGATCGTAGTCGCCAACATATGATGAAAATTGATCTTCTGCCAATACAGGGAAAACATAGTGGCCGGCAGTTGAAGTATATTCGTTTTCCGATGACTTGGAAACATCCCACCAGGTTGTCGTCCTTTGGCCAAGTGAGTAGCTAAATTCCAGAAGGAATAATCAGCCAGCGTATGTAAAGGTCACAGGAGTCTATGAACGGAAAGAGAGGGGTCCAGTGTAATCTTGACAACGCGCCGTAAGACTTACGGATATCCTGTAGGGTAAGGGACAAGAGCTGCACCGGTATAGTCACATGGATTTGGAGATTGGAAGTTATCCTGAGAAGATAGGCCGGAGGTTATATAGACGCCATATTGTAGGTTCAAATATTCAAAAAAGGACGGTGAATAGCTTGAATAGCTCGCGTTCTGGAATGCTGATGGAGCGGAAAAACTGCGATAGGCGACAGTGCGGTTCGAGTAAGGGCCTGACGCTTGGTATCTGTACTCCTCCTTGCTAGCCTGACTCCCAAGATAGTAAAAGGACCACAGGATGATGAGGCCGACACTGATGGAGTCGAATGCGCGTAAAAACAGTATCGAGCGCAGTGTGCTGATCAGGGACATGCTCGCCTGGTACTGCTCGAGCCTCGCCACGTACTCTCCTTTCTGCGCCCTCCATAACGCGAATCGTTTCAGAAAGGTTGTGAAGATCAAGACGAAGACAATGGTGAAGGCCGTTGCGAGCTGGTCGTTGAAACGAATCAGATAGGTAGTCAGCATGCTGGCTTCGTCTATGAAGTAGCCGCTGTTAGGGCTATCCCACCTCTCGGCCAAAAGACACAGGCCAATCTTGACCATGAGGGCGATAGGAATAAGACAGAGGCCCACGTCGTACAAATCCAGCAGGATCTCGTTGAATAGATTGTTGGCTAATGGCTTTGGATCGGATGGCCAAGCTGTGGGTATCGATGGGCTTTGCCGGGAGTTCGGTAACGACGCGTTGGAATTGTTGAGCTCTTTCATCTGCACAAATCCTGTTTCTTTAACCGGCATGATGGGCATGATGACAGATTGCCGTTTGCCGGTACTTCATACACGAGAGAGAAACCCTGCAGGGAAAATGGACCATTGATGGGAGTGGATTTCAGTGCAAACAATGCACAATGAGAGGCCCGCCAAAAAGAACAAGAACTGGGGAAAATAGGGCAAGGACAGTCAATTGCTTTAATCCTTGCCTCCAACGACACAACCCTCTTACCTTTTCACATCACCAGCAGAAATCCCGATAAAGTGGCGGTGGTTGCGGCTGGCTGTATCGAAACATAGGCGCCAACACAGCTTCCCTTTTGGGGCAGAAAATGAAGCCATGTCGTTTTCAGGCTGACATGATAGCCATGTGGAAAATGGAACGTCGACAGAGATACCACATGTACGATTGGGTTCAGCCACTGCACGACGCGCTTTTCCCATTGGAGTCTCAGGAGGTCTAGCTGTTTCGCTAGGACTGCCACGCGCAAGCCACAACTTACTCGGGTGATATATGCATCCCTTTTCTGAATGGAAGCTCGCCTTGCCTTTAAGCATAGTCGTCTCAAGGGTGTTGAGACAAGCTTTTCCTCCATGCTCGAGCGCGCTGGATCCTCTCGATACTTTCAAGACTTCGGTTAGACAGACAGTACCAAGAGATATGGATGCAAAAAGGTGATGTGCCGTGGCTGTGAACTCGAGCTCGGACTCAAGGGAGCATGATGCGGGCTCTAGAAGGTATCCATTCTTAGAGGACTCATAGTCAGTTGCATCTGATCACCACAGGAAGATGCGGGCTCAGAGTGGCGCTTGATAGAATGATTAAGAATAGGGGATATGAGCGGAGAAGTCTGTTAGAAGGCCACGTGATTAGTATCACATGAGTACTAATCACGTGACTAGTATTGCCAATCTCTTGTATTTACAACGTATATAGTCTTGCCCTGGAGCCCCCAGGCTCAAGTGCAATCAATCAAGCCTTTCGCACTGAGGGGCTCCAGGGCAATCAATCAACCTTCCACACTCTGACAAAGTTGGATGAAGCAGCGAGGCAGCAAGGCAGTTGGAGCTTGAAAAGTGTCCCGGATATCCCAAATGATCCACCGTAGAAACTGCACATCGGAACTTAATGCTCCGTCGATCATGAAATTCAAAAAGTTCCCTCCAGAAAACATCTCGTGGGGGAGTGCTCGATATATTGTGAAACTCCCTCGAGACAGTTGTAGGACTAAGGATGGCAGCTTTCGGTGGACAGACGCCCACGATCATCGTGCTCAAAGAAGGTCAGAAAATCCCTTTCCAACCACTGACACTCTACACCATTTGTTCCATACAATTACTCACACCACTCGTGGCATCCAGGCACCGACGCCTCTCAAGGCAAGCCCCAGGTGATTTCCAACATAAATGCCTGTCTCGCTGTGCAAAACACTATCAAAAGTACCCTTGGACCCTATGGAGGCGACTTACTCCTCGTCGATGCCAACGGCAAACAGACAATCACAAATGACGGGGCAACAGTGATGCGCCTGCTTGACATAGTGCACCCTGCTGCCAGGATCTTAACGGACATAGCGCGGAGTCAAGATGCAGAAGTGGGCGATGGAACTACCTCCGTCGTTGTGCTGGCGGGAGAAATATTGAAGGAAGTGAAAGAGTTGGTTGAGCAAGGAGTATCTACGCAGACCATTGTCAAGGGACTGAGGAGGGCAAGTGCGATGGCGATAAACAAGATCAAAGAGATCGCCGTGAGTGTGGATGACGGTGCCAACAAGAGAGAGACACTCCGAAAACTGGCAGCCACGGCGATGAGCAGTAAACTCATTCACCGGAATTCGGGTTTCTTCACCAAAAGTAAGTTTTACCCTACATCTCCAACACAGCGGTCGGCAGTATTTAGGCTTGCTAACAATGGGAAAACTCAGTGGTCGTCGACGCAGTCCTCAGCCTCGATCAAGAGGACCTGAACGAGAAACTTATCGGCATCAAGAAAATCACTGGCGGCGCATTGGAAGACTCCCTATTTGTCGACGGTGTGGCCTTCAAGAAGACCTTCTCCTACGCCGGCTTTGAACAACAACCTAAATCTTTCAAGAACCCTAAGATCGTATGTCTGAACGTCGAACTCGAGCTGAAGGCAGAGAAGGACAATGCAGAGGTACGGATCGATCAGGTATCGGAATACCAGGCGATTGTGGATGCCGAGTGGCAGATCATTTATGACAAGATGGAGGCATTATACAAGACGGGTGCGAAGGTGGTGTTGTCGAAGCTGCCAATCGGAGATCTGGCGACTCAGTACTTCGCCGACAGGGATATCTTTTGTGCGGGCCGTGTCGCCTCTGACGATTTGGAGCGCGTGTGTCAGGCAACTGGAGCTGTCACACAAAGCACCTGCAGTGACATCCTGCCGGCGCATTTGGGGACGTGTGGACTATTCGAGGAGCGCCAAATTGGTGGCGAGCGGTATAACCTGTTCAGCCATTGTCCAGAAGCCAAGACGTGTACGTTGATTCTGAGAGGTGGAGCCGAGCAGTTCATTGCCGAAGTTGAGCGGTCGCTGCACGATGCTATCATGATTGTCAAGCGGGCTCTGAAGAATCATACCATCGTCGCTGGTGGTGGCGCCACCGAGATGGAAATTTCAGGGTACCTGCACCGATTTGCGGACAAGAATGTGCCCCACAAGCAACAGGCGGTGGTAAAGGCATTCGCAAAGGCCTTGGAGTGCATACCACGACAGCTGTGTGACAACGCAGGTTTCGACGCCACCGACATCCTCAATCGACTGCGGGTGGAACACAGAAAAGGAAACACCTGGGCAGGCGTGGACTTCGACCACGAAGGAGTGCGGAATAACATGGACGCCTTCGTCTGGGAACCTGCTCTGGTCAAGGTGAATGCCGTCTCCGCAGCTGTGGAGGCAGCATGCCTGATCCTGAGCGTCGACGAGACAATCAAGAACGAGGAGAGTCAAGGTCCGCAAGCGCCGGCGAGAGGGTTGCCACCTGGTGCCGCACAGCGAGCATTAAGAGGGAGAGGCAGGGGGATGCCGAGGAGGTGAAGAATTCCAAGTCTAGACACGGCTGCGTTTGGACATAGGGAGTTCACAGTTTCATCGGCTTCCCTCTGAGCGGACATGCAAACATGGTCCACGCATACGGACCTGCGGCGCAGGGACATGAGTATCTATGAGGAATGAAAAAGGAGTCCACGCATGATACCACTGAATATCCGACTTCTCTCGGCACTTGGGAACGACGTATTGCCATCACGAAACAGATTTCAAAACAACCACTTTCGAGGTGATGATAATCTCGGTTTCTACTACTTCTGCCTGTTTCAGTGCTGGCGGCAGCACATGTTACTCTTCTCCAGCGCAATGGAAACACATGCGGAAAACCAAGTGCTGCAAGACTGAGATACGAAAGTGCCCTCGACCGACCGGCGCTCAGCATGTTTAGCTGAAGGCATTGGCTGAAGAAGATGTCGGGTCGGCGAGTGATTGACGTGTCAGGACATAGAGTAGTTGGTTACGCGAAGGGACTTCGAGACGGCTTGCTGCACCGGACCCTCAGCCTCGTGAATAGATAAAAGTATTAGGACACAAAGGCCAGGGGCCAAGTCCCTCGAGATCACGGTATGTACCGAGCTTACCTCCCATCCACCATGGCGCCGGAACCATTCGCGAGGCGCCGGAAAAATTCACTCGCTTCTGTAAGCCACTTCACTAAGCAATATATAAGGGGGCCCCCTGTACTTTTGTCCACTGATCGTATCGGCACCCTCTGCCCCTTGGTCCACTTGGCCGGCGAGAAGAGAGGGTGTTCCGCTGCCCTAATCTCGCAAAGCTCCATTCCATGAGCAAGATTGTTGCTTGTCAAGCTGGAACATCCAGGAAAGGCAACTTGCGCCTCACGTGTTGAGCTGAGTAGATTCTTTCACCAGCCACAAGTCGAACCTTACATACGGAGACTGTGGCTAAGCATTCATGATCTTCGCGGGGACGCCGATCCCATCGAGGTGATGGCCTCATCTCCCGTGCCTTTGGAGGTTGGCAAAGCCCGAACAAGAACCCGAGTAGAATGGCATTGGGTAGAGCTGGAAACGGACACCGCCTCATTGGGCGTTCCTTTGAACCGGGTACACCAAAGTGTGCGGGGATATGATCGGTGAGGGCTGCAGCTTCCCAATGCAGCCGAGCTGCATCTGTTCCGTGCGTGCTTTGGGGATCAGAGGAAACGGCCAAGGCTTGAATTGAATCGAAGCTCGTATTGCAGGTCCCCAAAGCTTCATGATTGATGGGAGCTGCATAGAAGCTGACCTCCATCCCACTCAGCCCTGGATGTGTATAGCCAATCAAGCAAAAGTGTGCCAGATCAGCGTTTGTGGCGAGCTGATCTCAAATGCAGGAAAAACAGCTCTGAGCAGTAGCCGATGATGATTGTCCCCTAAGTGTTTGCTATGCTGCATCTAGGGAAGAGTTGGACTGCGGATAGACCTCGTGTAAGGGAAGATGTGCACCACGTGGACCACTGTTCGACCATGAGCGAGAGCCTTCGTCACTGAACTGCCATGTGGAAAGTTCTATTCCATGGACACACGAGGATCGAATGGAGGATACCAAATGAAGCCTCTCCTTAGTGTACTGGCCAAATGTGTCTCCGCTCCAGCAGGCATGAAAGATTGTTCTCAAGCATTGCGTTTCGCCAACTTTCCATCTTTGTGGTGCTTGCAATGTTATCTTGGGCCATCAAAACTTCCTGGACACATTGATTTGCCATTGTTGGCTGCAGGGGCCCAGGGATAGCTTTCGGCGGATGCAGGCTGTTTCAGGAATCATTCACGTTCGTGTGGATAATAACGCCTTCTCGATCGGGTGGCTGATGCTAAGTGGTAGGTGGAAGGAGGACGGCGAGGGCTGGACTCGTCGAAAACTGCGCGAGAAGCCCAAATCCCCACTAACCGAGGCCGCAGAGAGTGGGTGTGGCCACTGGCCAGCGAGCCGGGTTCAGCAGGAGTGAAAGGGACCTAAGCCATAACATTCGTCAGCTAGTTCGCGCATCTTCTGGTGGGTGTTGGTGGTGATGACAACGAGCAACCAGGAACAAGGGAAAGAAGGGCAGAGTCAGTAGTGGGAGCGCAGGGCGAGAAGCACCATCGAAACTTCGAGCTCATCAACCACACTGCCACCTTCAGCAAACCTTTGATCCATCATCATCCTCCACACTTTGTCTACATCAGCGACATCTTGTACTCCGTAATCTCTTGGTTGACCCTGGTGACCTTGGGGACCCTCCTCGCGTGTTTGACTCGGCTAATACGAACACACGTCAACCCCCCCCCCCGGCTCCACCTTTTCGATAGACTAGGACGAGTCCCCGACCACCGGGCGTCGCCCAATTCGATCTCGAACCTCAAATTCGTCTTACAAACCGCCTCAAAACACATCCTCCTCGACCCTCAACCGTATTCTTCCATCTGCAAAGAAACCTTCCAAACCACGATCGACATCCATACGACGACCTGACATTTTCGCCTTCTCACCTATCGAGCTCGTCAGCAGCCATGTCTTTCTATCCTGGCTCTGGCGGTTACGGTGCGCAACAGCACGGTGGCTACGGCTACCCTCCTCAATCACACTCACCACAACCATATCCTCCCCAAGGCTATTCCCAAGGATATCCTCCTCAATCACACTCACCACAACCATATCCTCCCCAAGGGTACGGAGCTCCCGGTGGTTATGGTCAACCTCCGCCGCAGGTGGCTCCCTACGGCTACAACAACCCTCCTCCACCACAACAAGGCGGGTATGGCGGGTATGGATCTCCTCCTCCTCAGCCAAACGGATATCCAGGTATACTAGGTTCAAGTTCCAGCGTGAAACCACATTGCTTACCTTGTACAGGCCCACGACCAGGCATGCCTTCTTATGCAAACAATTCTTTCGCGCAAGGCAACCAGCAAGCCCCTCCTCCACCTCCCACGGCACCACAACAGTTCGGCCACGGAGCCCCTGCTGGATATAGCTTCCAGTACTCCAACTGCACAGGAAAACGCAAGGCACTGCTGATAGGCATCAACTACTTTGGTCAGAGGGGTCAACTCCGAGGATGCATCAACGATGTCAAGAATATGTCCACCTATTTGAACCAGAACTTTGGGTATGCCAGAGAAGACATGGTGATCTTGACCGACGATCAACAGAACCCAATGTCACAGCCTACCAAAGCCAACATTCTCCGAGCCATGCACTGGCTGGTCAAAGATGCTCGGCCCAATGACTCTCTGTTCTTTCACTATAGCGGTCACGGCGGCCAGACCCCCGATCTGGACGGAGACGAAGAAGACGGCTACGACGAGGTAATCTATCCTGTGGATTTCCGGACGGCAGGCCATATTGTGGATGACGAAATGCATCGTATTATGGTCAAACCATTACAGCCTGGCGTCCGGCTCACCGCCATTTTCGACTCGTGTCATTCCGGGTCTGCCCTCGATCTTCCATATATCTACTCGACTCAAGGAGTTCTCAAAGAGCCCAACTTGGCCAAGGAAGCCGGTCAAGGCCTTTTGTCGATTGTTTCGTCCTATGCTCGTGGCGACTTGAGCGGCATGGCCTCATCGGCGATGGGGTTGTTCAAGAGGGCTGCCAATGGAAACGCCACGTACGAACGGAACAAGCAGACCAAGACTAGCCCTGCCGACGTGATCATGTGGTCTGGCAGCAAAGACGAACAAACTAGTCAGGATGCGAATATTGGAGGCGAAGCCACGGGAGCCATGAGCTGGGCTTTTGTGACGTCTCTGAAGAAGAATCCCCACCAGAGCTACGTCCAACTGCTGAACAGCATTCGCGACGAATTGGCTACAAAGTACACCCAGAAGCCTCAGTTGAGCTGTTCTCACCCACTGAGTAAGTCCCCATTCATCACCTCTCCGTCGCACTCTTAACTGACTTTGGATTTGCAGACACTGACCTCCTCTATGTGATGTAAACGAATGATATTGATACCCAGGGAGTCATGGGAGCCCCTTGTTGATTTTTCCCACTCGGTTGGCGGCCGAAGCGCAACAGGGCGCTCTTCTTGTACAGCATGACATGGATTTGTTTGGACGAGGCTGGAAAGGTGCTCGATAGACGCACTCGAATATTGGTCTGGGCCTGCAAATAATGTAGGAAAATGAAAAGTTGCGGTTCAACGTCTGTTGTCGTGACGATCGGCTCTCATTGCCTCGCTATGATCGTATTCGCAAATGTCGCAGAATCATGCGCGAATAAAGGCTCCAGTAACTGTGTAGACAGCCGTCAAAGCCGAAGCCCTCAAGATGGATCGGCAGGGAAATGACCCAAGGCTAATGATGTGCCTGTGACTTGGGGGTTGGCAATGATGTGCCCCCTCCCCCCAAGTTTGGGCCTGGATAGAGTCATCCGAGGCACCTGTCGGGCGTCATTGGTGCCCCAACTGACCCTTGGACCTCTCCCGCACTTGCAGTGGGCTAGTCTATTTCTAGGCATGCTCAGGCCCCCTCCATGCCTGGATGCCTTCTAGAAATCCTGCACGTGCCGCAACGTCCCCGACCAAGGCACCTCATTGCCACGATGATGCGACGGTGCGACGTACCGGCGCCGGGACCGTCATTCGTCCTGTCTCTCGACACCCATTCAGACTGCGTTCACGATCCTGGCGCCGCTTCTTCCAAATTCTTGGTATTCTTGGTATATACCCAGGTGTATCTCTGCCTGTTGCCCATTTTTCGTCTTCGAAGCCTTCTATCCTGCGCGGTGCGTTACCCACAATGACACGCACTGAAACCGCTTCTCCGCCGCCATGAAACCCGATGTTCCTCCATCCTACGAAAGCGCAGTCAGTCGCGAGGCATGGACCATTATTGCGCCCTGGATCTCCTCCAGCGATCTGTGCTCAGCATGCCTGGTGTCGCGGAAGTGGTACTCTATCTTCGTGCCATTCCTTTGGGGCGATCCTGCTTCCCACTTTGGCATTGAGAACGACGCCGTCTACGTCGCCCTCACCCGTTTCAAGCGAACCTTGCGCAAAGCCAGACTAAGTGTGAGAAGTCTCACTCATACGCTACATCTTCCGCCTGCTCTTAGCGAGATCTATGGCGGTCCAAATCCTACCTGGTTGCGCGACGTCCTCGAATTCCTTCCCAACCTCCAAAGTCTCGTTGTCACGAAGCTGCCGTTCTTTGATCATCACAGCCTGAATGCCCTGAGAAACTCAAGCGCCGGCAGAAGATTATCGACTGAAGAAGCAGACATATTCCCTACATACGGACTGAAATTACTGCTGGCCTGCAGTGAGCCAAACACGACGTCTTCCTCACTTGCGAATGCGCTCCCGAGATTTCCGAGTTTGGTTTACCTTGACCTGTCCTACACATCGCCCGCACGAGACGCTGCGGTTCTAATAGCGCTGTCATATCTGCCAGATCTTCAGGTTCTGAAGTTGCGGGGGGTTGGTCTTAAAGATGGAGAGGCCGAGGTCCTGGCCAATGCGATTGGGATTCGCGTCCGTTTGCTCGACCTCCGAGACAACCTTTTGACCGACATGGCCGTGCGATCATTGATGCAAGCATGCTTTCTCCCTGCGGATGCTGCACAATCAAGACATCTCAACGTAGAAGATTGGCCGGTCGGCATGGCACCTGGGCCAGACTTCTTCAGTCTAGATACGCTCCGGAGCGAAGAACTCGACCACGAGTTGCTCAAACAACTTACCAGGCCCCTCACCGGAAGACTGGCTTTTGAGGACATTCCTCATCGGGGCCTGACCCATCTCTACATTTCAGGCAATCGGCTATCTGTCGAAGGCCTATCCAGCCTCCTGAAGTCGGAACGCCTCCACATTCTCGATGGAGGTTCAGTCGACGCGGTCAAGACCATTGCCAGGACCCAGTCGCTTTCTTCCCCAACAGGCTATATTGATGAAGTCCGCTTCCCAGGTGCTGAGAAGCTTATCCCGGTGCTGGCAAGGTCCGCCAGCAAGAATCTGACTTATCTTCGCGTTGACCATACGTTGGTCACGGCCAAGTTCGACCCGGGCGCGGCGGTGGTTAAGCCAAAGGCATCTTCGGTCGAACTTGCAGGGTCTGAGCCGCTTGCTGCAGAGCTCCCTGCTCAAGAGAGGCAAATAATAGAGGCTCCGGCTCCTGCCCATTACGCGGTAGAGATGCCGGTCCCCGATCAAATTTTCGAACTAGATGCCACCCCGGCACCACCACGAGCGGAACTGATCGGCGATGTAATATATTTTGCCCTCAGCCCTCCAATTGGGGAGAAGCCAGAGGTATCCAGCCCTGTCATCGAAAATCACAGTCCGATCAGAGGCGAAGGTCCTTTTGCTCCAGAGGTAGTCAATGGTGCCGCGAACGATCAGGAGAACGAAGATCGTGCTACGGTCGCTGACTCGGAGGTTTCTGACGAGACAGGGACGCACAGTACCACGAGATCGATTCTCTCTCCAGTGTCTCCCATGACGCCTCACCCGAATAACATGACCTTTCAACCATTGGTAGCGCCAGCTACACCAAAGACTAAGCCTGCGCCAACGTCCGCTCCAGTCAAGGCAGAGAGCCCGACCCCAGCGCCCACAGCGGCGCCGATGCCACAACCGAATGCATCTCTCTCAATAACTCCAGCAGCACTGCACCACCGGCAGGCTCGGATAGAAGCACTGCTAGCCAAGAGACCTCCAGGATTGTCTTTTAAGATGGCCCACTCGGGTTCAGATGTCCCTAAGGTGACGGTGCAAAACCTGACCAGTCTTCATCCCGCAGTGCTTCCCAACCTGAGAACCTTGATCCTCACCGATGTGCCTATCACAGTGCCGAAATCTTCCCCTGTGATCCCTGCACTCAAGGCCTTCGTTTCCGCTTGCGCCGATGAAGCCGCACTTGCTCGCCTCCTCGCGAGGACGGACTATTCTCTCCCACCCGGTCGGGCGCGCCATATCGCCGAATTGGAACATGCACGGTCGCTCTTTGCTCTTCGCACAATCATTCTCGAGATGGAGGATCCCACGAATCAGAATGCGAACGAGCAGCGCAGATGGCAGCATTCTCGTCAGCGCATCAGCATGAGCAAATCCTCGACAGGTGATCGTGATAGCGAGAATCTTTGGTCCGCCGCTGAGAACGACTTCAGCTTCTTCGGAGAAGAAGGCGAAGAGCAGGCCGAGTGTGGGATTTATCAGCATGATCCAGAGAAGTATTTCCCAACTGCGCATTTTGATGATAAGATTTTGCTGGGCCCCGAGGATAATCCAACAGACAGTGGTTCGAGCAGCCCGCACGGAAGCCTCCACGGGTATGGTACACTGTCTCCATTCATGATGAACTACGGCGGTTCCACTGGGACACTAAGAAGCCCGAGGAATTTGCCATTGGGTCGGAATCGGAGAAGCTCGAATGAGTCTCAGCGGAATGGGACCGTACGGAGTTTCTTGACCGAGATGCAAGGCGCACCAGTGTCGCCTATGTTTATGAACGGCCGGTTGCGCCCACAGTCAAGAGATTCGATGCTTCCCCCGACTTCCAACCCCGTCCAGCAGGAGGAGGAGGAACCGAAAGTCGATGTTATTGCGGAAGTCGCTGCGTGGCGAAAGGAGCGAAAGAAGGCATACGAAGATGAATTGGCGCGGTATCGCATGAGTCGTGGAGGCGGTGGCGCAGGAAGATCGAATAGCCTGACCAACCAAAGCAATGGACGCTCGTCATCGGCACCGAGAGGGTACGGGTATGGCTTTGACCATGGTGCCGGACCAGGCTCGCTCGCTTATGCACACGCCCATGTGAATGGAAATGCGCCAGCAAACCAAGGGAATCAAACTCCTTCCGGCAACTCAATTCATGGTGAGATTAACGACCTCGACATGAAGTTCATCGAAGGACACTGGAAGGGAGAGATCAAGGTGATCAGAAATGCGACGCCCAAAGGCCGAACAGGGGTGGTGGACATGTATGGAAACTATTTCGAGAAGGGATATCTGTACCCCTGAGGATGATGATGATGACAATGAACAGCAGCGGGGAAGCGTTCTCGTCCAATTGCACTGTTTGATGGGTAGGACAATGAACTTCTACGAGCGTGGGCGTTTAGGTGTCTACAGGGCCTTTGTCTGCAACCCGATGTCTGTGTACGATATATGTGTATGTCACTTGATGCCATTTATTGGGGTTATCTTCCCCGACGTCTGAACGATAGACTTGACCTTCAAGTCCTTACGAGAAGTACTAGACTGCCCAGAAAGTGGTTTGAAGCATTCAGAAAGAAACGAATGATATTTTCATCAGCGAGTTCCCTTGTTCCCTGTCAAAGCGGTGCAATGGCCGTCTTCACTGCCACCGGGCCACGAGTCTTATTCCTCGTCGGCGGCAAGGCTGAGATACTCGCGAGGCTGAAAGAGGGAGCCAGAGCCTTGCGCCTCGTCGAGCGACTCAAGCTTGGCCCGGCACGTGCAGCCCTCTTGGGCTTGTTGCGGATTGCGTCCTCCAAAACCACCCTCATCGCCCATCCAGCCTGATCACTTTCCTGATCATGCAGCCGTTCAATGCACGGAACATATTTGATCACGGGTGATTGCTCTGAGCTGTGGGTTTGCACTTTCTCTTGCGAGCCTGCTGCGACATGCGGAGTATGCGACGCGCAGCCACCCACCCTGCTATGCGACCCACTCCTACGCTCGGCGACCACTCCACCTCCCTCATAGATCCTTGAGCCATCTGCTATGCACTTTCTCAAAGTCGGCCACAATGGCCAGCTGACTCTCGCGGAGAACTTGAACCCTCCACCGTCCCGCTACGCTGTTCTTTCTCATACTTGGGGCAGGGACGACGAAGAGATAACATATGATGAGATGAAAAATGGCCTTGGTGCCACCAAAGCCGGATACAAGAAGCTACGCTTTTGCGCCGATAGAGCCGGCAGGGACGGAATAGATTATGTCTGGGTGGATACCTGTTGTATCAACAAAGCCAACTGGACTGAACTCGCGGAAGCCATCAATTCGATGTATCAATGGTATCAGGATGCGGCTAAGTGCTATGTATACCTGTCAGACGTATCCATGCAGACCTGGGTGTCAAACTTCGAAACCAGCAGATGGTTTCGTCGAGGCTGGACGCTTCAGGAGCTGCTTGCGCCGAAATTGGTCGAGTTCTACTCGCACGAAGGAATGTTTCTAGGAGATAAAGAAAGCCTCGAACTCCAGATCCACAGATCTACTGGTATCCCAGTTGCAGCCCTTCGCGGCAACCCCCTTTCTGACTTTGCCGTAAGTGAGCGAAAGCGATGGGTAGCAAGGCGCAATACGAAGAGGATCGAAGATAAGGCCTACTGCATGTTGGGGATTTTCGGGGTCTTTTTGCCCCTGATATATGGTGAAGGTGCTAATGCATGGAAGCGGCTTGACGAAGAGATCGAAAAGTCTTCTACAAGCGAATCCCTCACCAACACTCGAAATCGGGACTCTTGTCAAAGATTAGAAAGCAAAGCAGCCCTGCGACGTGTCAAAGAAGCCCAGGCAGGGCCCTATGCACCTTTTCTCGATGTCCTTCTTCAACTTGCCGAGGTACCAAATGATGATCGCACTCGAAAGGCAATGTTGCAATGTGCGCGTTTGCTTAGCATAACGGATAGCGCGAAATTCCTATGGGAGCACCGCGACGCGGTGGACAAAGAGACAGTCAAGGCGACAGACAAAGCTGAGGAACGACTTCGAGATACCTACTATGGTGCTGTTGCGCGGTGCTACAAGTCGCTTGGCTTCGACGATATAATGGCCAGAGAAGAAATCATTGCTGCACCCGACGACGAAACCTGTCTTTGGATATATGATGCACCAGAGTTCGAAAGCTGGCACTCAAATCAGAAGCCGCTGCTCTGGCTCAAAGGTAAGTTTCCTTTTTATTATTGCAAGCTATTCAAGTTTGACCCTTAGCCCAGGCAAGCCTGGTTCAGGAAAATCGATTTTGATGAAGAGCCTCTTCAAACGCCGCGAAAAAGACCTTGATGACTCGTCTACCATTCTACTACGGTTTTTCTTTAATGGTCGAGGCTCGCCAATGGAAAAGTCTCCAGAGGCTCTGTATCGTACACTGACGCAGAGCATGATGCGTCTGCATCCGGCAACTCTATGCGCCGTTCTCGCTTATTACCTTGAGAAGGAATCTCGCACCGGTACCGTCCGCTGGCGGACTGAAGAACTCGCAGATTTATTCCACAAGGAGCTCGAGCAACCTCAGAAAAAGGACATTGAGGTATTTGTCGATGCGCTTGACGAATGCTCAGATTCAGAGGTGCTCGAGGTGATTCGACGATTCGAAAAATCCATTCAGAAACCTCGGGATCAAAGCAAACTGAGGATCTGCTGGAGTAGCCGCTTTTATCCAAACATCAGCTTGCGCGCAGTACAAGCGATAGAGCTGATTGTGAGTGACCAAAATTCCCAGGACATCCGCGAGCACGTTCGAAACATATTTCCTCTACACTTGGATGAGAGACTACGGTCACTTAGCGAGGACGTCATATCCCGGGCTCAAGGGGTCTTCTTGTGGGCGTCATTGGCGGCCAAGAAGCTGATGCAGGCCTTCGATGCCGGCAGAGACGTAGACGATCTGGTTTCGATCCTTCAGAGTATACCAAGCAGCTTGGGCCAATACTTTCTGAAAATCTTTACCGATACAACTTTTACACAGGAACAACGAAAGGACCTGCATGACATCGCCCTGCTCGTGCTCGGCTCTCTACGACCGCTTTCAGCAGACGAACTCCACTCTGCTCTCCTTCTTGCAAATGCGAATACGAAGTGGTCTTTGGATACCATTAGACTGTCATCAGAAAACCTCGGACAATTCAGGAAGCGCTTGATACACGCCTCCGGGGGTCTAATTGAGGTTGTGGAGAGGGACACGTTATTCAATTCGTATGGAGGCCTCTCTTGCAGGGTCCAAGTGATACACGAATCGGTACGGGAATTCTTCCTCGGAGAGGGCCTATTCGTGCTGAACGTGTCTTCCACTAAGGCTTTTGCCGCCGAAAGCCACTCCGTAATGGTCCGCGCCGCATTCAAAGGACTCATAGGAATACAGACCGACTTCACACGACATCGGCACGGTCAAAACGAAAGCGGAGATCCTTCCGATGACAACGTTCTGGATGCTCTGATTCCTGCCAAAACATGGTGCCCTCCTTCGGTATCATTCGTTCTCGGTTACGTCAGAGATCATTGCTTCTCCCATTTGACCTTCGCCGCTGAGGCACAAATTGAAGCGCAGGATGGATCGGCTGCCGCTGACCTTCCATGCAGCTCAGTCTCCAGGGAAGCACTTTTCGCCTATTTGCGTCTCGCTTGCTCGGAAGTGATTCTCCATGGGACGTCAAGAGCATCGGTGAATGAGCAGCTCCAGTCAGCTTCCCTCCATCCTAGCGTCTTCGGATTTGAAAAGCAAGAACTGGCACAGGTGCTGGACCTTCCAAATCAACTTATGACCGCTTCGGAATTTTTGAAGCGTAGGGGACTCTATCTCTTCGAAGAGCCTCCAGCTACGGGATCGTCGCCGGTCACAATGCATCGGTTTCTAGCTGTTTTTGTTGCCAGTTTTCGATCCAACGGTGGGATGCTCGCGTCCAGACCGAGCTCAAAGACGGAGCTGTCGACCCCAAATCAATCTTCAGCGGAAGTGCGTGAAGTTCACCGGAAGCGTCCATGGCTGCCACTGGAGGAAGACACCAATGAGCCTTCATGTGACCCTCCAGCCAACCTTCACTTTGGAATCTCTTTCTTATTACCTCATCCGACAGTCCCCCGAGTTATGCTACCTGAAAGGTTTCAAAGCCCGAATCCCCACGACATTAGTCGGGAGGACGCTGTCCTTGCTGTTGACATTGGGGACTGGAGTTTTGTGGCCTCAAACGACGCAAAGTTGAAACCCTACCTGACCAATCCTGTTTCCGATGAGTTGGGATCGCACCTCACCTTCTCGAACCCTTCGACCCTTAGTTGCATCCTCTTTTATTGGCCTCAGGATGATAGTGAAGTGACTTTGTCCAATGGTGAGCCTGTTCCAATTCGCGTACAGGAGGGGGACTGTCAGATCGGATGGCGACCAGTTCGAGGGGCTTCAAATCGAGCGACTCTGTTCCCTCCCTTGACCCGTCCAGAGCAGTGGGATCGGTATCGTAACCGATTGAGACCGGAGGTGAACCCGGCGGCTTTTATGCGCCCATGGCACCGGCGGCAGTTAGACCGAATGAGACGGGAGGGCAGCAGCTCGAGCCCGGCAAAGGTTGCTAAGAGAGGTGCAACCTATTCCGATTGTGAACTCGATCCTGTCGCTCAGGTTTTCGATGATGAACAGTTCCTCAGGGCGCGGACGGTCAGATCCGCCCATTAAGCAAACCATTGAGGTGGTTTTAGTACGACTCCAATTCGTAGAAAGGGTCCGAACCTAACATCCGCACCAAAACAGGGACACCGGAGGCCAAAAACTCGGCTGAGGGGCCCCGTCGAGCACCTTTCCAGGCCGCTCAGGCGCTGATCAGGCCTAGAAACAGAAATGTGTTTGGTGAGGTGAAAATCTCCTAGTAAGTATAGTGGTATAGCCTACGTTTGAATCACCGAAGCAGAATAGGGCCGTCTGAAAAAGGCAGCCGCTTAAGGGCGGCGGGTTATCCGTGCCAAGGCTTGAGTCAGGGTATCATATCTTTTCAGGACCAACGTTGCAACCCGGTCCAACATTTCGCTAGATAAACATGGCTTACCGTTGACTCTCTTAACAACCATCCTTCTTTTCAAAGTGGACACCTAGTTTCTGAGGCAAAGATGTACTCGCCACGTGTCGGCGACAAGCTGGACAGCTTGGACACGCCCTCTATGATCGTCGACCTCGATCTCATGGAGGCCAATATGCAGAAGCTGTTTGGGAAACTCCTACCCAGCGGCTGCAACATCCGACCTCATCTGAAAACGACCAAAAGCGCCATAATAGCACGCAAGCTCGCCGCTGCAGGGGCTAAAGGATGCTGCGTGGCCAAAGTGTCAGAAGCCGAAGTTATCGCCGCTGCAGGGTTTGACGATATACTCATCACCTCGGAGATCATCGGAGCAACCAAGGTGAAGAGGTTGGTCGAGCTCTTCAAGAAGCACAAGGACATCCGCATTGTAGTGGACAGCGAGGTGGGGGCGTCTGCAATCAACGACAAGCTCGCTGAATCAGGCACCATTGAGCCCATCTCAGTGCTGATCGACCTCGACGTCGGCCTTCGACGCACAGGCGTGGACGCGGGGCCACCAGCGCTGGCTCTGGCGAAGCACATCCGCACTCTTAAACACCTCCGTTTGATCGGCGTTCAAGGATACGAAGGCCACCTTCAGCACCTGCACGATAAAGAAGATCGAAAAAGGCGGTGTCTTGCATCCATGAAAACGTTGGTGGACACGGTCAAGGAGCTTCGCGAATCGGCTTTCGATATTCAGGTGGTGACCACCGGAGGAACGGGCACTGCCGAATTCTGCGCCACGGTGCCCGGCGTGACAGAATTGCAACCAGGCTCCTTTATATTTATGGATACCGACTACCGCAACGCCGTGGGGACGTTCTACTCAAACAGCCTTACCATATTATCGACCGTCATCAGTAAGCAAGGTCAATACCAAGCCACCATCGATGCTGGACTCAAGTCTTTGACCACAGACAGCGGCTTAGCTGAGTGTAAGGATCCCAGGTATGAGCATCGAAATCTCGGGGATGAACACGGCTCGTTGAGATGGGAGGAGGGAACTCCGGCCCTGGAGGTGGGTGATCGAATTGAAATGATTCCAAGCCATATCGACCCGACGATTAATCTCCATGACTTTTACTATGCTCACCGCCGAGGAGTCATCGAGGAGATCTGGCCCGTCGACTCGCGAGGCAAGGTTCAATAGCTGACGCTCCAATCCCCGTACTTGGTGGGAAGAAGGAGATTAAGGCGTTTTACAACATCTAACGCGAGAATATTTGCGTTTCACACTTCGAGTGGAGCAAGTTTGGTCGTCTCTCAAGCTGGACGCGATACCTGCGAGCCAGTAACGAAGTGTATCTATCAAACCCACCCGCAATCCACAGAGGTCTGGTCACGAGAGAACGGGCATAACGTGGCCAAACTCGTCAAGAACCTGCTCTCAGTCCCGGGTGGTGGCCCGGTGGCTCGCCAATCACCGCCATGAGAAAACTTACTCTGTCGCCGTGCGTTGTTTCATTTGACAGAGGTACACAATTATTTCTTGTTTACGAAGCCGCGGGGTGATGCGTGGTGGGTGATACAGGATCGCAATACACGGCCATATTTCATATTTCACCAGTGTGGTAATATCTGCGCGATGCTAAAAGTTTCATACACTTCAAGTGGCATTGCTCTCAAGCCCAGGAAAACTTCAATGATCATGTACCCTCTTGAAACCGCGTAGAGTATTACAACGGGGAATATGAGTCCCACCTCCCAGACCAGGATAGGCTTTGCCTTCTCTTGTTGCTTTTCAAATGCGTCTAAACGCTCCATGGTGGCTTGGTGTGCCACTGGCTTTATCGGATCCCTGTTCGAGGCATCTTGGGTTTCGTCGGGAGTAGTTTCACTGGCAACTCCAGTCTCTTCGTCGGCCGTTGGCCGGGGCAGCGGTTTTTTCAGATGGAGCAATATGAAATATTTGTCCCATCTGCCATATCGCTGGCGAGCTGCTATGGTCTCAAAAACCCAAAAGAGAACCGTTGTGCCGGTGACAATCAGACTTGAAACGCGCCACAACAATGCCTCGGTTCGCGACGGAAAGTTGAATCGCCATCCGATCAAGTGGATTGCGGCGTAAGCCGTTGTCATGCAGAAGAGGACGAACTTCTCAAGGGGGCTAATATCGGGGAACCGATCGTTGGGAAAGCGTCGTAGCGGCCTCTCGCGGTCATCGCAACGGAGATTGAAGAACCCCATTATATCGTAACCACACGTGAACGACTGCTTCGCCACGAAATCCAGAGGAGTATGTCGGTATGGGGCTGCGGCTGCGTCACCGGCTTTGATGAGGATCTCCTTGGTCGTGGCCTCCGTCGTGATCACGATGCCCCTTTTCACATCACTCGGTTTGTGGAGCCAACAGAGAAATGTACCGAAAGTGCAGAAGACTATTGCGCCAGCGGATAGCTCTAGAGTCGATGCTGGGAGATGTAAGATTGCTCGACCCAGGAGCTGGCAGATAAGCCAACTGGCTTGTATTAATGTGAGGATTTTGCTGAGCGTATCGGCCTTGGACTTATCCCAGATTTCTTCTGCGGTAATGCTGGGGTATTCCAGGTATTTATTCTGCACCAAGTATGCCAATTGGCGGCTGTTGACAGAAAACGGTGTGCTGTCTTTAGGCTGGAGCAGAATGCCACCCATATCGGCGAAGAAAGCATTTCGGAGAGTCCATTGTGGATGGCCAAGGTGGCGAAATCGTTTAACTGACCGCTGTGCTGAAGCATATTGGCCGATTGCTACCGACAGAACCAGTTCTGGGCCTACAATGGCCCAGAACATCCATTTCACCTTCCTTCTTAGGATTTGAAGAGGGAGTTCTTGAGGATGGGGAATGTTGAGACACACCGCCGTCCATGTACAGAGGAAAATGGTAAAGAAAGATCCCCAGACTATGTCAATAGTGCCTCTGCTATTAGGGCCTGATACCCATCCGATAACCAGTGCAGTCACATTGCTGAAAGTGGTGGCGTTGACGGATGAACCTGGAAGAACAGCCATATTATCAGAATATAACATGGTGGACACTGGACACTCTTGGTGAGAGTTGAAGCTCTCATCGCCTTCAAAGCAGAGCTGATATATATTGAACACCCCTCACACAGATCAGAAAGCTCAGTCTAACACCATCCATATTTCGTCAGAATGCAGTAGAGGGGCTGTCGCACAGGCGCTGCAGTCTTGTTACACCAATGGGCCCGTGATGAGCGGTAAATAGGGCGCAGCACGTACGAGTAGAACTCACCTGAGCCTAGATGTCACGAACAGCCTCACTCAGATGCCCTACCTCATCCTCACGAATCAAGAGGGTGAGGCATGGCAGGTGAATCAGGTGTGTGCACAAGAACTGTTAGGGGATAAGGCTGTTAGGCTAGGAGCACAAGGCTCTGTTGATACATTTAGCCTAGTGCTCATCCCAGCGTTATCTACTTGTACAGGAACTACTACTGTATATAGTTACCCAATCGATCAGTACCCGCTATGTGGCGTAGGTCCTGATAATGGAGCAGCCCCATAACCAACATATGGATTTATATTTAGAATCACTAGAGTTTTCCTCGATGAAAGCTCTTGAACAACATTAAAGTGGAGGGAAATTTAGCATTGTCCACTGCGATTCAGCTGAAAGTAGGGAATTGGGAGTATGGGTATGGACCAACGCAGCGGCTAGTATGTTACGGGACGGGGCGAGGAGGGGCGGGCCGCGAAGAGGATCGCCGTCCTCGACTAGTAGCCACTCACGGTCGGAGCGAAAAAAGTGGGACACTCCAAATTCTTGGCAATGCTGCCACCTCTCCCTTGCATAGTAATTACTACTGTAACTGGAATCAAGTGTCATAATCTAGATAAAACTGCCATTAACTAGTAGGATGCTGATTGGCCTTTGGAGTCAATCACTGTTTCAATCGCTGAGGCATTTGCTCGATCCAGGCGTTGATTGTTGCCTGCGATAGGCCATTCCAGCCCTCGACGGCAAGGTCCCACACAGAATCCTTATCCCAGTGAGGGTACCTATTCAGATAGGCCCTTGGTGCTGATCAGGCGAATGAGGACAGTTGAAGTAGTAATCGATATTATGCTGAGGTTTCCAGGTGCGAACTAGGTTCGTTTTGCTAGGCCCGTGGCCCATTCGTTTAAGCGCTGTTCAAACTGCTCTCGTATCTCGTACTGTTCAGAACACTGGTGCCGCTGTTCAGAACACTGAGTAATCCACAGGTTTAGCAATGTGGATGCGTCTGGCGGTATTTGAACCCCGTAATAAGAGCAACAAGGTGGAAGGCGGTACCAGCGACCGCGCAGGTGTGGAACAGTTGATGTGAATGGCACCAGATGTCGAAGGAGCCTGGACTTAACCTTTCGGGAATTCGACCAACGAACAAGCCAACACCAAGCAGCAAAGACAGTAATTCGGCAAGGTACCATTGCGCACCAATCTGTCTGCAAGCTTCAGTCCAACCGAGGGAGCCCACGCGATGGAATATTGGTAGCATTGCCGAGGTTACAAGCAGAGAGAAAACGCCGCCGCGCAGAGTTCGCATCTTGCTACCCCCACCACCGGTGTCGAAGAGCGTGACGGCTGCAGCTACTCCGGCACACAGATTGAGTGCCCAGTAGACGTGTTGGACAGTTTTGTTGCAATAAAATGCATAATACGTTGACGATGCACCTCCACCGACTGCTAGGACGCAGATGCCGAGAATGTCCAGCTTACCCCAGAAGTGGTGTACGTTGTAGGAATGGCTCCTAAGCGTGTGGAATGCGGTGCTGAGCCCGAAACAAATTGTAGCGGCGGTTATCAAGGAGCCAAGGGCAAATTGGTCGCCCACGCTGACATTGAGGGTCGTGGGTCTTTGATGAGAATAGGCATACACAGCGAATCCCGTGGCCACAGATGCCGCCGATCCGACAATATGAGTCCATATGTTCATGGTCTCCATGTGCAAGCAGCGCCAAAGGCGAAAGGACCGCTTGTAAGAGTATGTTGGCATTGGATGCCCTCCGACAAGAAAATCGTTATCTCGAAGCCATCCTGGTATCTGATCTTTGGTCGCGATGATGGGCCAGTACGCCTCGTTGTCTGGCTTGTCGGCAGGGGGCCAGCCTGGCGCAACACCAGGCGGTTGAGATGGGGCTGCGTGTCTCACCATTTGCAAGGAACCTGGGCAGTTGTTGTTGTTGTAAAGGAATTGATTCGGGTGGTATGTGGTGAGCGAGGTGACGCGAGCAGCTCGTTGTTGAACGTCGTTCTTAAAACAGTAACAGCCGCCCGCCAAGAGAAGATGTTGATTTGGGCAAGCGCCGCCACCAGCCGCAGTGGTGCTAATTGATTAGCATGGAAGATGCCTCCAGGCAGCAGGCTTGGCTGAAACGAACCGGACAGTCATTATATCGCCTTGGCAACCTCGTCAGTCACAGCGTCCCCGATGCTCCGTCACGTGTGCGATTAAAGCGGCCTCGCTCCCTTTCCCGAACGAAAGCGGTAATGGACGAAGCACAGTTTTCTGCTTATATATATATATATAAAATCCCCGAACCGTCGTCGCCCACGGCTCTTTCACTAACTATATCACCCGCCGCTTTGCTCTCCCGCCAACGACTATTTGGTTGACTCGCTCCCTGATTCACTCCCTTCTACTCCCTTCCTCTCTTTCGCGCTCTTCTTCCACTCTCTTCTGCTCCCTCACAGCTCTGGCTAGCTCCTGTCGTACTCTCTTACGTGTTAGTGAGGCTCTCATTCGGGCTCTAAGTTTATAGGCGTCTACACTACGGAAAGAACACCCACTCCATCGTCATATCCAAGCGATCCGCCTTCACTACAGCACGCTGCTACCAATGCCTCGCAAATGATATCGACCGACCCGACTCAGCGTCAAGCTCCGAGTGATAGTCGATCGAGACGGCGTCACCAACCTCGTGAAAAGCTCGTGATCTGCTGCCAGTGCCGGCAATACTCGATCCTTGAAACTTCTCCGATGTGTATGAATTCTTGTACCCATCGTTTCTACCACAGCTGTGAACTTATCAATCTAGAAGTCGACTCATTAGGAGATGTCAACATTGAATATGTGTGATCGCGCTTATCTTTCGTCATGTTTGTCGGAATGTGTGCATTGGTTAAATGCATGACTCTATTAGCACTGATCCCGAAAGAATTATTTCTTTTGCTGAATCTTGTTATCGAGACGGCACTATATCCTTGGGTTGAATTTTGTTGGTAATGTATCGGATATGCTGTGTTTGATTTGGTTTTCATTTCCTTTCCATGGCTTTATTGTTTTTTATTCAAATGATGGAAATGGGTTTTTATGTTTTGATGGATTCATGTGAACCACGAATCAAAGAGAACGACCACCGCAATGGAATGATCAGTGGGCAGAAAGCGAAATGAGCGAGGCAAATGGTTTTCTTTTTCGTGTTGGGACAAGCCAGCAGCGCGAGTATCAAATTATAAACGGGCGGATGGATGGGTGGGTGGGTGGGATCGACGAGGTGAGGCTTTTTTTCCCTCATCCACGTCCAGGAGTGAAGCGTCAGGCTTTACATCTCCAAGAGCGCAACACACTTGACTTATGGGTACGGTGAAGGAATGGATGAGACTTCCGAGGTGATATACTTTTCGTTGTGCCTCATGTTAGGGATAAAGTGCAACGGCATAGGATCTTCGGCGAATGACTCGGTGTGCTAAGTTACGCGTATTCTCGAGACTTAGCCCGCACCAGAATAATATTCTAAAATTCGTGATAGAGAAAAACTGAGATGAGTGAGGTACATATAGAAAGCCCAAGCCCTCCCTTAGGCTCATCCCAGGCTTTCTGCCAGCGTCTCCAGCTCACAAATGACAGACCAATATAACGCTTCCTGAAGCCTATTCTGCCCCAGGTCAAAGCCCTGACCAAAGTCACAATGCAAGCATTTGCGTACCGTCTCTGCATACTTCGGGCCCCACTTGGACGAAAGTCTCTTCGACAAGCGGATGGCAGTACGGTAGGGGACGTCGCACGGCTCAGTGCCGACGCGGTCGATTGGATCGGTCATGGCGGCTAGCGGCTTTTCGTACACTAATTCGAGCAACACGACGCCCAGACTGAACAGGAGACGGTTCCTAATGACTAGAGGATTGGACCACGTCGAAGATACAAGTATTCCACTTGCTGGACTGTGGATGTTGGTGGTTGCGAATACTTCAAGCCGTGAGTCGGCGCCCGCATCTGGAGTGGCATGTGACGAAGGAACCTTCCTCCTGCGCACCATTATGATTTGGCTGTCCAAGGTGTCCTGCAGCCAGGCGGTTTTGTGGAAATGCAGGACTGCCCGTGCAAGCTGTCCAGCGAGAGAAATGCGCTGACGGAGTGAGAATCTTTTGTCGGCGTTGTCATCGTCGCTTTCCTTAAGAATGTCTTGGAGGCTCTTGAGGCTGGGCCCGACTGAGGCGGCTGATCTCTGCGACAATCGGCGATCGAGATAGATGACGTGCTTCGAGCCTAATGACTTTTCGAGATAGCCAACAGCTTGATCGCTCGGTAGAGTGAGGCCTCTGAATTGCGCGAGGTGACGACATATCTTGCGATGCTTGCAGAGATTGATGAAAGTGGTTGGAGGAGGTGGAGGAGGTAACACTAGCGTCGTTGATCCAGAGCTACTACTAGTATTTCGTTGCCGCTGCGGCGGCTTGACTTTCTCGTCCTTGATGAAATCCCGATCGTAATCGCAATCGTCCTGGGCGCAGGCGAAGGTCCGTTTCAATGTGGTCACCATCTGGCGAAGGCCATCAGTCTCGCCGTTGACATTCTCTATTGTACCGCTACCGCTTGACTCGATAGTGAGCCATAAAGGCTTTTCGTTGGCGCCAAAATCTGGATCTAATGGGCTCAGCGCGAGTTGACCAAAGGCCAGGGTGAAACGAATCTGCCGAGTATCAGAACAGGCTGGACTGAGGCTGAGATATGCTTGGTGTGCGTCGTGGTCTACACATGCTGATTCCAGAGCTCCATAGAGGTCTGCTGCAGTGCTCTTGACGACGGCGAATTGCCCCATCACCTTCCTTAGACCCCAAGAGTTCAGCTTGGAACGTAACTCCTCGGAAGATGGAACATGTGCCGTGACCAGGTTAGTCAAGGCAATGAAGTTCTGGGTCTTCTCCGTCAGATCTTGTAGCGAATCTTGAATGCGTGACCGCTCAAAAGCGAAACGAAGCTGCTTCCTAGCTACCGTGATACTCGTCTTTGGATGTACCACGAACTCCTCGAGATGCCTTCGAACGGCATCTAAAGAGTCGCAAATGAGAGATATGGCGGCTTCGAAACCGTTTTGGTCCCCTCCGAGAAGATCAATGTAGCGGCTCGACACAGATGGGTCGCGCCAGGCAGGGTGCTCAGCATCCCTAAGCATTTTCCTTGCCTCGTGGGCATCAACGCAGTGGCGCAGAATCTGCTCGTTGGCTTTCCGAAAGCACAACTCTTGCATTCGTAGCGTTTGTATTGCTTCTCTAAGCTTTCGTGGGTATTTTTTGATGGTGCCAAAGAAGGTTGTAGCGCAACGATAGCTCTCAATAGCAGCAATAAGCAGCGAAGCAACTCCTAGAGCTAGGCCTGCTGCTTCCGCCATATTTCCAGCTGAGATATGTCCTTTCGGAAATTAAAGCTTCTTGATCCAGGCGACAGAGAAAGCTGAAATAAGTCGACTAAAACTATTTTTTGCTCCTAGAGTGAGTATTTACCTTGACGAAGGGTATCCGGCTGTGTCTGCCTTGGGAAGGAGAAAGATTAAGGTCGCAGCAGCCCTCGCCTTATTCAGTACGAGCTTGTGGCACACCTCATTGGAGATGTTGGCAGTTTAATGCGGCTGGCCGCAGCACCTCATGAGCATAGCCACAACACCTCATGAGCATAGCCGCAGCACCTCATGGGCATAGCCACAACACCTCATGAGCATAGCCGCCGCCCCATTGTGCTGAAGAACATCGTAAATACAGAGGTCGGTCATCACCGGTCCCTCCGTTTTTAATGAGCATCTCTGTCGTGTACTGTGTATTCTTCTCCTTCGCAGTTGCATTCGATGGCAGATGATATACCCTCAATCGAGAGCAGGCTCCGGAAGCAACGCGTCCTGGGCCTGAACGTTTCGCACAATGAAACGGCCAAGCACTTACCTAGCGTGAAAGATCGGTCTGTGGAAACGGAGTTTATTAGCGAGCTATATCTCGAATGCGCAGAGCGACTCTCGCAAGGCATGGAGATTCTGAAGCGGCTTCCACCGGCCCAGCGTGTTGATTATGATAAATTTCGAGAGGTTGAAGCCAGATTTCGGCTTTTTGGTGGAAGCTTCGATCATGGACTTATGGTGTCTTGCCTTGATGACGTCGAATTATTCGACGCGACTCTACGTTCGCTACTCAAGGTCGCTGCGAATTTGAAGGAACACTTTCCGAGTGGGCCAGACGTGGGCCTGGATGTTTTGATCTACCAGTCGAGATCAATAATAAGCACCTCCGAAGACGACGACGATTCCGACGATTCCGACGATTCCGAGCAAGACGAAGGTGAAGCTAGGAGAGCGTTGTCGACCGAAAGAGGGGTTCGGGGTTTTGCCAGGCTCTCCCACAGCATCAGTATGCTTATGGAGCTTCTCCCAATTCTCGAAGCAGCAAATCGCCTGAACCATCCTCCTCGTGTTGACCGTACCGCGCATAAACACTTGCAAGCGGCCTCTGCAGCCCAATACGTGCGTCGTGTGCGGGACAAGTTCCCCAAGGCGTCTCCCAGTCTTGCTGATCGCCTGGGCGAAGCTAATTGGCAAAGACACGAACGCCTTAGAGATCTCGTCTGGGAAAGATCAGACGCGAGCGGTCCTGCAGAGAGCCCAGGGCAACCAATGCAGAAAGCTCCAGGACAAGAGTTATCATGGAACGACCTTATACACACGGCACAGTCTGTGCCGTCAATTTCTGGTGACACTTCTATCAGTGCGGCTCCGAGTGAAGCCTCGACCACAAAGCTTGAGTTTCCTAAGATGCCGGAAGGCGCAACTTGTCCTTACTGCGGAGGCGTGGTCGAGGTGGACACTCTAGCTGCATGGAAGCTACACGTCTACTCGGACCTCCAAGCTTATATTTGCACGCATGAAGCCTGTCCACAGCCGACTGTGACATTCGACGCGTGGGAGGCTTGGGCGCAACATGAACTCGATGACCGTCTGACAGAGATGAAATACGAGTGCTCCATCTGTTCCAGCCTCGTTGATGACAAACAGGGCTTTCTGCATCATGTTGACAGGGTGCACAGTATAACTGTAGCCCCCGGCATACGTCAAGCCGTGCTTGCCAACGCACAGCGCCGCGTCCAGCGTGATCTGGGTCATGTTAGGTGCAATCTATGCCTGAAGCATGGTTTCAACGACAAGAGCGACTATACCCAGCATGTCGGCAGCCACCTAGAAGATATTGCCCTTGCTGCACTACCTCAAACACGAAGGGATGAGTGGAGCCGAGCCCAGGCGGAACCCGACAGCGAATATCTTTCCAAGCAGCCCTATCGGGGTTCTGAAAAGCAGAGAATTGATGATCTTGATCGTCCCGCCGACAGTGGGTCAATGTTACCATTGAAAAAGCATGCTCGCGATTCGGCATTATCACGAAGTCTCTTGAGCCCAGCCTCATCTGACGATGAGCTCTATGAACACAAAAAGCTAGGACCACACCCTTCCGTGTTTAATGAGAATGGCTTGCATTTTGCATCACTATCATCCTTGTATCGGCCTTCGCAGGATTCTTCTCTGCCGTTGCCACCACAGTCCCCAACGATCAAAGCAACTGTGAAAGCTCCGGAAACTGTCAGATACCACACCTCTGATGTGCTCGTGCCTGAAGGCGACGAATTCGTAGCCCGCGAAATGGATGACGCTGGCGAAAAGAAAATCGATCACTTGGGTTACCTTCAGGGCGGTCGAGACTATAGAATTCGGACATTCACCCTTCCTGGTCGAGGCCAGAAGCTGTTCATGCTTGCGACCGAATGCGCTCGGCAACTTCAGTATCGAGATTCGTACTTGCTCTTCAACAAAAACAGGTCGCTATACAAGATAATTGCCAGTGCCGAAGATAAGGAAGGTCTTATCAGTCAGGAAATACTGCCCTACAGCTACCGTTCTCGCCAGATCGCAATCGTCACAGCTAGGTCAATGTACCGCCAATTCGGTAGCCGAGTAGTGAAAGATGGTCGTCGAGTGCTAGATGACTACTGGGAAAGTAAAGCTAGAAAGCAAGGATTCACCGAGGCCGATGCTGCTGGAGCAGCGTGCAGGCGGAAAGAGGCGAGGGCTGCTATGGGAGGTACTGATGAAAGTTTTCCTGCTACAAAAGCGCTACGCGATCCATACGCTGCGGCGCCTGAGTCAGGCGTCTGGTCGGAAGGAACTTATTCTGTACCCAGCATGTGGTGGACACTGACTGACCCAGGGCTTAGAACGCCCACATCATGCTCGAATCGACAGGTTGGCGACGGCGTCGACCACGTCGATACAGGACAGCAAAGTCGAACCGAGACCAAGACGCAGGAAAACTCAAGGCCATAGACGAAACAGAGTAGTTATGGCAGCGACAAAACAATGCAGGAGATCTATTCCATGTCATTGTGCGGCTATAGCCCCATCCATGCTGTCTTCTGAATGCATTCGATCCCCGGGACCGGCCGCCGTTTACTCGTCTTGACCAAGCCTAAGTACCGTAGTTCTGCAAGGGCATGGTAAAACAGCGCTAGAATATGGCGCTCCTCGGCACTCTCATCGTACTTATCTCCATCGACGTCGAAAATCACCATCGTGATCTTTAGATGCCAGTGTGTCACGGAACGCATCGCACAGATCGCGCACGTTGATGACGGCGTCGGCTTCGTTGAGCATGTTGAGCAGAAGGCACATGAGTGGAAAGATGGATTTGTCTGCTTCGACCGATGCGGAGGAGACGTGGTCGTAGTAGGAGCAGCCTAGATAGTCCGCCTGTAGGCTCAGCGCGCGCTCGAAGCTGTAGGATGTGCGATAGCGGCGATTTTGAAGTCACGTAGGTCTGGAGGTACATGCGCAGGAGCGTGAAGATGTCGACTTCGGCCTCTTCATCCGCTCCGCGTCCGCATCTCAATCTCATAATTTGGACGCACAGACACTTTTGAAGGTATCTAGTCCCGGCTCAGAGGATTCGTTGAGAAGTTTCTTTGTCGATAAGCATGCTTTGGAATTGTCTCTCCAGGATCGCGGGATCGCCACTGAGATAAAAAAGATCATGGGGTGTAAGAACCGTAATATCGTCACATGCTCCTTGTGGCATATTTAGCTAATTTAGAGGCAACACATCTAGTGAACTGGGACGCGGTCTGTACATTGTACAGACTCACGTGGTCAGCCTTGCCACGTTGCCGCCATCCCTATTACACTACGAATGGGCGTCAGGTAGCGCCTCTCTATAGCTCGCTCAGTCGTCGGGCGCGCTCCCCCGTACTCTGCTCAGGCTCCCCCAACGCTCGCCCGTACTCGGCCGAGTCTCCTTGACACTCCGTCACGTGTGCATTTGAAGGGGCCTCTGTGACTCAATGGAGGGACATGATGAATTCTACAGGGTCCTGGGGCCCGTCTGACTATATACCTTCAGTAATTAACAAAGGGGTCACGGCGCTAGTAACAAGCCTTCGGCCGAAGACTAGCCTGAACAGTCATTACATATCTTGGCGGTCCTGCCAGTCAGACGTTGTTACGGGCTCGGTCACGTGAACACAGGGCCAAGGGCGGCAAGCCAAATGAGAGATCCTTGGGCTTGTGCGTCCTTGTGGAGACCGCTCCTTTGACCATTCTAACAGAGCTACTAATAATGTACGACACGGGGCATCCATCCGGTTCAAGAGTCTCAATGCTACCCCGGTGGGTACAGAGATGCATTCGTGGCGACGATCACTTCCCATCCGTTGGGTTAGTACCGAGTACCCGTCTTCGAAGAGCTGATGTACCGAGCAACATAAACCTGGGGAGGTTGGGTAGTACTTCCTTCTTTTACCTCCATTTTCCAAAAGCTCCAATGCTCAGCCTTGCGCAATGACTGTGTCCAGGTTCTGTCAAGTTCTGTGGACAACCATCTTCCTCCTATCCCCCTTGACATTGGGCGAAGGAATCAGCCACGATCAAGTCAGGCGGGATCGAGCTCACTTCGATTATGTCATACTGGGCGGGGGAACAGCCGGCCTGGTCATTGCGGGGAGACTCTCGGAAGATCCTAACGTCACGGTGGCCGTCGTCGAAGCTGGCAACTTCGAAAGAAACAATCCCAATGTGACCAACGCGAGTGCGTTGGGCCTCGCAAAGGACACCCGTGTCGACTGGCAGTATTTGAGCGAGCCACAAATCTACGGCGGCAATCAGAGTCTCATATGGAGCGCCGGCAAGGGCCTGGGCGGATCAAGCCTGATCAATGGCAAGCTTCTGAATGCTCGTCCCATGCAAGCACCGGATGAGATCTGCTAACGCCCTGGTGGTAGGAATGACATACATCCGCCCTGCCAGTGCCCAAATCGACTTGTGGCCTTCTCTCGGTCTGGAGCTGAACTGGACCGATCTCTTCACCTTCTCGAAGAAAGGGGAGCACTTCCAACTTCCATCGTCCAACCTCACCGCCCTGGGCGCCTCTTATCAATCTTCGGCTCATGGATTCAGCGGACCGCTGTCGACATGCTTCAGTCCGCACATCACGACGGGTGACATCCATGAAATCTTCAACAGCACCTTCCAAACGCTGGGCATTCCGCCGCGGCGTGAATTCGATGGTGGCCAGCTCCATGGCTATGGCGTCCAAGCAGTAACACAAGATGGCCATGCTGACGTTCGGGAGGATGCTGCGCGGGCGTATTACTATCCCGTGATGAACCGCACGAATCTCGTCGTGTTCGTCAACACGACGGCCACACGCATCATTTGGTCGGCACGGGACAGCCCCAGTGGAAACGCAGTAGCTTCCGCCGCCGAAGTGGTCAGCAACAACGACGGCCAGGTCTCGACCATCGAAGCCGGTCGAGAAATCATCCTCTCGGCCGGTGCGATCAGAAGCCCTGCGATTCTGGAACATTCGGGGGTCGGCAACCCCTCCATCTTGTCGGCACTGTCGGTCGACGTCAAGATCCCCCTCCCCGCGGTGGGCGAGAATTTCCAGGATCAAACCACCCTCGCCGTCTCCGCGAGCATCAACAGCACCGTCGTGAAGCAGAACTTCACCGGCCTGCCGGCCTTCGTGGCACACGTCAACCTGCACGATCTCTTCGGCACGAACACGTCGTCCTTCTACAACGCCACGCGGGCCAAACTCCCCCAGTATGCCGCTGCCATAGCCGCCCAAAACGGCGGGGCCAGCAACGCCTCTGTCCAACAACGCCTCCTCCAAACCCAACTCGACCTGCTCTTCCAGACCAACACCCCGGCCTCCGAGGTCGTCCCCCTTGGCCTCGCCAACCTCGTCGGGGCCGTCTTCTGGCCGCTGCAACCCTTCAGTCGCGGAAGCGTGCACATCAACAGCACGAACCGGACCGCCCCGCCGGCCATCGACGCCAAATTCTTCCAGTTCGACTTTGACGGCGCCATGACCGTCGCGACGGCCAAGTTTTCGCGCACCTTCGTGACGACCCCGCCCATGTCCAGCCTCGTCAACGGCTCAACCATCAATCCCAGTTTCGCCCGCGTGCCGGAAAACGCGAGTGACGCCGTGTGGCTGGACTGGATCAAGACGGCCTCGTCCTACCAGCCCAATTATCATCACCTGGGCACGTGTGCCATGTTGCCGAGGGACATGGGCGGGGTCGTGGACAACGCGTTTAGGGTGTATCGGACCGAGAACGTCAGGGTGGTGGATTTGAGCGTGATTCCGTTGCAGGTTGCGGGACACTCGACGGCACTGTTGTACGGGGTTGCCGAGTGGGCGGCGCAGAAGATCAAGGGGGGGATGACCGTATGATGGGATGGGGGTGGGGGGTGGTTCGGCCTGAGCAGAACTGGGACGAGGCTGAAATCCAAGTTGAACCTGCTCACATGGCGCCCAAGTGTATCGCCGAAGCTGCAGTCTGTCAATGGGCCCATCCTCCTCCCTGCGAAAACTTCCCCCTGTAATTCAACGGGTGCTCAGGAGGGGCTCAGCTGAAGGGTTCAGTGAAAGCTCTGGTTCAAGCAGCCCTTCGCTCACTTTCTAGGATCGAACCGTGGTTGCAAGGTAGATTTTTTGTTCTCGAGTAATCTAGGTGCGTGATAATATAGGCTCACAGCTCTCGGTAACGTACAATATCCCGCCCGTCCGCCACGCAAAAGATAACTCAAGGGTTCACTCGGTGTATCGTGGTATCATCTTGCTTGGCAGAGACAAGATAACATAGCTCAATGTCATGGGCAAAAATCTGAAATCAAAATGCCGCCGCCCACCAGGTAATAATCCTTGTGCTCCGTACAATGCAAGGGGGCACAACCGCTCCCTGCGGCTCTATTCCCAGCGTCTGGGCGCTATTAGGCCACAGAATCAATGGCTGGGACCCTCCATTTCGTCCCAGCTTGGCCGTCGTGTTGGGTATCATAGGGTGAGGCCATGTCGTGTTCATCAAATCTCCATCTCCAACATACATTACCCGGTGCTCCATTTCCATTGCACCGGGCCTCTCTCGCGTTGTTGCCGACCCGTCAAAGCATATCATACGACAACCTGTCTCTGTGCCGTCTCCGTGACGGCCATAGGCATAGCACATTGTGGGTTCAGCTTCTTCAAGGTCATATTAGTATTGGCGAACATCTTGTTCTTATCCTTCTCCTTGATAGACTTTCTCGCTTTCGATTTTGCAAGGTCAACCTCGGATACAGTATCCTCACTTTCCTTGTCTTTCCTCTCGGGCGCAATTGTCTCTGCCATCTCTTGCTGCTGTGGTTGTTGCAATGGCCAAGTCTTGCTGGAATTCATTTGATAAAGCTGTGGTGTTGGTGTCGTATCTTGATCTCGTAGGCTCTCGAGATGAGTTCTGTCAGACCCGTTGGAATCTGACAGACCTAGATTGCTATTATCTCTATGCTCTCTGGCTTGGACGACATCTGCTTTGCTGAACCGCGGCAACTCTTCACTTGTAGAGTGATAGACGAGCGGATTTTCTGCCAGTGGGGGTCCACCAAAGCGCTCGCCGAGGCAGCGCAGGATGGCGACAAAATATTGGTGCAGAAACGTGAAAATGTTTTCGTCGCCTACTATCTCAGCTAAGCTACGCGGTGTAGCTTGTCCAACGCGACGCGGGTGACCGTCTGGGTCTACTGTGCGAGCTGTCAAGAAGGAAGACACTGGAGTATAATTCCTCGCGGTCGTTTTGCCGCTCACGTCCAGCGACTCGGCTTCCTTTTCTTCTTTGTTCCGTTGCTTCTGCGCGGCTGTTTCAATCCCCTTGGCCATCCGCGCGAATGATTCCCAAAGCATGGGACAGGCTTGAAACGCGCGGCTGGCATCTTTGCCTGCCAGGGCGAGGAAAGCGTAGGCCCGCCGTCGGCCTCGGGCCTTCGGATCGGTGAGCCGAAAGACGTATGCAATGGTATAGCCTGTATTTGAATCACCGAAGCAGAAAGGGCCGTCCGACATGCCTCGGGGAAGCAGTTCACAGGACAAAGTCCGAATGACAGAAGCACGTAATTGCGCATAGCTCTCTCGGTCGGTGGGAGATTTGGCGGTAAGGTATGTCAGGGTGTGGTCGTGACAGTCGTCGGATCGATGAAACTGTGGATGCGATGTCGTGTGGGAGGAGTCGGATGACGTGACTGATGAGCCATAAGAGGACGGTTTGGAATCGTCGGAGATATGAAGACTGCTATTCCTTCTCTTCTTCTCTCGGAGACAGACAAATTCTCTTGATCTCAGCACTGGCGCTCCTGTATTGACGTTGTTTTGACTATCCGCCCGCTTGCTACCTGGTGCGCCGGCCGGAAGCTTTTCTGCTACAGCCTTGGGAACGGAGAAACTGCAGCTGGCACAATTCTCGTCTTGGTTGCGACCATAGCGCCACTGTGAGGAGAGCGTCCGTGTCTGGTCAACCGTTTGAAAAAGAGGGTGTTTCTCGATGGTCGGGCTTTCAGGTTCTGCTTCCGAGTCAATCGCGGTGGATGCGCCGGAAATGTCGGTAGGCCAGGTGGAATTGGTGTCAGTTTTTCTCAGTGCCGGCGGCGCATGGAGGCTCTGTGACGATTCAAGGGAGGAATTGTGGACTTGGGTGGTGAGGGATTCGGTGGATGAGGAAGCTCTTAGAGGAGGCGACGGTGGGAGGCATAATGCACATTCCAACGGGAGGACTTGTGTGCAAAGAACAGACTTGGGGCCATGCGCCTCGCAGAAATGGGTGAGTGCGAGCTGGAAAGGGAGCGTTAGTTGATGTTGAAGCAGAGCGCAGTGGTCATTTGGCAGCATCCGGGAGAACAGGCATGTCATGGGGCAGCCGGAAAGCGACCAGGTAGGATGAGAGTATATCCACAACAATACTTACTGTGAAGTCCATTATGTCCCTCTCGCCTTCTTTTTCTTTGTGTCTTTTTCTCTTTTCCTAGCCGCAAACTCTGCTACAGTCTGAGGTGGTGGACGTTGCACATGTTTCGGTTTGCCAGGCGGACGCAACGGGCTGAGGCGGGGCCAGCCATGAGTGCCTGTGTGCGAGGCCAACTGTCGAGTGTCTAAGAGAGGGATCACTTCAACCCAACGGCGCAGGTGAAGTTTGAGTCGCAACAAGGTCCGCGAGGGTTGACGGCGGCGATCAAAAGGAGGGCAAGAGCTCGTGTGCTCGATCGAAGGGAGAGAAGCCTAACAACGTAACCGTCAACTGGCACCGCGGGTCCGGAACGTGTGGAGATTGGTGTGATGGTTGCGGGAAAATCTGCGATCCTGACGAAGACGGTCTGAGGGTGCGAGCAAGAGGAACACAAACCGCGCCCCTTGACAGAGAATGAGAAGATATAACTTGAACAAGTTGCAGTTACAGCTGTCCCATTCACTTTGTCACGGGGGTAGACAAGTGAGGCAGTGATGATGGTCTGGCCTTTTTGGAGGGCCTTCTGGCGCAGACCGCCACTTGCGATGGATTCTAGGGATTCGGCCGCACCCAATCAGGCCGGGCTCGATGACAAGAGTCTTTTGCGATCGAGGCAACTGGGGGCGATGCCGGCTGCGAGTAATAATCCGCTCACCCATTCGCCCAACCCAGCCGGCTTCTCCCACTTGCATCCTGTTGCAGTCTAATGTACCGTTGGCGCCGCTACTCATGCGGGAGAAAGTCCCAACTGGGACGAGCATTCGTTCTGCTGCTGCTGGCCACTCGTGCTGCTGTCGGTATCCGTCTGCTCGGCATGACGGCATCTTCAGTTGACCGCACCAAGCTGCGACTTAGTTTGTTTGGCTGTCGCTCTTCTTCATGTGCATTTCCCTCTGCGCCCAGTCCGTCTTGAATCTTCCGTCTGTCGTTGCTTTTGGCACCACGAGCGCCACATGATGATCTTGTTCCTGGATCTCATGCACCTGCAGTTCGGCTGCAGCGACAAGAGTGATCGTCCTTTTGGAGATGTCGATCTCCTGCACAATGGCGAGCCCCAAGCATCGAGAACACTCTGCCGGAAACGGAAAGGAACTTTCCACTTCGCCTTGCCCTTGCCAAAGCGGCAGATCCTCCTCCGTCCGATATATCCCGCTTCTTCGATGACTGTCATTACTGCCTGCATTGATCTCGCTGAGATCACATGGCTCATTTGTGGCTGTGTGGGCGTTGATCGCCGCCACGGCAACAATACTTCCTTCCAGCGCATCGTACGTGTCCTCGGGTGCAACATGGCCACCTAGCAGAATAATCGCCAATATGTTTGCGGCATCACCACCATAGCTTAGGGCCATCGAGTGAGATGGTGTCACTAAGATGGGAGTGTCGTCCCAGTATGGGCGGTTGATGGGCGTGTCTCTCAGGTGGAAGTATGCTTGCATTTGAAGGTCGTGCTCCCGCACTGGAGATATCTTGTCAAACACCTGAGCCGGAATCTGGTGTATACGACAATTGCCCATCTCTGCTAGTGGTTTCCAAGGCTCTAAATGCGGCGACACTGGACTAGAGTCAAGACAAACAATATCGGACGGAGACATCTTCGTCCAGAGCTTGCTCGCCACGGCGTTATCGATGCCATTCAGCCACTTGGGACATGTAATGAGAACTGGGGCACCCTCGAATTCCCCATGAAATTTCTGTTCAGCATCCAGTAAATCAAAGATGCGATCAATGTGCCAGCTGACCAGATCTCTTGCTTCTAGGTCACCAAGAAAATGTTTGGCCAATATCCGGCTGGCTCCTTCTCGGTAGGCTGGCAGGATGTTGGCGAACGGTGGGCCAAACACGGGGTTCGCAATATGCACTAGGCTCATCGTCCCCGGAGGAGCAAACTCTGGCATATTGGTGTCTAGGTCCAACAGTATGACTCCTTTCTGGTGAGCAGTGTCAGGTCTGGCGGATTGTTTGGCGAGAAGTCGGTTGAAGACACACTGAATCAAGGTCGAAAGGCCTGATGAACGTTTCCCGCATATCAGGACTCTCCGTGACTTATTCGCAACAGGGCTGGAGAATTCTGTCAATAGCGATTTCCAGCAAGTGGAGTTTAACTCTTTCAGGCGTCTTGGAGCTTTAGGGTCTTGTTCGAAAGAATGGCCCAGCACATAGAACGATGACGCCGATGCCTTGACGCCAAATGGAGCCCACATCCCTTTGAGCCCGACGTAGGGAAGATCTCTGATGCCATCATTGAGAGAATCAAGTTGAACTTCAGCACTCGAGCTCACGGCTTCAACCGAAGGAAGCGCATGTGTAGCGGGAGCATAGATGCGATGAATGGCCGTCGTGGCAGTAAGAATCGCGCCGTAGAGGGAGACGGATCCTTGCTTCACCCATAGCGTGTATGTTCCCAACACGACGCATTTCTGGGGGAGTCAGCACAACTTCGAAATGTTCCCTTCCAACATACCTGGCCTCGCGAGAGTTTGATCTTGACAGACCTGTCAGTCAATTGCTCGATTTCTCGAGTCGAGCTGAAATGGACTGCAGAAGCTTCAGCCAGCGTTGCAAACTGGTTCGGAGTCTGTATTTTCTCATCTTCCGACAAGCTGCCATCGTCTCCATCCTGCTCATTAGACGCAGCCTCGCTCCGACTGGACTCTGGAACTGGTACAGGAGTCACTTGACTGCGACTCGGCACAGCCTCTTGCACATCCCGCAGGAGCCGCCGCCGTGCGACTGCGCTGAGTCTTCCACCATCTGTTCCCATGTCAGCACAATCGCGACTTGTTTCAGGGGCTCTTAACGCACTAGCTGGCATGAATGTACTGTTGTAGAGAGTGAAGATTCACAGCACAGAGAAGTGCCTGCAGGAAATCCTTCTCACAGGCCTTTCCGCTTGCGCTCTAGCTCCGGCTGCTCCCGACAGAGTCTATTTGCCGATCCACCTTGACAATTTTCTCCAACTTTTTATTTCAGTTCATTCTATCGTGTCCATGTACCTCGTACATTTTGCATATGCGCATCCTTGTCCACAAAGCCTACACCCATGGGAATGGCAGTCGAGGCAGCGCGGAAGAGCGTACTGAGTAACGAACGAATCTATGATTCAAGTGACGAGGACGAGAGCGAACCTTCCTCTGAGCAGGAAATTCCAAACCAAAAGTCGAAATCATCTCAACTGAAGACCCCGAATGGGATCAAGACTACGTCGCGGAAGACCAGTCGGAATCTGCCGTCTTCGGATGGGACAACTCCTACAACAGCATCAGATAACGACACCGACGAAGATAAGGACGAAGAACAAGAGGGAAGTCAGAAGCCTAGTAGCGAGGTAGAAGACGAGGATGAGGAGGAGGCAGATGATTCCGACAGGGAGTCAGCATTGAGTTCGAATTCTTCATCTAGCCGAAAGAGACCATCCCCAAGAAGTCCAGAGACCCCGTCAAGCAAGAGGGTTAAGACTACCACAAGAGACCAAGTCAGCATCCCTCCCAAACCCTTCAGACCGCCCAAAGGCTACGAACCGCTCACGTGGTCGGCATCGGACTATGCGTCCGACATGGATCTCTTCGACGATTTGTCCAATAAACAAATCTGGCACATTTCTGTACCCAGTTCCGTCTCCATCGACTCCATCAAAGAGCTCGACATCGAGGCGGTGCTGAGGGGACAACCGATCCTGAGTCGGAATGGCGTCGACTACGGCATGAACCCTCTGCCGTCCAAGGACGAGGTCATCCTCCTGCCTCGCGGCTCCGACGGGAAGTACCAACAATGCTCCGCGAAGATTGAAAGGAGCTTCCACATGCGGGAGCTCGACACGACCAAGTCCAAATCTCAGCCAAAGGCGGCTACACCGGTGGTCTTCACAGCGACGCAGACCGGCGCCCCCAAGCAAATCCGAAAACAGCCCGAAGGACTCAAGATGCGCTACGTGCCCTATGGCGTCTCTCCGTCACCGAGGAGCCAAGAAGAAGATGTGGAGATGCGTGATACATTGCGCATTCCACCCGACGTCGACGACCAGACGTCTTCCTCCCCAGCACAGTCTAGAAAAGCACGACCGAAACAGACCAATGGAGAACGAGGCAACGAAAAGAGTCCGGAGAAGAAGCTGCGGGGTGCAGACACGCCAGCCTCGAGCGAGAAGAAGAAGAAAAAGAAGCGGAGGCTGGTAGATGAGCAGGTGTTGTAGGAAGGAAGGGGGTGAGCAAAGATGGGCCGGCTGATAGATTTCCCTTGGCTGGTGCTGATGGGTGTTGGATGGGCAAGCGATCTTGTATCTCCGTATAATAGCACAGTAGGTGACTATTCTCAACGCGGTATTGTGATGCTATGCTCCACCGTAATCCCAGACCCTGCAGGCCTGGCCCAAGCACCAAGCAACCCCCCCTTGCAACTTTTTTCCCAAAATGCGGCGTGGATACACTTTTCGCGGGGAACTTTTCGCACGCAGAAAAGAAAAACGCCAGCTCTTCCCGCGTCCCTCCATATTTTCCCTCCGGCTTCTTTCTTTTCTGCGTACTCTCGTATTCACTCCGCCTAGACAGACACCGCCTCTGAACATCTCCGTCTTCACACACACAATCCTTGACAACCATCTCCTCAGACAGTCATGGGTTCCGCAGTTACGGGCAGCTATGCCCTCTCTCAGACTCATCGAGAGGTAAGTTTGAAAGAGAGAGATGAAAAAGGCCCCTCGTGTCATGCCACCCACCCCTTACCCCGTTGGTGAAGAGTACCTGGGTATATTTGACCTTTTACTGACCGGTGGCTCTTTTCTGGCGCCGTGTAGATGCTCGAGAAGCCCCTCGTCGAGTCCGACCCGGAGATCGCAGAGATCATGGTACGTCGTCGTCTCCTCAGTCCGTCCTCACGCCAATGAAGACCTCCACACAAAATGCACATATATACCCACATGAACAAATACACAAATACATGCTTGGTATGCTCACGCGGATGCTGTCTGGGGTGTAGAAAAAAGAAATCAAGCGTCAACGCGAGTCCATCATCCTCATCGCCTCCGAGAACGTCACCTCGCGCGCCGTCTTCGACGCCCTCGGCTCCCCCATGTCCAACAAGTACAGTGAGGGCTACCCGGGCGCGCGCTACTACGGGGGCAACCAGTTCATTGACGCCATCGAGCTCACGTGCCAGAGCCGGGCCTTGAAGGCCTTCCACCTGGACCCGGAGAAGTGGGGGGTCAACGTGCAGTGCCTGAGCGGGAGCCCGGCGAACTTACAGGTGTACCAGGCGCTGATGAGGCCGCATGATCGGTTGATGGGCTTGGATCTGCCACATGGTGGACACTTGAGTCATGGATATCAGACGGCGCAGCGAAAGTAAGCACAACCACATCTGGAAAACAAACCCCATCAACCCCAACAAACATGTGTCGTTTGAGGAAGGGTCATTGTGTTGACAGGAAACCCAGGATATCCGCAGTCTCGACCTACTTTGAGACCTTCCCCTACCGAGTCAACCTCGAGACCGGTATCATCGACTATGATCGCCTCGAAGAGAATGCTCTCATGTACCGCCCCAAGTGCATCGTTGCAGGGACCTCCGCATACTGCCGCCTGATTGACTACGCCCGCATGAGACAAATCGCAGACAAATGCGGTGCGTACCTGATCGTGGACATGGCACACATCTCGGGATTGATTGCCGCGGGCGTCATCCCCAGCCCGTTCGAATACGCCGACGTGGTCACCACGACCACCCACAAATCCCTGCGTGGTCCCCGAGGCGCAATGATCTTCTACCGGAAGGGCATTCGCAGCACCGACCCCAAGACGGGCAAACAAATCCTCTACGATCTCGAAGGCCCCATCAACTTCTCCGTCTTCCCGGGCCACCAGGGCGGCCCGCACAACCACACCATCACCGCGCTGGCAGTCGCCCTGAAGCAAGCGGCGACTCCCGAGTTCCGTGCGTACCAGGAGCAGGTGCTCAAGAATGCCAAGGCGCTGGAAGTTGAGTTCAAGGAGTTGGGCTACAAGCTTGTCTCAGACGGGACCGACTCACACATGGTGCTGCTGGATCTTCGACCCCAGTCTCTCGACGGCGCGAGGGTCGAGGCTGTGTTGGAGCAGATCAACATTGCGTGCAACAAGAACAGCATCCCCGGCGACAAGTCGGCGCTGACCCCGTGCGGCATCCGCATTGGCACGCCGGCCATGACCTCGCGCGGGTTCGGCGAGGAGGACTTCAAAAAGGTGGCCCGGTACATTGACACGAGCATCAAGCTGTGCAAGAAGGTCCAGGCGGAGCTGCCCAAGGAGGCCAACAAGCTGAAAGATTTCAAGGAGAAGGTGAGCAGCGAGACCGTGGACGAGATCAAGAAGTTGAGGGCCGAGGTTGCCGAATGGGCTTCGAGTTTCCCTTTGCCGGTGTAAATTGGGGGGAGCACAGTGTTCCCGACCTCTCTGGAAGAAAAAACGAAGTTGTTATGATGTGATGTGCATTTGGCGTTTTGGCGGTGTGTCGGGTTGTAATGGGAACTCTCAGATTTCAACGACTGTGGGGATTTGTTGGCTGGCGAGGAGAGGAAAATGGGAGGGTGGATGCCCAAAAGGAAAAGGCCCAGAGTGTGTATCTTCAACGATACCTAGTGCCTCTTCAAAGGTTGCTGTCAACCATGGTCGTGAAAAGTCGGCCGCCCGATCGATACCACGAGCTCATATCTTTCGACAACGCATATGGCAAAAGGTCTTTTGCCCTTGTCGCTTCTTTCTTTGCCTGTTCACCTTTGCCAGCGTGTGTTGTTGCCGCTCTCGCCCTCTCCCTTCATGCGCGTCCCGTGGCCGTGTAGACAGGTCACCCTGCGCGCGCAAGGACTCCCTCGTCCGAGTCTCTCGGCAGTGGATCTACCTTCGGCGGGGCTTCGTTGCACCCTATGCAAACCTTTTTGCAGGTGGCTGATAGGCAGGCAAAGACAGAGGGAGGAGCGTGGCTGTAAGTTGTCATCGTAGAGTATGCCCATTGCACAAAACGAACTCCCTTCCCGCGATCTCGTCGTCGCTCGTCCCTCATCCCTCCTCCTCCCCCTTCTTCTCCTCCTCCAGCTGCTGAACCTCACCCTCACCCACATTCTCTTCCTTATCCTCATCCTTCATCTCGACGTCCCGCACATCCTCCCCCCCAACCTTGGCGGCGATCTCGCCCAAGAGGCTCAGCCGGCCCTTCAGCCCGCTCACCACGCGCTCCAGCCTGCGGATCTCGGCCTCCTGCTCGGCCACCGTGCGGTCCACGTCCGGGAGCGCCGTCACCGCCGCGCGGGCCTTGGCCAGCCGCTGCTTCAGCGGGTAGATCTGCGCGGGCAGGTCTTTGAGGTCGAGCAGCGGCGCGCCGGGGAATGCGGGTGCTGGCGCTGGCGCTGGCGCTGGCGCTGACGCATTGCCTGCGGGTGGAGGCGGTGGAGGAGGCAGGGTCTGGCTCTGCTGCGAGGCTGTGGTGGACGGCAGGGTCTGCGACGGGGGATGTCCCTGCTGCTGCTGTGACGATGCTGACGAGGGTGGTTGTTGGTGGTGGCCGTTCGTCTGGGCCGGTGTCTGCGGTGGGAGTTGCTGGTGCAGGATGTTCAGTCGCGCGAGGAGGAGCCAGATGTCAGGCAGGATCGAGAACGTCGCAGGTGAAGGGAAAGGCGGGACGTCGGGATGGGCGGTCGCGGGCGTGGCGGGCGACGTGTTGTTCGATGTGGAAGGCATTTTTGGCTCCTTGAACCCCCGTCCCCCCGTGTCTTGTCTTCTCTTCGCGTCTGTTCGTGATTATTGTTTCCGTCTCTTCAGAAACGCGACGCCGGGGCCCCGCCGTGTATCAACAAAGAGGAAAAGAAAAGAGAAGGGCCAGGAGACCACGGTCTGAGAGGTAGAATTCCAATCGCCAACGACTCTTGCAAGTTCAAATGGAGAACGGATTGGAGAGAAAAAGAGAGAGAGACAGAGGAGCTCGGACAATCCTGCCCCGAGGCGTGTGCTAGCGCAGCCTTGCGACTCACAGTGCGGGGGAGATCGACGAGGCTGCGGTGGGAGGATCTGTAGACCCTGTTTCTACGCCTGTACATGCGTTCCTCCTTGGGCCTTTTACTACAATATATACCATTGAGTAGTAGAAGGTGCTGCCTCCCGCGATTATCCCTTTGTTGTAGACTTCGCTCAGCAGTGAACCTTTTCGCCATCATCTCCTGGCACCTTTTTCATCCTATCCGTATCGGTTTGCTGAAAGTGACGACACTGCCAAACCAATGGCCACCAAACAACGCATGGTCAAGCTCTCGCTCTTCGCCAAGCGCAAGAGCGGCCTCTCAGAAGACGAGTTCCAGCAGTACTGGTCCGTGACGCACCAGGCCCTGGCGACCGAGTGGCTGGTGAAATATGGCATTGTCAAGTACACCCAGGTCAGTTTAGTTCTCGGTTATTCATCAGACCTGCGAGGTGGCTCGGTGTATTACCTCCGTCTCTTTCCCGTAAGGGGACGGGATCGGGCTCGTTGGCAAAGGAATCTCCATACATCAATGGGTTCCAGACCCCCTCCTTTCGTATGAGGATGTTGTCAGAGCCACTTCGAAGCTGTCCAGCTCACTCCCCCCACCCCGAGCAGTACCATACCCCTTCACGGCTCCTCCCGTCTGCCCTCGCAGGGTTTCCGGCCCTGAAGGGCGCCAAGAAACTCGACTTTGACGCCGTCGGCGAGTTCCTCATGCCCGACGTGTCGTGCTTCCAGAAGGCGCGCGAGGACCCGTACTACGCCGAGGTGATCGCGCCGGACGAGGAGAAGTTGTTTGACTGGAGTTCGATGGAGTGGACCATCGGCTGGGAGGAGGTGTACATCAAGGATGGGAAGGTGGTGGATATGCCGTATGGGGATGCTGAGGTGTCAAATTCCTGAATATTGGGGCGCCGTTGTGATCCTGGAGAGGTAGTTCAGGACCAGGAGCAGTTCACCCCCCAAGCGCTATCTAGTTCCCACACCGTTGCGCCTGGTGTCACTAGAGTCATAGGTCGTTGAAGCCAATGCAAGTCTTCTCATGCAATTCCTTGTCCGCAACGGCCCAAGCCCACGCTCTCCCTGCTTCCCCTGTGTACAGCGCGACGAACTGGTCGTCCCGCCCTGCCTCCTTCAACCACCCGATGCGCTCGAGGGCGTCGGAGGACATGCACGCCAGGAAATGCTGGAACTCGGCGTCGTCGTCCAGGGCCAAGGCATTGCCAGCGACGCCGTGACACAAGCAAGGCTGTTTGGTGAGCAGCCCCCTCTCCCAAGTGTCCCTCTGCGCAGCTTTGATCGCGGAGTCGATCTTGCCCTGCAGGTTTGGGAAATGTGGACGCAGAGACCTCAGCGCCAATATGGCACCAGGCCCGCCGTGGCAGAACTGTACCAGTTTATCGGACCCTGGAGGGAGGGAAGACGGGAAGTTGCCGCTGGGGAGTTGCGTGTCGAGAAGCGAGGACAGAAGGCCTTCCACGGTCGGGGCGCAATAGGGGGAGGACAGGACGAGTTGGCACAGGATGCCGAACGTGCCGTGCGCGGCGCCCAGATACGCCTTGCCGTGCCACGTCCACGGCTGCTTCGAGGCCAGGACGCGCTGGACCGTCTTCCGGACGGTGGCCTCGACCAGTTCCCTCGCGCGGGAGCCGGTCTCGAAGCCCGACTGCGCCAGGCGCAGGTGGTAAAGATAGCCCGACCGGCCGTACAGCCACTCGTCCGATCCGGTGCCCGCGCCGTTGACGACGGGTTCGTAGGCACAGAGTTCCTGGACGAGACTCGGGTCCTGTTCCATCGCTGCCCGGACGGCGAGCTGGGCGAGCGCCTCGTTTGCGATCCCACAATGGTCGGCGTCCACGGTCTCGCGGCGCCGCGACTGGCCCAGGTCCAGGTAGGCCTGTGCCCAGTCCAGCAGTGACTGGCCTTTGAAGCTGAGGTCGGGGTATAGCCGGGAGAGGCGAAAGAACAGGTAAGCCACCGACGTAGGACCGGAGTAGAGGCCGTGGAATGTCCACCCGGTCGAACAGGTCTGGACGGGAGGGTTGTAGGTGTTGATGCGCGTCAGGGAGGCCAGGAGTTCGACGTGGGCGTCGGCGCGGAGGGATGGCGGTTGGTCATTGGGAAAGTGTCGGCCGGACGAGCCCATCATTTCACCAAGGGAGTGATCCCTCCAGTCGGCGGATTGTGGCTCCTGAAATGATGTTGGGGAGTGTGAACACTGAGGAACGGTGTTGATGAAGCATGAAGCCTTGGTCGTACGGTGGATTTCTAGATTGTCGCCTGCCTGACATCATCTTGACGCTGTGCCCGCAGCCTCATCCACAATCTCCTATACAAACACTGTCTCTACGTAAATATTCACGATGGAAGGAGTCGATGGTAAGAATCAAAAGCATTGGACATCAACGATCTCTTGGCTTTTAGCTGCGAAAAGACAAGATGCAAAACAGCATTGTCTCATGGGACAATCTGCGCACATGCTCTAAACCGGCCACTCCAGCAACAGGATGAAGGTACGGGAGAAGCACGATGAGTCTGAATCGTTATTTTGATGTATCCAAACACTCGATATAGAGCATCCGCCCACCATCTCCCTCTCATGGGGGTGTTGATGCTTGATTCAAAGGCAGCCTTCTCCATCTCACCCTGATCAAACGCTCCTCCCCATCGAACTTCAGAGGATCATCCAAGCTCAACACCAGGTATCTGCCATCGCTCTCGTCGACAAACTTCATGATCCTCCTCTGGTGGTCACCCCGCAGATACGGCAGGTTCGAGAATCTCATGTTGTGCATCAAAACCGGCCGGCCTTTGTCGTCACCGCGTTCGTCCAGATAGAACGCTCCAGTGTACGCGGTATAGTTTCTCCCCACCGTCGCCCAGTCGGCATCGTGACCGACCTTCGACCCGGACCTTTCTCCAAAGGCCTTCTGTCCCGGTGTCTGGAGTTGTGCGGACATATACCCGTCGGGGGTGTACATGATGATGCCCGTTGCATCGGGCCCCATGGGATAGATTTTGTTCGATTCATCATTGGGCAGGTAGGCGCAGTATTCAATCAGCTCCCACGCGCCAATGAGTTGGGACCGGATCGAGCCTGGCGCGCCGGCTGCCATGGTTTCACGCTGTTGTCGAGATGTGGTCGAGGTTGACTGAAGATTCCAACGAGACGAGGCTGGGGCCGGGAAATATCTGTAGCCAAACCTGACATCAGCTGATGGTAAGCCTTTGATTCTCCTCGAACAGAGGAATATCTGATGTCCCCCGTCCCCCACCTCCGCTGAATAAATAGTTTTCGTCCATCCACAGGCGGTATATGAAATCGTAGATCTTTCAGGATAGCCGAGCACGCCGAGGAAGAACCCGGATCCCCGCGCTATTGAACGAGGAGTCGAGATGGACGCGACAAGGGTTACCGAATCAAGCAATGTCTTCCTTGGCTGTGATAGACCTCGTGTCGGCTGGAGAGACTGCAGATGCAACGGATCTCTCCTCGGCAGTCGAAGGTGAGTCTGCGACGCCGGACATCTCTAGGCCGACGTCGTCTGTACAAAGTCTAAATAGAAGGCGTGGAACAGCACTGATTCTCTAATATCCGGTCCAAAGAGCTTGTTCCAGACATGACGGAGCTCAAAATCACTGACAGCGACATTGGTAAGCTGACATTAATGCTCAGGGAGGCAACCAGAGGATCAGGTCAAGGGAAACTGACTCGATCTCTGGCGTAGGGGAGAAGTTGCGAGGGAAATCTGCGATCGTGACGGGTGGTTCTTCGGGTCAGTCTTTGGTTTGGCGTTCAATTTCGTTGGCATCATGGTCCAAGATCAAGTGAGAATTGTGCTAATGCCAGGGACTAGGTATTGGTCAAGGTATGTGCTTGTTGTCGTCTTTGCGAAATCTGTTTCGTCTCAGGCGCCGTGAGCATGACGGTGCCAAACCGACCACAGGATCTCCCGGCCTTTTCTGGACTATGCTTTCCTCGGTGTGACAAAACACTGAATGCGAGGATATAGGGATCGTGCATTACTTGACCAAGTGCGGTGTCAAAGTCTTGATCGGCGACCTGCAGCCACCCACCGAGCCCATCGATGGCCCAGTGTACCAAAAGACGGATGCTGGCAGCTGGGACGACCTGCTCGCCCTGTTCAAAAAGGCCCAGCAGTTGTTTGGTCGCATCGACATAGTCGTGCCCAACGCCGGCTTTGGTGATCGCGGGGACTACTACTTCAAGCAGGATGACAACGGAGATCCCGTCAAGCCCGAGTTCGCGTGTCTCAAAGTCACTCTGGTCGGCCAGATGTATACTGTGAAACTGGCCATGCATTTCATGCGTTACCAAGACCCCCAGGGTGGAGTCATTGTGTCGACCGTGTCTCGAAGCGGCTATGACTGTCAAAGCATTCCCGTCTATGCCGTGTCCAAGCATGGCATGATCGGACTGATGCGTGGGCTCAGAAACCATACGCCAACGTGGAATATCCGCGTCAACTCGATCGCCCCCCACGTCACAGACACAGCGGCGGTGAGAAGGGTGGAATGGCTGGTTCCCGAGCTAAAGAGAGTCGGTATTCCTGTCAGTACGGTAGAGGAGACGGCGAGAGCAGCAGCCTTCCTAGCAGCGAACGAAGCATATAACGGCTGTACCATCAGCATCATGGGGAGTGAGTATCGGGAGCTGGAGAGCGGCGTGGAAAGGCATAAGCGAGATGTCATGGGCAATGACCCCAGATTCAACATGACTCCTGAGCAACAGGCCGTGATGGGTAAGGGCCCCCCTTTGCTGACTTTCGAATATATGCCTCTGACTGCTAGATCCAGACAATATATTCCCGCCGGCCTCGAAGTGGTAGAGGCTTGAGAGAAGTTTTGGTCACCGTGCAGCCTGGAAGTGGAAAATGGTCGAGCATTGATTGAATCACAGGAACCTGGAAGTCACAGTGCGCGTCGTTTTCCATCGTAGACGTTTCTCGGTTCTGTTGTTGAAGAGCTCTGTGGTAGACATTTGCGCCCATTTAAATCCTCTCAGATAATGCAGATATGGCTCTCGCCTCGGAATCGAGTGTTCGGACCCCAGTAATACCTTCCCAATGCCTTGTCCTTTTTCCTGGTTGGCGGCTCTTTGATGGCCTCGACGTCCTGATCGAACAGATTGAGGATTTTGGTCAGTCCGACTCGTTTGTACCTGATCCCGTGGTCCCCATCGGTGGCCTGGATGAGAAGGCAATTCAGATGCCGGTCGTCTTGAGAGACTGGTAAACAAAAGACCTGTGCATTGGGCCCAAACACCGAAGGCTCACTGGCGGGACTGTCCAAGTATACGATGGAATGGGAGTCGCCAACCGGCACCCCCTTCTGCATCAGACGCCAGCTAAATCGATTTGGTGGGTATTCCCGGTCGGCACCTTGATGATTGCGTCTGTAAAAGCCAAATGCGACAAAGAGGAAAGGGGTTGAAAGAGAAGCGGCGACGAGAAATGTCACAATGAGCTTGTGTCGCTGCCAGACGAACGGCCTTAGAGTCAGTATCATCAGCAATATCGACAGGCTGACAACAGTGACGGCGAAGAATGCAGTGGTTGGAGTATACCATGGAAACTAGGGTCGTCAGTGCAAGATCTCTTGAGGCTGCTGGAGAAACAACTTGCCATAGACCTGCGCATCGAAGCCAACGACGTCTGCTCCTGCTGCTCTGCGTCGGTCAATTCAATCCTCCTCAACACCCCTTTTAGCACAAGATAGCCGTCAGTGAGAATACCAAACATATCATCCTCGGTGCGATAGGTTAGTCGGACCACCTGGACCTCTACCAGAATGCCCTTGTCCGTCGTCTCTGGAAAGGTGACACCGCGCGGGGTTTCGACCGAAGCCCACGAGAAACTGGGAGCACGGTATAACTCTGGTCGAGTGTTTTGTAGAGGCTGCGCCGTCTGGCCTTCTTCCTCGGCGTCGTTGACATACCACAGCAACTGGCTTGCGAGGTAGTTCTGCCACATGCCGGCGAGATATTGGTCCTCGCTTCCGTCCAGTCTCAAGATCCTCGTCATCATTCTGGCAATACCGGACAATGCTATGAGTCGGTCTCTCTCGTCGGTCAGCTCCATCTTCGTGTACACCTCGACCATCCGTTTCCAGACCTCGTAGAGGTACAGCTTGGGATCTATTGCCTCGACCATCCAGTTGAGTTCCTTGGAGCGGGAGGAACTGTGTGTGCCCGCCAGCCTCAGCTCGCGGAGCCTCCTGCCCACCTCCCTGTCCATGGCCTTTAAGCGGGCTTGGTCGATGAGTTGACCCGCCTTCATTTGAAGATGAGGAAGACCCTCGGGACGGCATTCCGCTCTGTCCAACTCGCGACATTCGAACGCAATTTGGTCCTTGCACCAATGCAACACCCTCGGGGCCAGAAGTCGTTCCTGGAAGACCCACGACCGCCTGTTGACCGGTGCATTGTCAACATATTCATCCCAGAATGACAAATCGGAAATGGTACACTCCACGACCTTCTGTCCGTCTCCAGAGAGGTCTTGTGTTCGGAGGCTCACCGTGTCAAACCATTTCCGCCGGGCATCTCGGTTGTTGAAGAGACCTCTCGAGCCATCCATAGCTGCGGTGGCTGAGATGTTGCAGTAGCTGAAAGCATATACCTTATCCATGTGCGAACTCTCAAATAGCCAGTCCTGCTCGTCTCCTTGGATGATGCAGAGGGCGTCGATCCAGATCCACCGCACACCAAGCTCCCGTGCAAACTGCATTGCGTGCTGGAACGTTGTAGGGAGATTCCTCCACGGTATCGCGGTTTGAAACTCAGCGCGATTGTATTGTCTGAGCTTGGGAATCTCGATCTGGCCCCAGCGATGGCTCAAAGTAACGTACTTCCCTTCAAAAGGCGGCTGGTCGTCCCTCTTCTCGGCCTCTTTTTGCGACACCAATCGTACCATTTCCGTCTCGGCCTCAGGCACGGTGGCTCGCAGATCGATGAGCCTTGTGGGATACCACTGCGTACTTGAAGCGGTCTGACATTTAGCATGGGTACGTGCACACACTTCGACCCATTCTCTGGCCAGGTCGAAGACCTCTGAAGCCGATGTGGTTGGGCTTCGAGGTGTGGTTTGGAGATGACTAGGCGTAGCGGTGTCTTTATCCATGTCAACAACGCTGCCCGACTTCCCCAGACGGGGTTCCAGCAATGGCAACATACCATTCTGTCTCAAGACGAAGCTCGCGACTGTCGTCTTGGACTGTTCGAGCTTGATGTCCAGGCGGTAAACCCCATTGTAGCGAGGAAATCGCTGCAACAACGCGCACAGAAACCAGTTCCTCTCTGGGCCGACTGGAGAGTTGGCATCGAGATCTCTCAACTTCTCGTCGATGACACGACAGAGATAGCATTCTGCATCTTCTGCCGCAGCCTTGACGTTTTCGGCGGTTTCATGGTGCCAGAAACTCAGCGCTAGTTGTGAGCCAGAATCACGGCGGCCTTTGTGCCCGTAAAGCATATCATGGCACACCTTGCAGACCATTTTGAAGAGCCTAGGAGGCTGCGTGATGGCATGGTCCAGGCAGGAGGTGGAAATACATAGGGGTACTCCGTCTGAGGCTCTTCACCGCGAGCATCTCCGGATCCTTGGTCAGTTTGAAACAATAACGATGGCGGAAGGAACCAGGCCCCCGTGCCCAGAGACGCCATCGGTGCGCCAAAGCCGGCTCCTTGTCCACAGCTGGTCCACTCGCCATGCAAGCTGCAGAAAGGGGATTCAGCTCAGCAGCCATACCAGCAAATGGCAACCAGACCAAGGCCCCCCAGCGCCTAGAGTCTAGAGGCCGTTGCAACAGTGGCGCCACTCGTGTGCATGGCACGAGCGCATATCACGATGAACTCCTCCGTCTCCGGGAAGCGATGCCACTAGTCCTGCCTCGCGCTTCGTATTCTCCGGCTCTCGCCGCATGATGGGCAACATCTGCAGAAGCAATGCCAATCAACGGCGCACACTCACTGGCTGACACGTGGTTTGGCTGCCTGTCTCTGGGCCCCTGGTCTTTTCCTGGCCTTCAGAGGGTATCACTCGAGCCTGATCAGATTCGGCGGAGCCTTGAGAGGCTGAAGCAAATTTTATGCATATCTATGCCTACTCGTGGATGACGATGAGGCACTGACCGGCGGCTTATCGGACCCGCGACCTGTGGCAAGTAGCGCAGAGACATTTCTTCAGCCATCATGCCCTCATTCACGCTCCCCAAAGTCTCTCCCAGCGTCGAGGTGACGATCCCGGTGAACATCACGCAGGACGAACTGCTCGCGTTCCGGCCTTTCAAGGACTGGCTCGCAACGCTGCAGAAATCCATCAAGGTGCAAAAGTCCGAAGCGACGCACGCCTTCTACGACAAGAAGGACCCCTATCAACTACGGTCCATCAACGTCCATGCGGTGGAGCGGTTCGGATCTCGCATCGGCTTCGTCTTGATGGAGACGGTGGTGCAGAATGCCGCCGACCCGCGACCGTTGCCCGGCATCGTCTTCTTGCGCGGCGGCAGCGTCGCGATCCTGATGATCGTCCGGCCGGAAGGGGACAGCGACGAGAGATTCGTCGTCATGACCCAGCAGCCCCGGATCCCGGCCGGGAGCCTCACCTTCTACGAGATCCCGGCCGGCATGATCGACGAGTCGGGGACGTTTGTGGGCGCCGCGGCGACCGAGATCCGCGAGGAGACCGGCTGGCGAGTCCCCCAGGGGGAGCTCGTCGACATGACGGAGATGGCGCTGAGGAACTCGACCGGCATCGAGAGCCACTTGCAGAAGGCCATGTATCCCAGCCCCGGGGGATGTGACGAATTCATCGCCCTGTTCCTGTGGGAGAGGACCATGTCTCGCAAGGAACTCGCCGAGCTGAGAGGCAGGTTGACTGGGAACCCCAAAGAAAGAGAGAAGATCAAGGTGAAGCTGGTCGAGTACAAAGAACTGTGGAGGGAAGGGGCGCGGGACGCAAAGACGCTGGGGGCTTGGGCGCTGTATGAGGGATTGACGAGAGATGGGATCTTGAAGTGAAGACGATGGCACTTTGGAGATATCATTGTCAACGTTGCGTCTCCTGGGGATGATATTGCCATCCATTTATGAGACTACCCTTTGCGTCGTCGAAAGCAAGTCCATGTTCATAGCCGTGGCTGTTGTCACGTATCCCTTCCTGCTGCGACACCCAGTCCAGCGAGGACCTTCGCTGGTCCCAGCTTCTGCCATTGCTCCATCTGTTGTGTATTCGTGACCCAAATCATGCCCATCATGCCTGCAGCATTGGCGCTCGCCCCTTGCACCGCCACTCTTCGCCGGGGCACGACCATCATCCACCTTTTCGTCAGCATCATGTTGTGAGGGAAGTAACCCGGAGTGTCGCCTGAGCAGGTTTGCCAGACCGCAAGGGCTTCGTCCCGTAGCCTCTCGTACATTGGAAGCAGAGAGTCCAGCGTGCCCTCTGCTTCAGGCTGGAGACGTTGAATAAAATATCTGAAGGGAATGCCCTCGGGATCCCGAGTCTCCAGGTCGGGAAACAGCGTCAAGCCCTCCGAACACGGAATCACCTGCATGTGTTTGTGTAGTCTGCTGCATCCAGCCTCGCTCCCACAGTTGAACATGACAAAATGCTCATGGCTCAAGTGGTGGAGAACACGCCAGGCGGCGGAGAGATCCGTCTTGTCGAGATTCTCCGTCTGCCGCCTGAACGAATCGAGGGTCAAGATCAGGTACTGTGGCCGGAAGACGGCGAAGAGGTTCAGAACCAGAAGATGCGTTCCATGGATCTTGGTCACCACGACGCCCGGGTCCGCGTCGACGAGGTCGCTTCCAGGCCCGTACTTGGGGAGTTGTTCGAATGCGGCATTGTTGGTGGCATCCGCCGTCGCCGGCTTCGAGGCCAATGCTGGACAGATGCGGAACTCGAACTTCCAACAGTCGTCAGTGTCTCTTTTCGCTGAGAACGAGAAAAAAGGTAGAAGGGAAGATCTCACGTCGAATCCTTGATCCCTCGTTCTGACGACCGTTTCAGGACCATGGAGGATGATCTGTCGAGCGACCAAATCGTCGAAAGCGGCAAACACCTGCTTCTCGTCGAACAGCATCTTCAAGCGACTTTGGATTTTTCGTCTAAACATCGGCCGTCGAGCCGAGTCGAGAGATGAGTGGCACCGTGGCTGACAGGCGAGAGATTGTGGCACTTGGTCTGCAACTTGGCTTACCATACAAGAAGGTAGAGCCGAAGACAAGAAGCTCCAGCCAATCCTCATGCAAGAAAAGCCCAGAGACCTTGTCCATTGGTCGTATACTTGAAAGGAAAGAATGATACTAGGTATTCATGGTAGCAAGTTATTCTTCTGACCATCTGGCCAGGGCATTCAGTATCCTTGAGGAAGATACCGACACTAATCGATCTCTAATGGTCACAGACTATCCAGGTACTCGTTCCGCAACTTCACCCTTTGCCATGCGCTGTTCAAACACCTTCTCGCCGCAAGGCCAGCAGACCGGGAAGCGTCACTTGAGCCTCTTCATACATGGGCTCCAGCGGAAGGCCCTTTCTCACTAAAAAGAGACACTGCGAGAGGAGCTTTTTGGCCGGCCCTTTGATGCGTTGATCAACATCAATGATATCTTGGATTTCCACCTCAGGTAGAACCAGCGACCGGTTTTCAAACGAACGCATCGCACTCTTCATTTTCTGCACGTCGTCAGCCGAGAGCTCCACGCCGTGGAAGATCTTCTCTCGAACGGGGGCCAGCTCGTCCCTCAGGTCCAACAACGCTGCCGCAGGCATCTGACTTAGGAGGAGGGACGAGTACTTATGGCTGCCAGAAGAGATAGCACAAGTCGAGAAGCTCTTCTGGGAGTCTCCCACGTGCGCGACCGACGACATGAACTGCCACGAAGGAACCTCGTCGTCCTCGAGAAAGATGAGCGTTTCGTTCTCAGCCCGCGAAGCATAGTCGAAAGTCAGAGTTGCCCGGTATGGGGCGTCGAAGATCTCGTGGCAGAAGGGGCCATAGAGCCAAGGTTTCTCAACGATCCGATCCCGCGCCTTCAAGAGCTGCAGCTTAGCCTTCTCGCCCGTGTCCTTGGTCAAAAACTGGATGACACTATCTCGGTCGCTTGCCTCGTCAAACAGATCTGCGAATTTGTACAGCGGGGATCGAAAAACCGCTTCCGGAAGGTGCTTAGACAGCAGGTGAAGGGAGTCAGAAAGGTCTTGAGCCGCCTCTTTGGCAATGGAAGAACGTTCAACATAGTTGTCGTCAACATCCCAACGACCCCCTGCTTCGATGTGGTTCCAAAGTTGTACGAGATGTTCAATGGTTTCTTCCCGATGGAGAGGGTCGACTTCAGCCCGCAAATACCTGCCATAGTCTCGGCTCAGTGTAGGTTCGTCATAGTAAAGAATCTGATGAGCGTTTGCTGGATCATCGAAATAGTCGTCCATCTGCGCAATGTGATCCTCGTTGACCGGTTCAAAAATGTATAGTTTCGCCCTGGTCTCACGACACCTTTGCAACTTGCGAGGTCCATCTTTTAGCTTTGCGGATAAGATTGGGAATACATGGCGCATGTAGACTTCATCCAACTGATCGCGCTCGCCCTGGAACAATATCTCATCCACAAACACCGTAGAGTTGGTGATCGTGTTCGGAGGGACAACCATGCCATCTGCAAACAGAATAGACCGATGTAGCAAGGCTCTCATGTAATTTTCCGGAGGGACACCAAATCGATTCATTTTGGCATTGACGTTATCCAGCGAAGGGCTGAAGGCCACGCACTTTGCGCTCTGTTGAACGCCGCTGGTGTTGGCAGGTTTGGGCTTGGTTGAAGCTACCGGCTGGTGGAGGATGGCAGCCAGGACGTCCTCGATCAAATGGCGGCTCTCGTAGTTTCCGACAACCCAAGCAACGCCGCTTGATATCCGCAGCGCTCTGGCAGCTTCTTCCATTTTGCCTCCGCATAGCATCGCCAGCCCGCTCAGTGCACTCACGACCCATGTTTGGGCATGATGCCGAGCAGGCACTTGGAGCAAAGCCGCTTCTTCGAGTTTTGCATGGTGCAGCCCTAGTTCTTTGAGACCTTCATTCAGCCTGTTGCAAAAGCCCTGCTTCGCTTCCAGCGTGAATGGGCCTTCGTCCTCGAGAATATAGCTTAGCGTTTCCCATACTTCGGCACAACACTTGGCTGGCCCGACCTTATCCTTCGGTTAGTATGATACTTTGGACAATAAACACGCGAGGACTTACCTGAGATTCTTCTGTCTGGAGGTCCATATGTTGCAGGATGCCATTCCAGTCCTGTCTCGGCGGCGTTCCCCCATTGAGTCTTTGCAGAAGTTCTGGATAAGCCTTTTCCGCACTCCTCTCCTCGAACAGAGTGATCAAGTCGATCAAGATCAGTTTGCACCAATCCGGTCCCAACCCTTCGGCCCATAACTTGATCTTCTGCTCAAAACGAGGGAATTTGCTTTCGCCAGAATGTCTTTCTCCAAGAAAATAGCCATTAAGAAGGCAGAATCCAACAGGCGAGTCCTTTTTAAGGTCCATATTCTGGGTGAGGCCCTCCATTGATGATTCCCAGGGGCTCTGGGGGAGCATGAGCCAAATAATTGAGGCCTGCCTCTTGTTTGATAGAAAGCGAAGGTAGTCAAGGTTGTCATTCATGTCACTCCCACTAAAGCCTGCAACCAGCCACACCGTCCGTTTGAGGAGAATATCGAGCACATCGGTTGCAAAAGAAGGCAGACCTTGGGCACGTTGTAGTCGAGTGTCAATGCAGCTGACGGGGTCATAGCAAGACCCGTGGATTTTGAAGAGGAATGTTACCTTGCCGTTCCCCAGCTGTGGCATAAGAGATCGTATAAAGGCAAAGGCTTTGGCACCATTCACTATCAGAACCAACTTTTTGGCTGAAGATGTCAATGGCAAACGGGCCGAAATTTCCTTGCCGTCCACATGAGGATCCCCAACGACCTGGTAAAAGAGCGACGTCTTACTCTCGATTGCCTTCTCCAGGTAGTTGTCAAAATTTGTGGTCATAACTGCAGCAACTGCGCCAGCAGAGAGAAGCTCAGCGGCCCACGTGTGTATCTTGTTGAACGCAAAAGCTCCATCCTCTCGCTTCTCGGCCCGAAATGCGTCCAAGACTTGCAGATATTGTTGACCAAGGCGTCTTGAGATGACTTCGGTAACCATGTAGTTGGGGACGGTGTTCTTGAGGCGGTCGAAAAAGCCCAGGATTCCCTCGGACACTGGGCAAGATATCAGTAGCCGGTCATGCTGAGCCATGCTCAGTGCGCACCTGTATCAGGCTGGATGTCTGTGACGGCCACATTCAACGCCGACGTCCACAACAGTTCCACAAAGTCATTCCACATAGGTAATTGAGCTGGCTTGAAAGTGGAAATCGCTGCACCCAGGAATAAAGTGACCCTTCCTTTCGCCTTCTCGGAGAAGGATTCGATCCGGGCAGCAGCTTCGACCAAGTTGTGACTTTTGGGATCCTTTCGTGCCTCATGAGGGAACTTCAATACCCCGGCCGTAGCGGCCTCGTCAAGCAGGGCACACTTTGACGCCATCGCTGTTCAATAAACTGGCTGGAGATATTAGTGGTGAAGTGCCTGACGCACGGTCCCTGATCGCAAAAACAGAGTCGTTAACAATTCAAGGGTTGGCTTTCCATGATGGTGGGTGTTGCGTCTGCCTCTGGAAACAGCGGCACTCTTTCCTTGATATATACTGTTAGCAATCTTTGTGAGAGCGGCCACCCCGTTATAACTGATGACTCCTTGGCTCCGTTGAATATAGCGCGTATTCTACACCCGACTGTGCCACCAAATCTTGGACTCGGCTCGCTGGGTGCAGGTGAGGCTCTACAATATATGAAACACGCTAGAAGGAGACCACTTTCGCCAACCATCAGGCCAAGAGCTGTCTCCTGAAAACTAGCGGCGAGGAGACAAACGGCTGCCTGGACTCGGCGGCCTCAGCAGCCATGTTGTGTGACACGAGTTGCGATAGGAGCGACGGCGGAAGCCTCTTGAGTCGACCCGAGACAAAAGGAGCTCGTGTTTGCGATGCAGCTGAACAGAACAAATACCTCCTGAGGATCATTTGACAGATTCGGACCAACCATGAGTGATGGTGAGGGAGATGCCATGGCTGGGCTTGTCTTTGCTGGCCTACCTGATTTTGATCTGTGCATTGGAGCTTCGGCGTGTCGACAACGAATCGAAGGGCTCACCGCAGGGCGTGGACATGTTTAGGCCGTCATTATATCTTCCGAATCCGGATGGAAAAGGGGGGGGTCATTGAGTCTGTTTCGAGTTGAAAGATAGAGCTCCGGATTGAAAGGATGGAGGTGACAAGGGATGGAGAGGAGTTCATTGACTTTATTGTCGCAAAATTGATTCTCGACATTGTGTTTGGAGCGGAGAAATAGCTGCACGAGCGTTTTCACAGCCCGCCCCGAGGCCCGGAGGATATGCCGATACTCCGATGCAAGTGGCGCCTGGAAGCCCCAAAGAGGCCCACCTATGCCGCTCTCGAGGGGCTCTCTGCAGTGACCAGCCACCTAACATCACAGGCGCTGGCTAGGCCTAGAGCTGAACCACCCTTTAGGTGCCCACTTCCTGGCCACTACTGGTTTATCACCCTGAACTCCAGCAAGGACGCAACCTCAAGGTGAGCTGTCTCTCTGTCTAGTCACGCTTCGCCCTGCGTCTCTTCATCAACATCCTGGTCTATCCCATCCACATCCCTGAACCTTTGCCATGCCGCCATCCCTTCGGAAAGCGTGCCACGCTTGCACCATCGCAAAGCGTCGCTGCGTACCTCAGCTCCCCCAGTGCAGCCGTTGTGCTGAGAAGGGACTGCGTTGCACCTATGACTTGGAGCCTGTAACCAATCTCGAGACAGATAGCTCTCGCCAGCCACATACGACGATTCAAAGCCCGTGGCAGCCACTACCTCCCATCATCTTCGACTCGGTCGCTTCAGCCCATGAAGCCGCCGTGCGTTCCTACACCTCCGAGGGCTACGAGATGCTACCCGTGATGGCAAACCAGGATACGCTCATGTTGGTTGTAGAGCGCCATCTGAGACCTATCCCCCTGCTCACATTCCGGCAAAGAACCACCCCGTACGTCCACAGCCAGGTGCTGTTGGCTAGTAAGCAGACATCTGCAACCCTGATTCTTCCAGACGTTGATGGCTCGCGGACGACACTAGGCCCCGATCCCGTCTTTCTAGAAAGAGCGCAACAACACTTACTATCGCTAGAGATCGAACAGCTAACCTTCACGGAGTTCCTGCCGGAATTTCATAGGCTGGCGGCTGTCCTGCTCTCCTACATCCTGAGTTTAGATCGATCCTCGCCTGACGCTCAAATGCCGCCGATTCTGCTCAATCTCTGGATAACTTGGACAAAGCATTTGCACATGACACTCCCACGAACGCTCAGCAGCGACCTGTCAGCGTGGCAGGCCTGGTGTACTGCTGAGAGCGCCCGCAGAACCCTTTTGTATGTTATTCTTGTCGACGGAATGGTAGAAGTGGCACAGAAGGGATACTGTCACTACCGCCCCATGGTGGAGTCTCTGCCGTTCGATGCAAGGACAGGTCTCTGGGAGGCAGACACGGAAGAAGAATGGCAAGCGGCCGTGGCTGCCCACGGCGGCGTAGAGTCTGAATTGATCTCATGGGCCGAGTTCATTGGGATTGGGGGCCCCGAGCCTCGTGGGGATTATGACGGAATGCTTCAGCGAATGCTTCTCATGATTCAATTCGGTAGGGCCGCTGCTGACCTCCAATGAACCGCACAAGACACTGTACGCTGTTCGGCGATTGAGATACCCGTACGAGGTACTCGCGAATCCGCTCACATCGCTGCATGGCAAGACCAACAGTCTCCACTTGTTACAATAACCTGGTGTGCCTCGCCGCCGAAAAAGGTACCAAGTACTCAGAATCTCTCCTGAATTAACCGAGTGGAAACTAATACTATTCACGTTAGACAATACTGGCTGCTCCACAACATCGTGGGCCACGCAACGTACCACAGTCATGTATGGAAGTACCTCACTGGAAGACGAAGGAGAATCACAGCGTCTGACCCGCGAAATGCTCTTCGCAGAACTTGGACATTCCTCTTGGTTCGGAAGGAAGGCTCTCTGGTCTGGCAGCACATTTTCTTTGGGTACCACTCCACCTCAGGGTGACAGCCTCCATTTAGAGCAGTCAGAAGACGAGTCAAGTCACACTGGAGGCATATAAAAAGGACGAATGGACCATGGCCACCCCGACAGAACGTAAGCCTTGTTCGTGCGAGCCCAGACAACCCATCCAGTATACCAACTCCCCGTTATAGTTGACACATGGAGTACAATCAGGACCTCCCCAAAGGCAATCCCTTGTAAGTCGCTCAAGCTACATCAGCATAGCAACAATTCTGTATTGTCATTACTCAAGTGCTAATGACCCTTTTTGCGGGCGCACAGGAAGCCGGTCTACTGCTGGGGCCACAAAGCTCTCCCAGCACAGCGCGGTGTGGTCACATACGCAGTCTCGCCGAACAGGCTGAACCCGCTGGCCGGCGCCGTCCACAGCGCCGTGTTCAACACGTACCGTCGAACAAAGAACCAGGTGCTGTACTGGATCCCGCCGCTCATCGTGGCATATCTGCTGATGGACTGGGCCAATCGACGGTAAGTTGGGGCGAGTCTTTTATCAATTCTCCGGACTATCAGGCAGTGCAGTCGGAAATCTAAGCGTCCGCTTTTCTCTTCCCTCTCTCTTTCCTTCATGTAAAGTGGCTACCTCTGACAGCGGTCGTGGGAACACTAGGAACGAATACCTCAACTCCAAAACCGGCAGGGCCGAGACCGCTGGAGGTGACTGATGGAAGGCGATTGATACCATGCCAGTTTGCGTGCGAGAGCGACAAGGAGACTGCACACGAGAGGATCTTGGAAAGAACCATCGTCGAGATCTACCGCCTGATCGATTCAATCTCGCAGGCTGAATTGCCACGACAAAGGCGTTGAGAATGATTTGCAGTGTCTCGTCTCATTGAATCCTAATTATATCAACACAATCATGCAGAACTCGACCCGACCTGTTTTACTTTTCCTAGGACCAGAAACACAGCTCGCGCTCTCCGTCGCTTCGCTCGTTTCCTCATGTGTCCGAGACGAATCGCCAGTCCCTTTTCGGCCCTGTTTGCTACTTTTCGGTTGTTACAACCAAGTCCTCTTTCAATATTTCTGGTCTTTTTGGGACTCATCCCTGTAAATGATCGTACTAAGCAAGTCCTTCGTCCACTTGGCCTCCCGTCCGGACCGGTTACACCATGATATACAACTCATCCCTCGGCAATCCGTCTTCCTTCAGATTGGGATAATACGGCACCATCGCATCCGCACTGTGCACGTACGCATCGTTGTATAATCTCCAGTACGGAGTGCGAACTTTCCTCGCTGGATGGAACAATCCAGCCCACACATAATTCATCACAATGCCGGTACCAACCGCCATTCTTATTGCCTCAATCGCCTCGATGATCCTGTCAATGACGTGGGGGGATGTCTCAAATAGGTTGGGATAGAGAAGGTTGAGGAGATGGACCATTGCGTCTTCACACCCCAGACCCATGACTCCTAGGGCGACATGTTTGACCACACTGGCCGCAGTCTGCCGGTGGACTTGATCCCGGTCAATAAGCGCATCCTCCAATAAGGGCGTAACGGCATAGACATAGTCTTTGGCCATTTCGCCAATATATTCAAAGAGGAAACTCAGGGATTTCAACACGCCGTTCTGCACATTAAGTTCGGGTACGCGGTATTCATTCATCAACGCCGGCAAGACGGTGAATGGTGCGCACGTTTCTGCGACAATACCGATGGCCACCGCAGTGCAGACGCGGGATTGCCGTTCTTGGACACGCAGATTGTTGAGCAGGGTCGCGAGAACATCCTGTGGGCCGATCGCTTTTGCGATAAAACCAAACGTGTTGTTGGCGGCTCGACGAATTCCCTTCTTGTGTGCTTTCAGCATATCCAAGAGTTCAAAGCAGATACGCATCCACTCTCTTGCATTGACAGATTCAGGGCCTCGATCCGCAATACGTCCCACGAGATCAATGGTGTTTTCCTGGACTTTTTCGTGGCGGTTGCGCAGAATGGGGGTTAGCCGCGGTAGAAGGTCCTTGATCGGTGGTTGCATCTGGTTTATTCCCACCACGGTGACAATGGACCGGAGTGCGCCTAGGATGGATCCCAACACCTCGGGATACTCCTCCCCTAGGTACTCATAGAGAACGACGCCTAGTTTACCCATCAGAGCATCTTCGCCGCATTGTTTCATGACCATTGCGATGCGCGAAATAAGGTCTGCGGCTTGTTGGCGAACGGTGGCAGATTTGTTGTTAAGCCGCCAAAGGATTGTGCTGACGATTTGTGGGAGGTAAGGTTTACATCTCGTCCCTAAGGCGTTGACGACTGTGCCAAAGCCGTTAAGCATGACAACATCCTCGATACTTTGCTCCTGGAAGGCGTGGAGGATGCCGTCCACGAGCCGCTCTTCAAGTCGTTCGCCGATATCTGCAGCGCCGAGGGAAGCGATGACTTTTTCGATGGTTTCCACCGTCATTTTGCGGTAGGCTTCGCTTTCATCTTTCAGGTTGTTGACGATTCGCTCAACAATCTCGCTGACACCGACTTTCTGACCAAGATCAACCGTTGTCTCCACGACTTGACGGTAATTTCTCTTATCAAGTGCCATTCGTCGGACCCAGAAACTCTTGAAGAATTCTTGCAGCACGTGTTCCTTCAGGTATCCAGCAGTCACACCGTCGGTGCTCGCGCACTGAGAAACGACTTTCAGCACGACCTTCTTCATTTCTTCGTCCGGAGAGGCGAATTCTCGAAGTAGAATTTCCATGATCTGGCTGGTGTAATAGTTGGCATACTCCTCGTCCATGAGAGGGATAATGTAGCCCACGGCTTTCAAGAAGCCAGCAAGCCCTTTACCTCGTTGCTTTCTCGCGCCAGTCCAAAGAGGATTCAGAATATCGTCAAAGCTCTCGATGCCATATGGATTGGCGGCCTCGGCCAGAGCAGCAATTGCCAGAGAAGTAACCGTCCGCACCTTAGCCTGTTCGTCACTTAGATTGTCGGCAATACAATCGACCAAGCCTTTCAAATGAGGCAAAACTGCGCAACCCATCAAGATGGGGATTTGTTGCACGATCTTGACCCCCGTATGCCGAGCCTGCCATGACTTCTTGCTTCGACAGACTGCACGTAGGAAGGGAAGGAGTGCCGGAATTCCCAACGCTGAAGCAACCACAGCGAACGCCCTAGCTGTGGTGTTACGGACGTATTCATCCACATGGTCGATATCTGGTCGCATTGTACTGATCATATGAGCCAAGCCAGCAGCTTTGGCCAGATTGGAGATGATTTCTCGTCCCTCCACACGAGCGTAGTAGTCCTGATCAATGAGGAGAGGCTCAATCACGACCAAGATCTTGTGTACGTAGGGCCGGATGAGATCATCGAGCTTGTAGAGAACACGGTCGATAACCTTGACAAGCAGATGTCGCTCCTGATCTTCCAGAGACTTTTCCATCAACAAGGGCAAGATCTGGTTGAATAAGGGCCCGGCTCCAAATTGCCGCGCATTGTCGGTCAACTGTCGGAGGGCAGTCTTACGCATCGGCGGAGTGCCGTTCTTGACTTTGAGCAGCAGACGCATGATTTTTCTCTCTTTTAATTCTTCCACCGACAGGGCATTTTCATCTGCACCATCGACGAGTTTGCCGAAATAAGTCATGTCCTCAGCCTTGAAAAATTGGAGATCACCAACGCCGGGGATATCTGTGGGAAGTTGCTTGCCCAGCATTCTTGGATTCTCCGGCTCTTGCATCATGAAGCCACCTATGCCAGCCGAAGCGCTCGCCGTGGCCGGCGTTGCAACCGCTTTTCTGGCGACGGGTCGGATTGGGGCATATCCTGGTGGTGGTTCGAGAACGGTGTAACCTTCCGTAGGAAGCATCATGTCGAGTTCTTCGTCTGACCAAGAGGCATTTCTTCCCGTGACATCTGCCCCAAAGCTTACCTGTGCCATTTGTGAAGGATGCATTGGGGTGGCAAGTCCGGCATTGCCAAGGGGGGTCGCCGATGGAAGTGCAGGCGCTTGATCCCATCTCGAGCGTTTTGTCGGCGCTGGTGCTCCGTCCGGGGCTGGGGCTTGATCCCACCTCGAGCGCTTTTTCACGTCGGCGGCGTCGGCGGTAGGAGTGGCCTCGGAAGATACATCCCATCTCTTCTTCCGCTTGCGTCCCGTTGCCTCAACAGTGGACCCGGCATCCGCATTCTCCTTGTCTGCTTCTTCCTTGAGCGTTGGTCTGTGCTCGACGGTGTCACCATTTGTCTGTTTCTCGGCAATGAGCTTCTTGACCCGTTCTTCCTCGCGCTCGAGATCCTGTAATTGCATGACCTCACGGTAGGTCGCACCGTCAGTGACGCCGGCATGTTTGTTTGCAGCGAAGGGATCGGCTCGAGTGGGTGTGAGAGGACCACGATCAAATCTTCGCTTCTGGTAATCAGTTTCACGATCTGCTATTCTGGCAGATTTCTCACGCCCAAGTAAGATGTCCTCTTCCTCCACCCCGTTTCCGGTTGCGAATTCGTTCATTTGGTCCTTTGTCGCTGTATACTGTCCGACGAGTCTCCGACTGCTGTCTGCGTCGGGCATCTCGTCATCTTCGCCATCGGCGGGAAGGGAGGTGTGATAACCAGCAAATTTGTCGACACCATCCCGGTCGTAGAGAACGGTATCAAAACTTTCAGTCAAAGACGCCTTGGTGGATGAGTCAGTGCGTTGAGTGGATGGATCGAAGGTCTTTGAACCTTTCTTGCCGGCTGCTTGAGCGTTGCGCTCTGCCTGCAGGCGCCGCACAGTATCGAAGTCGGCTTGGAGTGATGTTAGCTGGATATTCAGAGTCGATGTCGTCGAGTCCTTACCGTCCGACATATTGCGCGCCCTAGCGACCTCGATGGAGATTGAAGAAGCAGAGACAAGACGAAGAGTGTAGAGGAGGAGTTGATTCGTGAAATGATGTCTCCGCAGTCACTTTACGAGAGGCGAGGAACGATAGCGAAGTCTAATTTGTCACCATCTTTGTTCAGGCAGTCATGTGACAAAGAAATTTCTTGGCGCTTCCTAGACAAATGCTGGACTTCCCAGCCTGCCGGCGAACCGATGTCAAAAACGAGTGGCAAGACTCACGAAAAATAGTACTACAGTAGTTAAAGATTCACTTGCTCGGTACTGACTTAGAGGCAGCCATCATTGAAAAAGGCATTTATTCTGTCCTTAAGAACAGTGGTATCCCTAGCCTTATTAATAATATTATTAGCTATATTTGATCTGGCGGCCGCCTCGTCGCTATTGAGTGGCTAGCTAGATTCTGAGATGGTAACTATACTCTGTCAGACTGCGCTATTCTTTTTCTTCCCCAGTCCTGCCCGCTCGCCTAGCACGACGTTGAACCTCGAGCTTCTGTATCTGTGTTCACTTCAGCAACCAATACTCGTCAACTGGAGCGCACATGGACTGTTACATTTCAACTCAGTGCTCGTTGCGGCATATGTGAACCTCGTATGGATCCTGCAGAACCCGACCCTTGGCACCGAACAGGCATGAATCGAACTCCAGTAGCGCAGATAGAGCATGGCGCTGGCTGCACTGGCAGGGACGGGGGAGCTTGATACGGGCGGTGGTGGCGGCCATGAAAAGATTTTCCTGCCTAAAGAGGCATTCTCCGGGGCCTAGAAGGGCCAGGCTCCAGCAGTCGGGGGCGGCCAGGGTTCGTTAAGCTAATGCCTGCAGGCAGAAGTAATGTCCTAAGCACCCGCTAACTGCACGAAGTGCATGCACCCAACCCCACACTGGGCCCATGGAAACGGCCTGCACCTCCTTTCCCCTTCCTACTACTGAGCCACTCCCTCCCACCCACACCACCGCCCTCAATCCCACCACCCGCTGCACGAGTTCACCATTCCTACACTGCCAAATCGCCTGGCCCTGTAGATTTTCTCCTGATGATCTCCCAATCGCTGCAGTCTTGCGCTGGGCAATACCACACACATCTCTGACCCGGACGTCGTATCACATCGTTCCTGCATAAGGCCTTTCACTTTCCAATTCTACCCCCGGCGTCTCAACTTTCTCTATGCGAATGCCTCCGATGTTTCATTCCCCCAGCCGTTCGCTCGTCTCTCTGACCTCCGGGTAACGTCGTATTCAGCATCCTGCTCGATCGCATTGCAATTTGGCAATTCTTTGAACCTGGGCTTGGTCTCTGTTGTTATTAATCGCACCATTTCGAATCGTACGAATCCGCTCTGGGCCCAATGCGACGTTGGCAGGCCGATTAATTCAATTGCCCGATCCTCCTCTTCGAAGGGCATTATACTGGCTCTCTTCTCGAATTCTCCGTGCCAATGCCAGGTTGTCCAGATCACGGTCTGGCAGGCGCCCATCGAAGGAAATCGAAGCAACCGACCGGTGCGCGCGATCCGCACTCTAGCCTTGGTATAGAACAGTGGCAGTGGTGACACGGACAAGGGCTGAGATCAGTTGTCCGATCGGCGAGAGTCCTCGTCGGCCTCTAGACGATGAAACCGAATGACTGGGAAGAGATGGCAAACGTGGCAACCCAGACGAGATCCAGGTCACAGCTGATTCAACGGAGATCCAGCCGCCAGGCTTCGTCCCGGGACAGGCATGGCAAGATCTTTGAAGAGACGGAACACCCCACCATTCGCGCAGTGACCCCAGACTATATCACGCCTCGCGCCGACTCTTTCGATGCCAGTCACATTCACTCCCCAGTACTGCAGCCCACACGCACACGACATTCACAAAGGAGGCGGGAAACCTCCGCGTCGGCCACGAACACTGAGGAAGACAGCACCATCGAGAGAAGAAGGCGGAGGGCTCAGACAAGAACGAGTACAAACGAAGAAGTTCCGGTGGATGTTTCGCCAGGTTCATTCATCACCAAAACCCGCAAGAGGCTCGGGTCCATAGCCACAGGCCTGCCCATTCTCCCTTCTGAAGAGGCTCATGGGTCAATTGGGTTCCCTTCTGTTGTACAGAGTCCTGAACTCTTAGACCAACACGGTCCACCCAAGACTCCTCGCCGGCCATTTTCTCCCGATGATTCGTTCGGCGCAAGCGCGAACAGTCTTCGGTCTCCTAAACTGCTAGATATTGACTCCGGTAAAATTCTCCACCTCATGAAAACCACCTGTGGTCGAATGCATGGCATTCTATTCTTTAGGCCGCTGCACACAACGGCGTGGGCATCTGGCTACTGTGCAATCAATGTTGCGCCTGGCAGTTTGGTATGCCAGACCAAAGGCGAAGTCCACTCATCGAAGATATTGATACCGGACCTGCGGGGCTGCACCGTCAGGACTCACTACGACCATGAATCTCAAAGCACATATCTGAGTGTGTTGATTGCCTCGTCAGGAACTGGCTATCAGCTGCGACCCCCAGTGCCTGAAACTTTCGACTCGTGGCTGGCAGCGTTGCTGTGTTGGCAACCATTGAGACCGAAAGGAATACATAACAAGATGACCAAACCTCAACCGGTTGGAATCGCCGAGAAAAAGGCAGTATCGCAGAGGCGTCTTTCCGATCTCACTAATCCAAGGGCCACAGCTATCGTGAAGGTGGGAAAGATGTTACTCTGGGACGGACCCTTGCCCTCGGGATCTCAACTCGAATCTTCACCCAGCAGCATTGGTCGGTCGATGACAGAAGAAAACTACCTCTGGCGTAGAGTGAGCTGCACTCTCCATGAAAACGGGACCTTTCGCCTTCTGAACGAGATCGATAATCGGGTGCTCTCGGTAACCCTATTGTCGCAGCTTTCTCGCTGTGCAGTTCAGCGACTAGATGAAAGCGTGCTGCGGATGCCACACTGTATCGCGATCTATCCTCAGTATCGTGTCCAAACCCCTGTTGTGGGGCTTTCGAGACCGATGGTGTTATGCTTAGAATCCAACGTCGCCCTCGAAGCTTGGTTTGTCTTACTCCGAGCCCTGACGGTGCCAGAGTTATACGGTCCAGAGCAGTTGTCTCCAGAAGACGCACAAGCTTTATCGCAACCATCGCAGCACACTACCAACGTCTCTACGCAGGGCATGTTTCGGATAGAGCGATCCCTCTCAATCAAAATAACCGAGGCAAAGTTTGCTCAGCGGTCAGCTCCATTAGACACCTATGAATACAACAAGGCAAAAGGGAAATCCGCAAAAGTTGAGCAAAGCAAAGAAGGGGTATACGCGGAGATCATGCTGGGCAAAGACTTGCGAGCCCGGACAACGACCAAGCAGACGGTTTCTTCAGCTTTTTGGGCGGAGGAGTTCAATCTACCAGATATTCCTGCCGCTTTGTCCAGGGTCACCATCGCGGTCAAGCTTGGAAACCCGGCAGAGAAAGAATGGACGATGGTCGCCGACAGCCTCTACGATATCTCGGCAGACGCTGGATATCTCTCCGGCCTCGGCGGCCTGGAGATTTCATCTCACGATCCGATATTTGGGAGAGTGGATGTTTCCATTGATGAGCTGGAGCGTAGCGGCACTATCGACAAGTGGTGGCCTTTGCTGGACAACAACGATCATTCTGTTGGCACGGTCCTGGCGCGGTTGTCGCTGGAGGAGACGGTGATTCTAATGGAGGCCGAGTACGAAGAATTCGCGACTCTTCTGCACAACTACTCGAATGGCCTGACAACACAAATTGCCCACCTCCTCGGGCCTGATCTTCGGCAACTGTCTGATATCCTTCTGGACATCTTCCAGGCATCGGGTAACGCCACTGACTGGATCAACAACCTCGTAGAGGAAGAAATTGACGGCATCTACAAGGACACTCCCCCAATGCGGATGCGCTTCAGTGGCCGTATCCACTCCAACGACTCGTACGAATCCGCCGAGCAGAGAGAAATGCTAGTGCGCGACCTCAGTCGGTCGGCTACGATGGAGGCCAATTTGCTTTTCCGAGGCAACTCACTAGTCACGAAGGCACTCGATGCCCACATGCGCAGGCTGGGCAAAGACTATATGGAGGAAGTCTTGGGCGAAAAGTTGCGCAAGATCATCGAAAGAGATCCCGACTGCGAAGTCGATCCCAGCAGAGTACGGTCGCAAGATCAGCTCGACAAGAACTGGGCGAACTTACTATTCCTCACCGGCGAAATCTGGAAATCGATCTATGTCTCGGCGGCGCGGTGTCCAATGGATCTGCGCGTTGTTTTCCGCCATGTGCGGTCTTGCGCCGAGGATCGATATGGCTCCTTCATACGGACGGTTAAGTACACGAGCGTCTCCGGATTCCTTTTCCTTCGGTTCTTTTGTCCTGCAATCTTGAATCCAAAACTCTTCGGCCTGATCCAGGGTAGGCAGTACTGAACCTCCTTCTCGGCTCATGCTAATATCGTCCAGATCACCCCCCTGACCGCACGAAGAGAACATTTACGTTGATCGCGAAGTCTCTCAATGTCCTTGCAAACCTGGCACGATTTGGAACCAAAGAGCCTTGGATGGAGCCCATGAACAAGTTTTTGGCAGCGTCGACGAACCAGTTCAGAGCCTTTGTCGACGAGATATGTTCTGTAAGCTCCTCTCAGATAGCTTCGGCTAAACTGGAGCCCCAATATGCCGCACCAAACCAGATACGAGGTCGACTTCCAGCTCTATCCCGAGAAGGCCTCCCTAGCCTCCCATTCCTTCTAGACCACGCCAAGTTGATGGCCCAGCTCATTGACCTATGGGTCACGCATGCCCCCGAAAACATCAGCGATGCAACTGATGATGAGGCCGTACAAACATTCCATACGGTCTGTATGAGGCTCTCGCAGAGAAGCAAAGAATGCTTGAAGGCTGCGGAGCAAGCCGAACGGCCCGATGAAAAGTCAGAACAGACCTGGCAACGGCTCCTCACGGATCAGCAAAAATCTATATCACCCAGCAGCACCTTTGAAGAGTCTCTACTGAGATCTCACAGAGATAATGACATCACGGCTCTTCCCCAAACGTCAGACTCTGTCGCCGACGTGGAATACAAGAATGCTGAGCTCTCTCCAATTGTTGGAGAAGGCGATACGACACCATCAAGCTCAGCTTCGGCGTGGGAAAGACGGATTCCCTATCCTCACCGGGCAGCAGAGGCCCGAACGATGACAGACTCGACGAATTCGTCGACGGATGCAGTTGATATGGTGGAAGATGCTCGGCGGCCGATGTCTAGCAGTCGCGATGGTCCGGCGAAAAGCCGTCTATTCGAATTAATGAGTTCTTCCTCGAGGCGGAGAGGAAAAGCTGGGGACCGCAGTTATGTAGACGATGACGGGCACGAAGTTTGACGACAGAAGCAGCAGATTTTTATGACCTTTTTTTTTGATGTCGCTAGATACCAAATCATGTACGACAAACAGTGATCTTTCAGTAACTCGAGTACAGGCATTCTACAGTTCTGCTGGTAATTAGCGAATATCATCGGCTGCTCCTTCACGGCTGCCAGGAAAGAGGAGCAATTTCTGCCCCTTACGCTGACTGCCAGCTGTCTGCGTGGCCAGGACTGTCCCGAGGGAGTGTTTCCTCAAGACGCATGCTGAGTAGCGTCGTAGCTCGAGTTCATAGCAACGACATAATTGCTCTTCATTACGAATCTAGCACCGCCTGGGGGACCGTGCCCTTCGCGCGGTTCACTGTGGGAGACAGTCAGACCAACCTCTCCTTGGCTGCCAGCCTGCCGGCCACAACGTCCAACCAATCCAATATCCTGGGGAACCAGAGCGTTTGTTCCTGCCTCCTCCACCACGCCGCGCCACGACGACCGAGCGGGTCGTCGCCCTTTTCGTTGTCTTTGGCCTTCTCCCTACCCAAATCCATGGCCCTCTCCTCTTCGATCCCTCCCAGCACGGCATATGTCCCCTCGTCCATCTCGACCCCGCCCCGTTCCATTTCCGCAAGCAATCCATCCACCTCCCTCAAAGAGCTTCGCGTCAGCCACACCAGGGACATCAGCGAGTTGTAGAACTGGGGGCTGGCGCCGAGCACGTACGACGTGGTGCCCAGGGAGCGGATGCGCGGCAGCAGGAGCAGTGCGTAGGGTGATGATGGGTAGAGGTTTATGTACAGCCTGAGGGCGAGGAGGAGCGAGGCCGGGTAGGTGTGCTGGAGGATGGCAAGTTGGGTTGTGGAAAGTGTCGAGAGCGAGATTGTGTTGTAGCCTGCGGAAGATAGGTTTTCCGTCGCGGAGGTGTCGGTAGTGTGCGTGCCGGAGGAGGGAGACGAACGTCGTAGCTCTCTTTCCGCTGCCTCGATCAATTGGCGCGGGTCGTCCGACTTTTCTCGGGAGAATGTGAACTTCCGCAGCCCTCCATATCTCGGCATCTCCTCCTTGCTGGTGAGCTGCTGCATAGGACGGGATTGCAAGTCCGTGGCCATGGAGAAGATTCGGGACTCGCAGACTTCCCACATCGCAATGTCACCTCTCTTGGTCGTCGAGTATGCTGCTTCTTGTAGGGCTCGGGATATGGAGTGCATGTGCTCACGAACAGCAGCTTGAATGGATTGGTCGAGTTCACCGAAAGGATGAGACGGAATCGCGGTCTCTGCCAGTGATTGCTCGAGAATGTCACTTTCTTCTTGTGGTTCGGACATGAAATCTACCTCGGGGGTTGACGGAGCTAAAGGCCTTTCGACCCCTGTACGCCCACGAGCGGTTGGTACCACAGTCCGAATCGGCGCGGAGCGGTCCTCAACACGGTTTCCAGTGGCATAGAGACCCAGCTGGTCTGTCGACTCAGTGTCATATTGTTCTGTTAGACCGGATCTGGACTGCTCGTCGGGATGCTCTTCCCTGGCTTCCCGGCGCGCGACATCGTCATCGGATGTCAAGGCAGGGGGAGATCCATCACGCTCAGACCGGACGCTCCGCAGAGAAGAAGTAAATATCTTGAGAATATTCTCAATGTCAGTGTCGGCAGCATCTGCGTAAGGTGACCTTCGTTTTGACGTAGCCGGTTCGGTCTGTTTAGGGGCAAACCGCAATATTGTCTCAAAGGCTCTGCGCTCGCTCGCGGTGATGGTAGAGCTGATGGTGGTTTCGGCGTTCTTAGAGGCGAGTCTAGGCGCTATTGGAGACCAAGAGACACTCCGGGCTTTCGCTTTGAGGAACGACTCTTCGTCTGGGGAAAGGGGAGGTTTGCCGTCTTCGACCGGAACATTGGAAGCTGCTTGAGATGATGCAAATTGGGAATGTGAGCGAAGAGCTCTCTTTGGCAAGCGCAAGATAGTTCGGGTATGGTAGAGGAATGGTAACTCAATGCGAGCTGCCATTTCTCTGAGACTGAAGTAACGAGGACAAGCGTTATGGACGAGACGTGGCTAGGAAGAGCAAGAAAATCCATATCACGTGGACAGCGGCAAGTCGGCCAGCAGGGATCCACTGCACTAGCCCATTGCAGATCTTGGCAGGATTGCCTGCGCTCGGAGCCTGGTGAGCCTAACCACTCACGTGCCCCTCCTGACCCAGCCAGGCTGAAACGTCTCCCTCCTCTCCGCCCTTTCTTAACCGCAACTGCGCGCCGCGCCCCACCACGCAACTAGGGGACTTAGTGACACTTGCTCTGCCCACGTCCATGATCCCTCATTGATAAAGAACCATATCTACGCCTCACCTCTACGCCGCTTCTCTCTCTCCTCCTACCGCGATTACAAATTCTGACCTGGTTCTTGCGATCCCTCCCTTATACTGCCCGATTCCACCCCCACCTTACGTTCCGCCCTGACGAACACGTTATCGTCTTCCACCACCCCCACGCTGGTCGGCCGAACACGTGGAGAGAGTGCTTTCGTCCCGAGTCTGCGCGGTCCAGGTGCCGCATGACTTGTGGCACAACTCGCGATCACACAGCATACCAATTCCTCCGGGGTAGCCTGACCACGTCCGCAGTAAACAGGGACCCTTCCACCCCTTCTGCCTGCGCTGTGCACGCTCTCGACACCCTTTGTGCCCTACCCGCATCATGAGCAGCGCCCTCCCTCGAACGACTTCTGACCCTCCAGCAGCCTGGAACGATCATGATCAATACGGCACCATGAATCGAGGACATTCAAAGAGCACCTCTCAACATCCAGGGTCTATGATGCATGGACCGAGCAGACAACGGAATGGTTTCGGCAACAACGGTGAGAAAGCGGTGCCGGTACCAGGTTCGTCGGCGTTTGGCAATGGCACGGACAGAAAGAGCAGTGTCTCACAGGGCCAACCGTTATTTGATATGGCCAGAAGTCCTCCGAGCACTTCAAGCAAAAGTGAATCTGATTGAAACTGGAAGAACGCACGTATGCTGACACGTCGCAAGATACCAAACACGTCCCCTGTAAATTCTTTCGTCAAGGGGCCTGCCAGGCGGGAAACGCATGCCCTTTCTCGCACTCTCTCGACCCAATGACGCAGCAAGCGCCTTGCAAATATTTTATGAAGGTACGATCGTCTTTGGTGGTGAATAAGTCAGGACTGACGTGTACAGGGGAACTGCAAGTTTGGCGCCAAATGTGCCCTCGCTCACTACCTTCCAGATGGACGACGGGTCAATCGAGCAGACCTCGATGCTGGCTTCGCCATGGCAGGTCGAAATTTCAACTACGCAAATCGATCCGAACAAGCACCGTTCCCCAGCCAAGATCCAAGTCTGGGAGATCCCATACTCAATCAACCGACTTACGGCCCAGACTACTTCCAAGGTCAAGCTTTCCCGTTGATGGACAGTGATGAAGCAGACGCGTTTCAAGACCGGTACAACCAATATCAACCGCCCTCGGCCCTCGATTCAGGTCTCAACTCACCCCCAACATCTCATTTTGGTTCTCCTCCAAATGATTACCAATTCCCTAAGTCACCCGTCGAAAATCTTCGAACTGCCCTCAATGCACCTCTACCACAATCCTTCGATGCAAACGGAGTTTCCCATATCGCGAAGTACGGACCTCTTGGTCAGTCTGTTCCAGACAAGTTTGGTATGCGATCTCCAGCCTCTTCATCGCTGTCTAGACAACTTGGAAGTCCTCCAGAATCAATTGTCAATGTTCGCAACGCCAATTTAGGGTCTAATTTGAGAAACGTGTCCCCCCTGGGCCTTTCGCCGCAGAATGCAGAGGAGTCCATCGGCCAGCGAATCATGCATTCTCAAAGGACCGTCAAAACGAGAGGACTGTCAGCAAGTGTTCCACGGTCACATCTTCCTTACGAATGGGAGGAGGGAATGGGGGTGGAGACGGACTTACTTCCTAACAGTCTGCACGACGAAGTACTTACTCCACAGGAAAAGATGCGTCGCACTTCAAGAGCGGACCAAGAGCACAATTCCAAGGATCACGTCCATGCCCTAGCGATTCCAAGCGGAACGTCAAGTAAAGTCGGATCTCCGCCAGCAGGTAGCCCTTCCAGATTCAGCGCCTTATGGGCTGAGCAGAGGGAGAAAAAGGCTGCCGAAAACAACGGGCCGTCCAGCTTTGGCCACGTTGGGTCGCCTCTACGTGGGTCCTGGATGCCCAACGAATCGTCAGCTCCAAGCGTCCAGGTATCTGGTATATCTCAAGCAATGGCCCGCATGCAGCTCAATCGAATGGACTCTGGCGAAACGAATGGATTGAGGGTCCAATCAAGTGGTCTGAGACATTCGTCGGCCCCAATTGGACGATTTGACCGTGGGATTTCCAGCCCTGGTCTGAGTTCTAAGAAGATCGATGAGGAGGTCGAAGGAGTATTCTTCCCTATGGACGGCGATGACAAGACACCAAACTGGTCGGGGCAGTCACCTCGGCTTGTGCCTCTGCGCGACAGAAGTAACGGTGATTTGACAGGACACAAAAAGGACATCGCCGGACTTGATGAGAATGGCTTGAAGTCAATATGGGCTTTTCGCTCGTGAATGGTTTCCCGCGAACGCGACGCATAGCAATACATGTTGGCACAAATAATAACGAAGCACGACCGGCGTCCAAAAATGTACAGAATGTTCGATACCACTCCGGCTCCTCATTCCAGTGACGAAGGCATGAAACCCAAAAACTGTTGCATACACACATTGCAAGGCGTTTACAATGAACGAAAGATGAAATCAGAACCAGGGCTTTGAGTGAGGAGGGAGAGAAATGATGGGCAATACAGATACCTCTGCTTGTTTTTCAGGTCTTGCTTATATGAAGCGCCATAGATACAATGTCGCCCAAGTTGAATATGAGACTCGTTTGCATCACAATGTCCACTGCGTGGACCATAAGAGTGCACGGGGAATAGGAAGTAGTTAAGAGGCAGAGGCCGAATGCAAGGCTGAAGTCGAGCCAGGCCCAATCATTGGGTCGATAGACCTTCCCCGTAAACATTGCGCCTCTGCTTCGAGGACCCTGCCTTGAACTTTTTTGGGTTACAGGAACGAGCAGTCTACATCTTTTGGCCATTGCAGTTGAAGACCGAATCACTCTTCTCCCGTTCAAGGCATGTTGAGTAGTAGCTCGGGGTGGCGGCTATGCTCAACATGCATTGGACCTTTGCTGCGCACGGCAGCTAGAACTCCTTGTTATCGAACCCGCTTCCAGAGCTCGGGTATGTGTCTTCGATGCCGCAGGCCTTCCAGCAGCCCAACTGATTGACTTCTCTTCCAGCAACGATACCCTCTGGAATTGTGGAGGAAATATCGCCGATTCTTCTGCAACGCGCAAGGGCGGTCGCTGCTGAACACCAGCAGCTAGCGGCCGCGAACGCGGAGAACTATGATGTCGCCGTCGCGAAGAGGATCGGGGAGCTGGGTCCCGTCTCTGCGGCGTTAAAAGAGTGGGATGATGCACAGAATGTAAATGCCTCTCGTCACGGTTGAGTGTGTCGCAGATCTACATACTGACGTGGTATTGGGGGGGGAAAACCAGTCTCTCAAAGAACTCAACGCTCTCCTGCACGACCCTTCTTCTGATTCCGAGCTTCGCTCCCTCGCGGAGACCGACATCCAAGCTACCACCACCTCTCTGCACTCGCTTGCCTCAAATCTCAAGAGGTCGCTCATCCCGCCACACCCTTTCGCCTCTATGCCTTGTCTGATCGAAATCCACCCGGGCGCTGGAGGCTCCGAGGCCTCCCTCTTCGCCCAGTCCCTGTTGAACATGTACACCGACTTGTGCGCGCGGAAGAGATGGCCCACGGCACTGGCGAGCTATACGCCGGACGACTCGACCCACGAGGCGGGACTGACTGACGCGCTGCTAGAAGTCAACCATCCAGGATCGTACGATGTGCTGAGGACCGAGGCCGGGGTCCATCGCGTGCAGCGCGTCCCCGCGACGGAGAAGAAAGGCCGCACGCACACCAGCGCCGTGTCGGTGCTCGTGCTCCCCAACCTGCCCGACTCGCCGGCCCACGCCGAGGGCCTGGACTACGACGACCCGAACTCGGACTACTACATCTCGCCGGCGGAGGTCAAGTCGGAGACGATGCGCGCGCGGGGCGCGGGCGGCCAGCACGTCAACAAGACCGACTCGGCGGTGCGGCTGACGCATCTGCCGACGGGCACGGTGGTGGCGATGCAGGAGTCGCGCTCCCAGCACAAGAACCGCGAAAAGGCCTGGACCCTGCTGCGCGCCAAGCTGGCCCAGATGCGCCGCGAGCAGCGCGAGGCCGAGGTCATCAACATGCGCCGCGCCGCCATGGGCGGCGTCGCCCGCACCGGCAGGGAGGACAAGATCCGCACCTACAACTTCTCCCAGAACCGGGTCACCGACCACCGCTGCGGCGTCGAGAGTAGCGACCTCGACGGCGTCCTGGGCGGAGGACAGAGCTTGGAGGCCGTCATGGGCAGTGTCCGCGAGTGGATGAACGAGGAAGAAGTCAGGGGCTTGGTGGCCGAGGAAGAGATGAAGATGAAACCCAACCAAGGTACCAATAGCAATGGCAATGGCAATGGGAAGAAATGAGACACGTCCGAATGTATTGTGGCATCTTGGTGATGCTTTCTCTTCATTTTTGGGGGGCACTGCAATCGCATGGTGCCATGCTACATACAGCAGAAGCGCTTGCTAGTCCGCTGCAGCACAAGTGTGAGCTCTTCATTCCTGCCTTGATCACTGGCTGTGCTCGGTTCTCAATTCGAAAAGCTCATTTCAGTCCTTCAAGTCTGTCATCAGTCACTGCCATGCCCATGGGTATCATGCCCTCTGTCCAAAGCTCGTCATGTTGCTTGGTACTCTGCCCTTAGCTCGATGTTTTTCAGCCAACAGCATCTCTGTCACCAATGTTCACTGCTCCTAGCAGCCTCGATTCAAGACCCCGATGATCTCTTCGTGTGGTAGCAGTCGAACCACTTTTACAGCTTGCGGGCTGTTCAACTGCATATTGTGAACAGACTACTCGGTAGACGTTGTTGTCGGTTAGCTTAGTCTTGTTGTCGTTTGATTCGGTCCGACCATCCACACCGATACTCTTGCATGCATGGATTCCTTCAGTCACTATCGTTTCATTTCGCCACAGCGGCGCTCAACACCTGCGTGCGGAAGAATGCACCCTTCGTCTTCTCAATGACCTGTTGGTACACACTCTGGGGAGGATGGTTCATGACTACCGTTCCAGCCTGGTAATCGATTTTGGCGTCCACTTTGGTGTCGCGGATGAGGTTGACAATCCATTTCTCACCTTCACTAGGAGAAAGTCCCAGGCGGGTGGAGAGGTCCCTAGAACAGCAATGTTAGTATTTGAGGTGTGTGAAACGGTGAAAAGACGCAGTGGGCGGGGGGGCCATGGGACCTACTTGATGTCAATTCGCTGATGGATCTTGCAATAACTTTCTGAGATGAGATGTCTCGCACTCTCCATAAATGCATCAGTCGAACTTCCCAAGAAGAAATCCCCCCTCAAAATTGTCTCAGCTTCAGACAACTTCTTCTGTGCACCTTCGAAATCGAAGTCGACGTAGAGGGCCTTGACAAATTCCGTCACGGGGTCTTGATATTCGTAGACTTCCTGTTTGACGACTCTGACAAGATCCTTGAGTTGTTTCTGGTAGTTGTGCGAGTTGTTCATGCGGGCACGGTTGGTGATGACCGCTGCCGCAAGGTAACGCAGGATCCAGGGACAAGCAGTTTGGATGGAAGAGATGTATGGCGGAGAGAAGTACATTTCCGTCAACTTTTCACGGGCAGGCTCATAGTTGAAGAACGGGAAGAGGGCGTAGTGAACCAAGGCTTCACGGGCGGTGAGTTGTGCTCGGGGGCTGTTAAACAACCGAGTCTCGATGTGTTCCTTGACTTTTTCCACTTCTTCAAGCGCGTTCTCCCATTCCTCACCCAGAATTTCACAGACAAGCTTGCCCCAGGTGGCCTTGACAACTTTGTCATTGTCAGTAGACAGGACACGGAAGCGGTAGAGCAAGTCAGCGGCTTCAGGGTAGAGACCACACTGGTAGCGAAATCTGCCGAAATCGTAGAGGTTATCCACCATCTGCTGCGTGACTCCGTGTTGTTCTTCGAGGAACTTCAGGTTGGCCACCTTGTCGCTGCGGAGTTGCGAGGTGACTGATTCATCATTCAGCAGGTTGGTCAGATGTGCGGATTCCTCTTGGTATTTTGCCAGCTGGTTCAACACTTCCTCTCTCTTCTTCGCGTACTCTGCAGGGGTTGTATCTGTCTTTTGAATTTCCTTGTAGAGATTGCCCACGTAGTCGATCATGTTGGTGTCACTGAGGAGGTTGAAGATCGCCTGTTTGAGGTCATCGTAACGCTCTTGTGAGATGTCTTCCGACCCGAGCTTGTGTTCAAGTAAGGGGAAAATGAGGTGACGATCCATGCGCTGAATGAGCTTGGCCAGGAAGGCGTACTCGCCGGTTGGGTCCTCCAGGTGCGACATCTTGGGTCTGGGTCTTACTTCGAACCCGATGAAAAGTGCGTAGGCTTGCTCTGTTACTATATCCAAATTCTCCGTCGTGAGAGGGTATTTGGACGGGGGAGGGGAGGGCGGTGGCGATGGAGGGAGAGAGAGATTAAAGATATACCCAGGTATATCTTTGTTGTCGTCGTGCTCAGGGTGACCTCTTGGGAGGCCAACGGTCTTGAACGACATTTTGAATATCGGTCGTGCGCTGGTGAAATTGGATCGGCGAGAGAACGCTATACCTAAAAGCGTTAGATATATAAGCTGTAAAAGCGGCGATGCCAAGCCGTGCCCTTGGCGTCTTCAGCCTTGCACTTCACGTGCACATCAACTCCAATGTCCTCGTCTCAACGTCCTTGCTCTCAAGGTGCACGGCGCTTTCCATTTGTTTGTGCACTCAGAAATGACGATGAAGGCCCCTTCGACTCTACTTCTACGAGCTATGCTCCGCCCGCAACAGCCCCTATGTCAAGTCAGATGGAAGTCTGAATGGATGCCCCGAGAGAAGTACGCGAAAATTACAACCCTGGACAAGCTACACCGAAGACAAAAAGCAGCCGTCCGGAGAGAGAGTAAGTTCATTGCCCCAGCACAGACGCTGTCTGGACTTGGTGGGCCGTTCACTGACATGCACCTCAACCGACAGGGCAGGACAGCGAAGATCGCGCTGCGAACATGTATCCGGCCTCAACTCCTCCAGCGACACTCTCACAGACGTCGCAGCAACAAACACAACACCAATCACCTCCTCAGCAGCCTTCTTTTCTCAAGAGCCAAACTCAGGACCATAATCTAACACCTACCCTTTCCCCGCTTCCGTACTTGATCGCGCGCACTCCTTCGCAAAACCTCCCGATCTACCAGACCACCAAGGCCGGCGGCTCCAAACACATCACGACAATTCGCAAGATCAAGGGTGATCTCCAAGAGCTGGCCACTGCTGTGCGCACCGCCTTGGGACTTGAGGAATACATGACCGACGTGCGAGGGCGGAAGAAGGCCAATGTCGTGATCAACTGGACGACAAGACACGTGGTTGTGAGGGGCTGGAGAGGCCCAGAGATCAAGCGGTGGGCGGAAGTGAGTGGATTTTGACAAAATGTAGGAAGAAAGCAAAAAATGATGAGGACAACCGGGCAGACCTGGGCATATGAGCGGCATGGACATCATACGGTCACGACGCGGTGATGTTGATGCGACAGAGAGTTTCGTCTGACTGGCCTCCCTTGCTCTCTCTGTGCCTCTCAGATCAGATTCGATGACATTCAGAGCCACGTTATAGTACGGAGAGCTTTATTAAGCACAGAGGGTGGTTAGGTTCAGATCTGCGGGAACAAGATTCCTGTTGGGCTATTTGCTGTGTGGAGGGATGCAAAAAGAGACAGACCCAGTCTTGAGATACATCAATATTCCAAGAGTGAGGCAGAAATCCCCAACACGCACGCATGTATTTTTAACAACGTCGCTTTCTGGTCCTCTCTGTCCACAATTGTGAATTGATGCCCTAAGCATTGAGCCGCAAGATCAATAGAAGCGCATCTCAAAAGACTAAGCTCTTCCCTCGTACTGACATTGAATTCGAGTCAAACAGTTTCTTTATTGAATCAAGTTGAAGACTAAGTACACACATTTTGTGCTCTTCCCTCTCTTTCTGGAGCGGAAAAACATCTCTTTAGTACCCAACCGTTGGAGTTTCGTGTCGGGGTACACAAGGGCCCTCAAGTCGAGCCATTGAAAGTTCCTGTCATAGCAAAGCTTGCTCTTCTCCGCCAACTCGTTTATGCACACGCTGGATGAATACAATAGGGTATGCTCAAAATCCCAGACGTCAGCTCAACCGCGCTCATGCAATCCAATGCTCGTCGTACTAATCCTCTAGCCCAGCATAAACACAAAGCTGCCGCAGTATGCCAGGGTCAATATCTTTCTGGATCATCGCTCCCAGCAGACTCTCCTTGCTTGGCATAATGCCCAATGGTACAATTGTCGAGCCATTTTCATCAGTCCTGCGGGCTTTCTGCACCAATGTCTTCAGGACAGCGATAGCGCGATTGGCGATTGCCCCATAACCGTTGATGTCTGGCTCAAAAGCATTATTTCTGTTGTTTGGTTGTGGATGTCTGGGAACAGTCTGCGTCGTCCGATCCGCACTCAACAGACCGACCAACCGTAGAAGATTGCCGGCGAAGCCATCATCTGACTCGAGCCACGAGCGCGCCAATGGATGGTCTGAACCTGGCGCAAGGCCAGCCAGGATTTCTGCTGCTAGCATTCCTTGCAGCAGGAAAGGTTTCCGTGCCTCGATGAGTTGCCTGGTATGGTTTGAGTTTGCTGGTATTGAAGAAATGGCTAGTCCGAATGCCCTCGTCAGCAACTCATATGGGGGGTTTGAGTGACCGTCCGCTGCAAAGATAGCCTTGTAGTACGTCCGGTTCGGTTCGTCACGCGCCAGGAGCTTGGCGAGGCTATCGACAGCAGAAGGCATATACTTGTGTAGAGCTGGCGTGTACGGGATGAAAGAGACCCTGGCGTTGGAGCTCGAGGTAGGTGCTGGGGTTGGTGCGAAGGCGAGGAGGAAATGAAGGACACAAAGGGCTTCTTCCTTCCCGGGAAGCTGAAGCAAGGTCGACAAGTTACTAAAATAGATGACCACGTCTTTCATAAAATCCAGAGTGTTTCTGTTGTGTCGCAGGAACATTTCGGTGGTGCCGAGGTATCGAATCACAGTGCTGAGTAGCTTGACAACCTCTGGCTGACCAAGCGGGACAAAGTTGGCTTCGTAAAAAGAGAAATTGCGCAACAGAGTGGTGATACATATCAAGCGGTCCGCTGCTCGTTCGAGATCATATGCGACCGTTCCAAACTCGGGGGCATCTTGCAAGGACTCGTTCTCGATGCGACAAGCCCGAACAAGATCTTCGTATGAAGTGAGGAACATTTCGTCAGAGACTTCGGTGGCATGTTCGCTGAGGAAAGTGACCTGATCCTGGGCACAATCCAGTAAAGTGTCAACAAGATCATCGCATTCACTTAATGCCAGCGGCAATGCAGATTCCATCGACAGCGTCACAAGCGTGTCCAGTGCTACTCGTGTCTCTGCATGTATTCCCGATTTGACAGCCATTGTCAAGGCGTGAATGTCGATCACTCCCAGCTCTCGAAGAGATGGCACGAATGGCTTGGAATCAGCAATGTGTTGTCCGATGATGAACATCTCTTCCACGTTGATTGGTCCATGAAACCTGCTTGGAGGGAGGACGTCAGGCTTGAAAGGGTCTTGAATGGGTTTTGACAAAGGCTTGCTCGTGTCAGGCTCGGGTTCTGCCATCTTTGCCCCGCTCGTCTGAGGTCGCTTTGGGGGTGTTTGAACCTGGACCTGGGCCTGGCCCTGCATGGCAGCAATCTGTTGAGGATCGAACTGTCGGGATACGCTAGACCGGTGTTGAGAAGCACCCGTGAGATCTTGGGGCCCTTGAGCGTGCGGTGGCTGCATATATCCATTTGCCGCAGGATGCTGCGGTTGTTGGGCGACTGGTCCGTTGGCTGACGCGCTTCTCTGGTGGGTTGGGTCTTGAGGTTGATCGCGCGGAGGTGACATCTGAGGTTGGCTTTGTATCGCAGCCTGGGCCGCCATCTTTTGTTTCTGTTGCGACAGTTGCCAAGCAGCCTCATACGGGGCCAGATTGTTCATCCAGTACGCCTGGAGTTCCTGAGCTGCTTGCATGTGTTGTGGTAGTGGGAACCCAAACTGGTGCGCAACTGCGGCCCACTGATTTAGCTTTGATATCCTTTGGGAACCCCCATTTTTCACCACAGCTGCGTATAGCCGCAACAAAGGCAGTTGCCGACCACATATCACTGGATTTAGATCAACCTGGCGGTTGCGCGCAGCCATGAATTGTTGCAAGCCCCGTATAAAATCTTCGGGATTGTTTGGTCTGGGAGGATGAAACGCGGTAGGCGCTCCTTGCGGCATCTGGGGGTTGGAACCGGCTTGGTTAGGATTGGCCGGTATACCATTCATGCCACGAGCTTGAGCCTGAGCTTGAGCTTGAGCTTGAGCTTGAGCTTGCGCCTGCGCCTGCGCCTGCATCTGTCGCGCTTGCGCCTGAAGATGCATTTGATAGTTGCGCTGAGCCGCAGCGACAGTTGGATGTTGCGCCGCGATGTTCATTTGGGGATTCATCCCGACCTGTGGCATCCCGTTGCTCAGATTCTGACCGAATTGGGGTTGATTAAACCCCGGTGCAAAAACACCATTGGGCATGAAGTTTTGGGGATTGTCGTGGGGTGTGCCAACGCGACTGGCATGGTCTGAGGGAGCTGGAGAAGCGTGTGGGGGAGCATGTTGAGGAGAAAAGGGACTAGGAGACGCCGTCGCGACGCGTTGAGTGGCTTGGGCCGAGGTGAAATGGTTCAACTGTTGTATGGTAGGAGACGGTGAGGCATTAGATGTTGTCTGGAGATGGCCAAAAGGCGTGGGAGCACTTGAGATAGCGGGTACGCCGTTCGCTTGAGGATTAAATCCCGCGAAGGAGACCTGTCCCGGAGTCTGTGATCGCGAACCAGGTACGCCACCTGGCGCCTGCCGCGGTGAAGTGACCAAGCTATCTTCTCTTGCTCTTTTGGAAGGTATCACCGGGTTCGTCTGATAGACGGGGTTGTGGAAGGCAGGTGAGGTGGTTCGAGCAGCGCCATTGAGGAAGGCGGGATTCTGGAATTGCGCAGGATTTATCGTCTGAGGAGGTTGCAGGAAAGACATGCCAGCATCCATTGGGCCTCCAAAGCCAACATGATTGTTTGGATTCGAGGAGGCGTCGGTCAGCCAAGGGTTCATGGCTCGAATGAGGTTCGGTTATCCATTGGCTATAGCAACAAGAGTCATCAGCTTTGGTCCAACCGTGCGCGCATCCATCACGAGGGTGGACTCATCCACTTCAGCATCAACGTCGCCCATCAGGGCCCGGTATCTCATGATGGACGGGGCAGATGACGGTTGCGCATTGATGCAAGAGTGTGGATGGCGCCGATGGAGGAGGTGAGGAGGTGAAGAGACGCGTCACAGGGGGAAAGTGAGGGTCAATACGGGCAGTCAAGGGTGAAGTGATACGAGACAAGTGAAGGGGCAACGAGCAAGCTTGGAGGTCTTCGGACAAGGCTACTTACCTGACTGGCGATGTTTGAGCGGAATCGTCACAGGCGTAAAGGTATGCGAACCGATCGGAAAGTCGAGATTGGGACGATTTTCCTGAGGGCTGGGGGACGGCCGAAAAGGGTTTAGCCCCGGCGGCGTGTGACAACTGAGAACTGGGAACTGCTGAGAGAAGAAGGTTAGCCACGCTTGGGGCAGGTCAGAAAGACTGGCAACGAGGATCTGGGAGAGGGTCCCACTCGGGTCTATTGGGCCGTGCGACACGATCTCAGTTGCATGTTTGATGGGAGATAACAGGCGCTAGTGATGGATCTGTGGGTGGATGGTTTTGGGGGAGGGAATGAAGGCGAGAGGATGGATGATGTGGTGGGCGAGCCATGTGCTTGGTGTTCAATTCCGGCTGCTGCGAACCGGCCGGCAGAGGGAAGAACAGGACAAGCCCACTATGTTTGCGAAGTGCAAGGGGGGAATCGGCAGAGGGGCAAAAAAAAAGGTTTCATGGGGATCAGAAGGAAAAGCAGGAGAGGCTTACCGTGTGGATGTGATTAGATGGAAGCGATTTGGTTTTCCTTTCCCAAGGTTGATGATACGTGGTGGTTCGGACACTGCAGGGAACAGAAAAGAGACAATCACCACGACAGGGCAGGGCGGAGTGGGAGACGATCCGTCCGAGGGATGACAAGCGACAGCCAGAGAGTCTGAGCTGACAACTGGATGGATGGGAATGGGAATTGATGAAACACAAAACAGCAGTTGCCTGGAACCGGGGAGAAACTGGACAACAGGACAGGCACCGCAAAGGTTGGAATCGGGGGCAGGTCGAAAAAAAATGGGAGCCTAAAGAAAGCGCTTGGGAAGGGGGGAGAGTGACAAGAGAGATAGGCAATGCGACCCAGGGCGGCGAGGGTGAGCGAGAGAGGGAGAGGGTACTAGAGGCGATAGAGGGAGGCAAGCCGCACAGAAAGCCTCTGGCTGCCTGTTGTTTGGCGTTGTTGGCTCCCTGGTGGGCAAAAAGTGGGCGGTCCGGTGCCACTCGGCTTTTCTTGGGCCACGCGCAGAGGCCGAGGGGGCCTGTCCGCTAACTGGCCATCTGCGAATCTTCATTGGCCTTGGGGCGGGCGCAGGGTTTTGTCGTGCGAAAAGAATAGCAGCGCCATCCCAGTTTTTGCTTCTCTCTTACCCGCTTCCGTCACGCTGCGCTCACTGTGCCGTCTGTCCACGTTGGCGGCGACTGCAGGGACCCCCCAATATCCCAGCATTTGTCGTTCAATGCGAAAAACCGCCCCCATTGCGTAGGAACTCGATCTTTGGCGTTTGGCTTGACTGCCCGGTGAAAGAAAATTGCTCTGACAATTGCAGGGTGTCTCGTCTCCTCGCTCGCCTCTCACTCCTGGAACTTCCGGATTTTGACCAAACACGGGTTTCAAAATGCAAAGCCAAATTGGGGCCGCACCAAGCTCGTTTTCGGCTTAGATCATCCTCCAAGTTGCCTTGGGTGTGCGATCACGAACCTAATAATCCTCCATCACGCTGAGCATAGACAGCTCCACCGCCCATCTCAGCCACGTTTCGAGCAAGGAAAGGTCCATGGGCTCACTTTGCTGGGTGTAGAGGGGTGTCTCTGCTTGTAAGTGCTGTAAGCACATACAGAGCGTTGTATGAGAGCTCTGAGCGTATGGCGGTCGGCAAAAAGAAAGATGGCGACGGCAACCAAGAGGCTGGATACCGAACTGAAGAGGCGGTCAGTTGTGTCCCTTATTCACGTCAACAAGGGTCATTTTGAGAGAAATGCCCTCAGAATGGACCAGTTGGGGCACAGCTGGGTTGTTCTTGTCATCTGGCTGGGTCATCAGTCAAAGTAGATGGGAGATAGGTGTCATCTGGAGTATGATAGCAACAGCGTCGCAGTAGACATAGGCCGTTAGAACAAAGAAAAGGAGATATCTCCATCATCAGGTTTGGTCTGGGAGAGAGGAAACCAGGACATGGGAAGAGAGGAAGAAAAAGAAAAAGAGAGATCCAACAGGTAGCAGAATTCCAGGGCTTACATAGTCGGATAGTGCCTCATTTCTGCTCAACCAGCTCAACCAGCTCATTGCTCATGCGCAAGCGGCCAGATATCGTCTGATTGGCAGATCCGCAAGTCTAGTTTCCTCGTTGCGGGCAGGCTGAGTCCTTGTCGACACAAACCTTCGAATCGTGTCACACGCCAAAGACAGTCTCAAGCGAACCTGGCGGGTGCTTTCATATTGCCAGAACCAATGCAATCCAGTTCACTGACCCCCGGTCCAGGATGGTTAGGCACATATCGTGCATGCCCGGTGCTGCGTGGCCCTCTATCTATTAGCTGCATGGGTCGCTCCTCCTTTCGGCTAAGGACCGATGCTCTGCAAGACCCAACACCGCATGATACACTACTGTCGGATTGTTACCAGGCTCAATGCATCGCCGAGGCGCAGTAGTAGTATCTAAACAATTCGAGTCTCCCAAACCCCCCGAATACTCTTGTCTAATTCAACCATGGAAGTCCCTGGTGGTCGTAGCCAGGGGGAGCCGGGGCGAGAGAAAGGAATTAGATCAACGGCGCGGGATCTTCCTTTTCGCAGCTATCCCTAAACCGACCGAATCCAAAGAGCCGGGTCCGCATGCCCCCAGTCAGAAATTCTCTCCAGAATGTCACTGTATGCACTCTTTTCTAGCCTCGACGACTCATTGATTCACTGATCCTTCCTCCTGGAGACGCCTGAAGCCCATGTATTGTAGGTCGGGTCTGTTGTGTCCAGTTCCGGAGGAAAGAAGGTCTGTCACCGCTGTGGAGCTGAAAAGGGGCCTACAAACCCGGCAGCCATGTTGCCAGCGTGCCTGTCATAGCCGGACTGCCCGAATGCTTACCGGACCTACCTATTCGCTTGATAGGACGGTCGGTGAAGAGGCCAGCTTGTCGAGAGAGGCGGCTTGTGCAATGCTCAGCGGCCATTCGAGACGTCAAAAGAGGTGGGTGGGCGAATCTCGCAGCGGATATTTGAATTATCCGATTCCCACGCAAGCCTAATCCAGATATGGACTAGTGCGGTATTTCAAGCGGCGCGTCCCTGCGGTCGCCTTCAAGTTGGAACCTTCAACTTGGGGTCGTTCGACAGCGCAGAGCCTGCGACCAACAACTGCATCTTCCTATTGCTTCCCATACCTTGTCGAGTCTCTCGTTGGTTTTAGTTGATTGCAACTTGCCTCTGAACCTCTGTGTAAAGCCAAAACTCCAAGCCTCCGACGAAGAATCACCATGGGCGACGTACTTGTTGACAACCCTGCCAACACTGTTCCACCTCACAAGAAACCACCCATTTCAGATTCCATCCCGGACATCGACTCATTAGAAGGAGCTGGTGCAGATGGAAGCGATGAATACTCGACACTTAAGAGGCTGCAAAGACATCTAGAGTGCGGATTCATACGGTTGTTTGTCGGAGCGCCACAGCTGACCGTGCCAGGTACATCAAACTGCAGGAAGAATATATCAAGGATGAACAAAGGTTGGTGGGCGGTGGCCGGCAAGCTGATGCAAAGACTGACTCCTGGTTTAGATCGCTGAAGCGTGAGCTGGTGCGAGCGCAAGAAGAAATCAAACGAATACAGAGTGTTCCGTTAGTGATCGGCCAGTTCATGGAAGCTATCGACCAGAAGTAGGAGTGCATTCGTTTCACCTATGTTCAAGCCACTGATTCGCACACAGCACCGGAATCGTCCAATCTTCCACCGGCTCCAACTACGTCGTCCGCATCCTCTCGACCCTCGACCGCGAAAAGCTTAAGCCGTCCTCCTCCGTTGCCCTCCACCGTCATTCAAATTCTCTTGTCGACATCCTTCCTCCCGAAGCAGATTCTTCCATTGCCATGCTTGGAGCTGACGAGAAGCCCGACGTGACATACGCGGACGTCGGTGGGCTCGACATGCAGAAGCAGGAGATCCGCGAAGCGGTGGAATTGCCATTGACACATTTTGATCTCTACAAACAAATTGGCATCGACCCGCCTCGAGGCGTACTGCTCTACGGCCCTCCCGGTACCGGAAAGACCATGTTGGTCAAGGCGGTTGCCAACAGCACAACTGCCAGTTTCATTCGGGTGGTTGGCTCCGAATTTGTCCAGAAATATCTAGGCGAAGGGCCTCGAATGGTTCGCGACGTCTTTCGAATGGCACGAGAGAATTCGCCTGCTATCATTTTCATCGACGAGATCGATGCCATTGCGACCAAGCGATTTGACGCCCAGACGGGAGCAGATCGAGAGGTGCAGCGTATTCTGCTAGAACTTCTCAACCAGATGGACGGTTTTGACCAGACCAGCAATGTCAAAGTTATCATGGCTACGAATCGAGCAGACACCCTGGATCCCGCCTTACTCCGACCGGGCCGTCTGGACCGAAAGATCGAGTTCCCATCCCTGCGAGATCGCCGAGAACGGCGGTTGATTTTCACGACCATTGCCAGCAAGATGTCGTTGTCACCTGAAGTGGACTTGGATTCATTGATTGTGAGGAACGATCCTTTGTCGGGAGCCATCATCGCGGCGATTATGCAAGAAGCCGGATTGAGAGCCGTGCGCAAGAATCGCTATAACATCATCCAGGCAGATTTGGAGGATGCATATTCGAGCCAGGTCAAGGGCGCACAAGAGGCCGACAAGTTCGACTTCTACAGGTAAAAAAGGGACACACGTAGGTCCGGGGGTCCGGGGGGTCATGTGTTTTTGGGTCTTAGGATGACCCGGTCCGGAACAAGGCTGCATTGCATTGGTGTCTCTGTTCTACAAGCAGAAGCCAAATATCGCGACATAAAGGACATGGTCAAAAGGCATCTGTCGTAATAGAACTTCGATGGTCAAGACATGCTCGGGCGTCCAGTGCTGGTGGGTGGGGAATTGTTCTATTACTAATACCAGTCCAAAATGCCAGTGGGATTTTCGGATATACTTGTGACCGTGCGGCTTGCTACTTACAGTACCGAGCGGCAAATATCATCCCCGTTGATTTATCATCGTCACTCGTGTATTGTTTGGGTTGGACTTCTTCGCGGTGTTTCAGGGGACAAGACCAAAGGTAGCGGTACTCGCCCTGAAGGGAACGATAGTCAGGAGATGAGAAGGAGAGAGGTCCATTACTCCGTACTAAGTAGACCTGGAAGAGCGGTATGGCCTCGCTACCATGCAAGTTAATTGCCTAGAAGCCAAGCCTCTTTCTCCAAGGCAAATGGGGGAGCGTGGCGTGCTTGCATATGGCCTTCGATGCACCTTAACGCACTCCTGGTGCTTGAGACTTGAATATTGACCAGGTGCCCGTGGTGGGGTGGCGTCGGGGCTAGTCTGGGTTTGGCATAGCGCCGAGTGAGGGCCGGGGGCAATTTTCATCGACGATTGCGTCAGAATGGCGAGTCAAAAGAAAAGAGAACCAACACCACGTAGTCGCCAGTACGGAGTAGTCAAGAGGTCACCACACTGGGCAGCGAGCGGGCCCCCCATTATTATCTTTTTTCTGAGGTACAGTACTCCGTACCGAGTACTCTCACCCAACCCCCCCCCCCCCCCCGAGACCCAAAGACCCAGAGGAGGAATCCTTCTTACGGGGGCGAAGGGGGAACAAATTCCACTGTGACCCCCCCCTGCCCCCTTGAAAGGCTTCTTCTCTTCTGCTTGCCTCAAGTAAACTTCCGTAACTGCATACTTAGCCTCTCGTGTCTCTGCATCTGCGTGCTGAGGTCATTGATATCTCTTTTCCACCCTCTTCCAAACTTTCCCATTCCCTCCCATTCTCCTCTCTCCTGTGCCAGATTGAGCCTCTCTGCAAAAACCCACCCTCCCAACTCGGTTGTCGCTCAAAGCATCACAAAATTACCTTTCGATACTTTTTCTCGGGGCTGTTGTAACCTCCCTAGGTACTCGTGTGTACACCCGAATCGTCGATCACGGGACTTTGCTCTCTTGATCTTGGGCCTTTCGTTGGCTGCATCACCCAGTCTGCGGCACACGTCATCATTCTCGTCTCCTTCCTCCTCTGAGACCGCCCCCCGATTCTTAGCTGCGCCCTCGATCGCCTTCGTATCGCCAATCTCGAAAACCCCCCCAAAAAAACACGTTGTGATTCAGGTTGTTGATTGGGATTCAACCCGTGGAGAGGGTTCGCTTCTGTGCAAAAGGCTTTGGAGGAATACCACTCGTCCGGTAAGCCGCTGGCGACAATTTCCCTGAATGTTGTTGCAGTCCGGAGCCAATTCCCGCCCGGCTGCGATCGAGTACAAGTATTGGGAGTGGGCGGGTCGATATGAGTGGCGAGCAAAAGCGAAGCTCTGAATCCTGATGGGCTCGATGGGCTTCGATGGGCTGGCGATCGCCATCCACTGCCGACTTGCCTGCTGACACGCCTCTGATTCGCAGGCCACTGCTTAAGCCCACCCTTGGACAGGCCGCTCGGACAAAGCCAACCCTGCTTCCTCGCGCTCCCCCCCTCCCCCCCAAGCCTGCACTCCCTCGCCTGCCCTACCTCCAAAATATATGAGGCGCCAACGCCTTCCCAGCTCTATCGACGTCACTTCTGCAACGGCTGACGTTGTTTCCTCATCTACGTATTGCTTCATCCCATCCCGACAATATGGCGAGTGCCGCAGTCGCAACTCAACCATCACAACAACACCTTGGGGCTGGCCCAACTTCTCGTACCTCGTCGCCTATGGACAATAAGAAAGCCACAGCGAAGCAAGAAGGTTAGTCCATCTCGCCGCCCCCTATTTGTAAAAATTTCTTTCCAAACTCCTCCCGCCCACACCACGTCGACGCTGCCATCACCATCATCAACCGCGCCATGACGATTGCTTCATGCATCAACACGGCGCTTCCAGGCGCATTCTAGGAATCAATGCTGACCTCTGTGACGCATAATTAGCATCCAAGACATCCCCTTCGCAGGCCAAGTCATCGCTTCCAGGTACGCGTCGGCCCACGCGCCCGCCCATTTGCGCGAAAACACCATTGCTAATGCGCGACAACTGCAGAACCACAACCCACCTCGCTGGCCGAAGAACCCAAGCCCATCGTTCAAGCATCAGAACCCCTTGCGCCGCCGCCGCGACCTGCGCCCACCACTCAGGCAGAGACGCCCGACTACTTCTCGGCCCTGCACAACAACGGGAGCAGCATTGGCCAAGAATTCAATCCTTTTGAACAATCCTTCGGAGCGCCCTCGACAGAGACTCCCGGCAAGAACTTGCTGCCTCCTGTCGCCGCTCTCACATCTCCTGCCATCCCTGGCACCAGCTCCACTGGAGGATACAACTGGCAAAGCTCTCTTCGGTCGGGCCCGCTGAGCCCTGCAATGTTGGCTGGTCCACAGCAAGGTGATTACTTTGACAGTATCGGCCGTGGCTTCCCAACGCCCAACGAGTCATCCCTCCGAACTGGCCTGACTCCGGGCGGTGGCGGGTCTATGTTCCCGGTCCCCAGCCCGAACTCACAAGCACTCTTTAACTCTTTGCAAAGTGGCGGCGCCACTCCTGGTACTCTTGATTTCCATCGCACAGCCATCAACGCTGCTGCAAGAAACAAGAACAACCAGTTTGCCAATACGTCCAACCCACAAGAAACTTCCACCAGCAACATGGACTCTGTGCACGACGCCACCGACGCGGCCAATGGCCTGTTCATGCTAGCGAAGGGAGGTCCGACCAATAATCAATTCGCGGTGCCCAACCCGACATCCGTCCCGGCTGCCCAGGACCAGAAACGGAACAGTAGTGACACGGGTGAAAGCGCCGAGAGCCCCCAGGAATCCAAGCATGCCACCCGTAGTGGGCGTGGTAAGAAGGCGGTTAAAGCTGAGCCGGCCAGCAACCGAAGAAAGTCGGAAGCAAGTGCCAAAGGAAGCAATAAACGTGCCAAGGGCAATTCAGGCGCTGCAAACGTGGATCCAGCCCTTGACCCCCACGAAGAAGACGACGACGATGATGACGACAGCGACGAAGGTGAAGAACCTGGGAAACCCACGACAACGGCCAACAGCGGCAACAAGAAGATGACAGATGAAGAGAAGCGGAGGAATTTCCTCGAGCGCAATCGGTAAGTCCGCGCAACCTTTGATTGTTGTCTCACACAGACTCACCCGTGGTAGTGTTGCTGCACTCAAATGTCGCCAAAGAAAGAAACAGTGGCTGGCTAACCTCCAGGCCAAGGTGGAAATGTATTCGGCCGAAAATGACAGCCTCAACACACAAGTTGCTCAGCTTCATGACGAAATTCGGAATCTCCGCACTCTGCTCATGGGACATAAAGATTGTCCCGTAGGGCACGCCCAGGGCATCGGGCAATTTTTGAGCGGCATGCAGGACCCCAACGCATTCGGCAACCAACATGTCAACCCGTACGGAATGGCCTTGCCGAACGGCGCACCTCTACAACCTGGCATGCAGCGAACGTGAGCACAGTCGCCACACCAGTGCATTGCTAGGCGCGGAGCAACAAATTATGTTAATTGCAAGACTAATATTACTCGTCATGAACATTCGACCTTATTTATCCGTGCAGGGGGTTTGGCAGAGTGTGAGTAAAGAGGCGTCGTCCATTTCTGGCGCTTGGAAGGTCCGGCCATCATGCAACAGGCTAGGGTTTCTCATGATTTTTGTAGCATCTTCTCCACGATGCGCTCTTCACTTGTTTTATTTTGTACATAAAATCTTCCGGAGGACGGGGGGCGGGGAAGGGGTTCTGTACAGCACCAGGCAAAAAGAATAGCAACGGCCGGCCTCTGAAAATTCTTGGTGTGGCCCATGGAGTGCAGTTTCTTTATCCTTTGGCTCCTTGCTCATGCGATATGCGAGAATACACACACGCGCACATGTGGGCTCTGTGGTGGACAGATGGATATGATGAAACGTCCATGGCGCAACGAAACGGCGAGGGGGTAGGAGGCGAGCGGTTGTCAGATGGATTCCCTTGCGGGTGTCTTGTTCTCTTCAGCCTAAAGGAGGCACAACACGCCGGGCCGAACGGGGATGAGCTTCCTGGGTTACCCTAGATATTGATACAGTGTAGCTAGTTCGTGGAGAGAAAGGACACCCTCAAATGATCAAGATTATGTAGTTTGAGTCCGTGGTGGTGCGCTCGGTCCGAGTAGATGTCCATGGACGTCTTTCTTATTGTGCAAGCCTTTGTTTCTCGATCTGATTGCTTGGCCCGCGCCATCCACTTGAGGGATGAAACCCCCTTCCTATGAGGCTCGTTATGTTATGTTCTGTTGTGATGTGATGTGATGCGTCGTGAAGTATGTATGCATGTTTGTGAGCTTGTCCATTCCGAAGCTTGACATGATGGTCTGAGACTTTGGAGGTTGGCTTCCGCGTAGAGGCACGCGAGGCTGTGGAGCCAGGGGGTCCGGGCAGGAGGGAGGGGGGGGGGGGCGAAGCGGATATATGTATGTATGTGCAAAGGGAAGGTCGACTGCGCAGATATATACATGCCTAGGTAGGTAGGTATGAGGGAACATCTATCTATCTATGTAGACGTCTAGGTGCGCCGCGAGTAGTGAGCAACGTGGACCTCCTGAACGTGAACATCCTGAAGCAATATTCCGCCCTACCGAGATATGGATGTAGCAACTAGCACCACCTCCTTGTCTTTCCTCCGGTCCACAGTTCAGGGCGTCACAAGTCAAAGGGATTACTAACCCTTCATCTACGAATGATCTCCCTTGGGCCGCTGTCGACTGTGAGTCTGTGAAGCCCTGTACTGGAGACATCAGGTTGAGAGATACCGAAGTATTGCAGGATACGCGGGCCCAGCTCGACTCGATATCTCCCCAGGCAGGAGGGACTGGCCAGATTTGGTGGGTTTCTTCCTGCATTTACGCTGAACTGGCGAGAATCCCAGGCTCTCCGCTGCTTGCTGATGCCTTTGTACGGTCGAACTGGTTCTCGGTCGCTATCGTGGAGAGTCGAGTTGTCACTATTCTGAGGTTTCAGGGAGTTGCCTCTATCACGGTATGAGGCCTCTTATCGCGCTCCTCATCGTCCTCCTCCTTGCACTTCGCCATGGTCGCTATTATTTCGCGCAAAATAGGGTCATCCTCAGGACTGGTGTCGAAATGCTCGTGATATCTTCCGTTTTCCATATCGCGTTGCCATTCCCGTGCCTCGATTCGGTCTCCGCCTAAAAATTTGCCTTTGGAGAACGTGAGGAAAACCCAATAATCACCACTATAGTCAGCGGGACGGTGCCATCTAAGAATCGACGCGACCTCGGAAGGGGCTAAGTCGTCCAGATGGTGGTTTAGGATGGTAGCGGTATGCTCTGATGAGGAGTCAGAAAATAAGATCGGCAACCCTCTGCCTGTTGAAGAGGAAGAGAGGAGCCGTTGCAGATCCTTATCGACGCCGGGCTTGATGTCGAGAAATCGAGCAAGTCCTGCTGGAGAGTATTTGCAAAATTGCACATTTTCGGGGTCGTGTGGAATCGTAGAAATAGCGAAAATATCCAGGTGCACAAATTCTTCAGGCAAGGTGTTTGCTCCGTCTGGTTGTGGGAGGATTTGTTGATCCATGAAATCTACGCAAATAACCCAAGCTTCAACGCGCGGTTTCGTCCCTTTATCACTCGGAAAATTGGGGCGGAGGTTCAGTAGCTTCTGCCTGAATTCTCTTTCGAGTCGCCATGAATTGTAGTGAAGGGTCGTTTGTGCGAGCTGCACGTGCTCGCACAATGGGCGTGTTGACCAGAAACCTACATCCACATCCAATCGTAAGTTGTAATATAGTGGTAGGCCCTGTGTCCATGTAATTTGTGCTCCGAGGATGTCCAGAATGTCGGCGTTAAGGAAACGTTCGACAAAAAAATGGCACATGAGGGCGAATCCAGCAGCAACACTCTTCAACTTCGAGTCAACGCCAGCCAACTTTGCCTTGAAATATGGGAGCAAACCGTGAAACACAGCCCCGCGCAAAGAAAGATTCTCAAGGGCTGAGAGATGCATACACAGAAATCCCTCATACATGGATCTGGGTCGGAATCGCGAAAGAATCCATTTCCATCTGGCGCTTTGAACAGGAATCTCCATCGGTGCTCGCACTGGCTTCGCCACAAGAACAGCATCGACGAGACCCGTTTCAAAGGATGTCCAGTCCCTCTTGGGTATGCAACGACACCGGCTTAAATATGCGTCCGTAGTAGTGGACGCGTCGTCGATAAGGAAAGTGACCGTACATGCTAGCAACAGTCGTTGCCGTGCTTCTCGCTCAGAAATGCGACAAGCGTTGACGAGCTCGGCACCACGGTCGTTTTCGAGCAGGAAATCCTGTGCACTTCGGTGTATGAAACGCACTCCCGTTCGATACGATTTGACCAGTGACTCATAAGAGAACGACTCTGAGAACTTGCCCACAACGTCCGTAGAGTCATAGTATTCAACAAGGCATGCACACCGGGCAACCACGTTCGCCTTCAAGTCGACTGTCGCAAGGTTAGAAATGGCGAGACAACACGGAAGGAGGTTGCTCGGGAAATTGGACATCAGTTTTTCCTGGTCGCTTGAGGCCAACAGCAAATCTAGAAGGTTGATATCACATCCGTCGCTGATCGCAGTATTGATCAAACGCAGATACGGCTTTGGGTCTTTTGCATAGAACCTGTCCTGTCGTTCGAGCAAAAGCGTAAAAAGATCGTCCATTTCCGCAGGACATTGCCTCAAGCGCTGCCGGAGGTCGTCCTCGCTGTCGCCCTCGTTTGCGCCAGTCCAAAGATCTGTTGCAACTAAAGAAGCCCACAGGAAAACGCCCTGTGCCTGTTGGGCGATGGTGTCCGCGTAGTCGGCTGCTCTTGTTCCCTTGAGCCGATCGTGACAGTGGAGCTGGATGTCTTCGTAGTTGAGATCCTGCAATCTCAGGGAGGGATATTGACAGAGAGCCCTGCGGAACGGCTGCTCTGGTCGACTGGAGCAGCAGAGTTTTACCTTCGTACCGATGCACCGGATGTGATGTACCGCGTCGAGTAAAGCCTCACGGTCCGACATCCTGGCAACTTCGTCCAGGCCATCAATCAGAATACAGTAGTTGTATTGCGAATGGGTTAGCAAATATGTGAACCAGGACTTTAGCTCGGTATCTGTCCAATCAGGAGTACTCGACCCTGCCTTTCCCAGACAGGACCTGAGACTTTTAGGTGCCAGACCGTCCTCGTCGTTACGGATTGTTTCAGCGAGACCCTCTTCTGCGTCCAGAATCTGGAAGCAAAAGGATCTCCAGAGGCCTTCCAGAGATTTCAGCAGCGCCACCGAGGCCGGTCTGAAGAACCAGAAACTTAGCAAGCGGACATGCTTCGGCTGGGACCATGCTGTGAGATGATTAAAACCATCTTCTCCTGGCTGAAGGTTCTGGTAGATATAATCTACGAGGCTCGACTTTCCGCTCCCGGGTTTCCCACTGACCCAAAAGATACCTGTGCCGTCCCGGAGCCAATCAAGGAATTCGTGCTGCTGAAAGCTATCGGTACGAGGTGGAGGATAGAATATCCAGCGATAGGTGTCGTGGAAATTGCTCACGCGGGACTCTATCATTTTTCGGCGTTCGTTCATTCCCGCGAAAGCAAGGGCATCCAATACGCGCACCCTGAGAGTGGCCAATTCCTGGTCTCGCATATAATTCGTCCGAGCATGTTGTTGTGTGTCCAGCCGTTGCATTATAGTTGCCTCAACAGCTTTCATCGAGGCCTTGACATCTGTTGTTTCATGTTGAAGACGGCCTAGAACCTGTGTGATGATGTCCTTCTGACCTTGCGATAAGGCTGCGAACTCCTTCCGTCGTCTAAGGTCGTCCTGGCCTGCTCTGATACTGGCAAAGAAAAATCAGCAAGAGATACAACAGGCCCAGAAAGATGGCGGAAGTTCGAAAACTGGGCAGTCACCCGCCTTGCGAAATCTTAGGGGTTTCTGGCTACTGAACAACCGCGCGAAAAATGGGAAAGTCCGTGTTTCAAAACGAGCACGACTCACTAGATGTCTTTCATGAGACCAGATTGCAGCGCCGCATCTTGGTCCTCCAGCTTTACCCGGAGTTTATCAATGGTGCCTTTTTTCCAGATCGACCTAAGAGTCATCAGGAACGCACCTCCTTTTGCCCTGATGCCTTGTTTCTTCGAGAGCTTCAGCTGATTGAGCACTTTCTTGAGCTCGACGGCCGTCTTAGAGGCGTCGTTCGCAATCGCCTGCAGCTTACTGGCGCGAGAAGGTGTCGTTGCTGGATGTTGCTTGAGGACAGCCTCTACATCGTTGTTTAGGGCTGTAAGACCTTCGGCGTATCTCTCAATCTCATTGTTCTCGTCCAGCGACCCTCGCTCATAGAGCTCCTTGCACACCTTAGCGGCTTCGATGGCCTGTTCGACAAGTTGGAGGACATTGCAGGCAAGGGAAAGGGCAGAAATGGGCTCCATTGACGATTCGCAACAAGGAAGGGAGGGTCGTTGAACACACAGAATCGTGGGGAAGATGTCAGCCACTTCGATGGGGTCTCCGGGAGTTTTACCTGCTTGGAGTTCGCCAACAGCAAAGCCGGAGAGGCCGGCCACATTGGTGTGTGATCAGGCTGCTCGTTGAAGTCGCAGACAGCTGTCACTCCAACGTGCAGTTCTGCTGGCTGTGCCGCCAACACATGGATTGGTCTGCACCTGCATGATGCCTAGCCATCTTCGGTCGCTGGCTGCCTCGGGAGTCTGCCTTATGGGCGGAATTCGTGTTCAAAGGCAGAATTTACCCATGAGGCTCATCGTGAAGTCACCTCGAGAATGATAAACAAGACTAGAGAAGGTCATTGGGCTTGGTGGTCACTTTGGGAGTTGAGTCGCTCGGAAGAGAGTTTCGGTGACGATGCTCTAGATGCGGGTGAGCGCTCACCCGGCTCGCGCGAGCAGTAATACTAGTTACCCATCGGCACGCGCCGTGAGGCACAGGGATAAATCAGTGTCTATATCACTCTGCGTGCAGAAACTGCACTGGCCTCCACATCTACAGTCGGAGCACCCACCGTGTTGCAGCAGCTATAAGCTTTCGCATGCACTTTCTGTGATGATGTGTGTCCACGCCATGTTTCTCTCCTCAAATAGCTTCTTCAAGATACCCCCAAGAGAGTCTGCTGCCAGGAACCAAAGTCAGTGCGTCACGAATCCATGCGCCTCAATGTTCTCAGTCCCTTAAGCCACTCGTTCCCCAAAGAGCACTGCCCCAGACAACGAAATATTGCTTACAGGCAGTGAAGTAGGGATACGAGGAGCAACTGGCAGCAGCTTAATCTTCTTTGCCGGCTCGAGGTGCGGGACGCTCGGTCAGGAGAAGTACAGTCCTTGAGGGGGTGGGAGGACAACAATCAAGTAGGCTTGCCGAATATTCAGAAACACAGATAAAACAGGAGCAAGCCTCACAGGTACGACGACGGGTGAACAACAAGGTTGGGCAGCAAGAACCTGCAGCTGTGCTTGCCTCCGTTCGCGGTCAGGCTGGCTATATCTAGGTTGATGTTATCTGGCATCGCAAGGCTGATTGTTGCTTTTCGGTCGTTACGAGGCTCTAGACATCTCCTCTCGTCCAACAAGGCTGACTTCCTCGACCAACCTCCGGACCGTCTCCTTGGTGGTGGAGATATTTACAACCACTCGGAAAAAGGAACCTTTCTCGACCTCATGGCCCAAAGCCGGCGCATAATCGACCATGAAGCCTCGAGAAATCAGAGAGCGAGCTATCCGGCTCGTAATCGCCGAGTTGCGCTTGCCGACAGTTCCAGCCTTACCGCGTTCGTCGCTCCCATTGCTGCCATTCACCTGGACCTCGGTATCATTGCTTGTGTCATGGACCATTCTGCCCCTCGGAGCATAGTAGAAACACACCTGCAGGCAAGGCGGAGGATTCGTGCTCACCAGCAGCAGGTCTGGACTCTTCTCCACAAGCCCTGCAAAGTAGCAAGCGACTGCATACGCATTCTCGACCTTTGACGAGTACCCCAGTGTCCCATAGTATTGCCAGGAGAGAAAGAGTTTCAGACTGTCTCCGCGGCGTCCACACTGAAGGGTCAGATCGGCCAGGTCGTCAGGAGGAGCCCAATCCTCGTTGCGCGATTCTAGGTGACCATGGCCGTTCAGTTCTAGCTGCCTAGCAAGCGGCTCGACTTGATCCTCATCGTGGAACAGGTATCCAGCTCGGAGGGTGTTTGCCATGTGGGCATTTTTGAGATCTTTGAGCAAGAGGAAGCTGCAGGTCACTGGAACACCTAACATCTTGTGCGGATTGATGGCGATGCTGTCAGCGAGCTCACACCCCTTTAGCCTTGTCTGACGTAGACTGTCGGAAAAGACAAAACTTCCGCCCCAGGCACCATCGATGTGCATCCACAGCCCGTGTTTTCTGGCAATCCGTGCAATAGCAGCGAATGGATCAAATGATCCCAGGACTGTTGTTCCGGCCGTGGCATTCACGTAGAATGGAGTGTTTCCCTTACTCTTCTCTCTTTCAATCAAGGACTCGAATGCCTCGGGGTCCATCTCCCCAGACAACGGATCAACGGGGACGGGAATGACACTATCGGAACCAAAACCACATTGTTGCGCAGCCTTCTCAATACTATAATGTCCATGCTCAGAAGTGAACATTACCAACTGTCTTCCTCCAGCGTGGTTCCCTGACTGTTTCGTGTCCGGGAACAGCGTGTTCCGGGCAATGACAATACTGGTCATGTTGCTCGCGCTCCCGCCTTGAACATTGATCCCTCCGGCCCTCGGGCCCGCGAAGCCGAACATTGCTGCAAGAGCTTTCGTGGTGTAGGTCTCGATGAGTGAGAGCACGGGAGAAACCTGGTAGACATGCACATTTGTATTGAGGACGCTGAGAATCAAATCTGCCGCTATCCCGGGAGGCAGAGGGGCGGAGTACAGCTTGTCGAGAAAACCGGGAGCTGAGGTATTGACACTGTATTTCAATATCGAAGATAGAGAACTGGACAGTCCGCGTTGACCAGCACCCCGAAGAGGCAGCGACAGAGTGCCGTTTGACGCCAGGATGGAGAGCAAATCTGAGGGAGAGTGTGATTCAAGGATGGAAGACGTAGATACGGGTTGTTGGAGTTGGTGAGCTTTGCGCTCCAAGTCGGCTTGTCGAACGAAGGGGATGAGCCGGTCGAGGACAGATGCGAGAAGGGTTTGCAACTCATCAGCTCGAGAAGCAAACGCATCGCCAGCCTCGCCATCTTTTATGCCGTTGGGCCTTTGTGAGATTATTTCACTGGGCAGCGCATGGTTTGAGGACACACCGTTGGCGACGCTTTCGAGCGAATGGTCAGACATGGCTCGTAAAACTTATGTCGATAAAAAAAGTCGGAAAGGAAACCCGTGCGTACGAGCGCTCAAAGCCCAAGAAGACAGATAAACAGAAGACCAACATCCAATGAAGCAAGAGAATCTATCCTGTCTATATCTGAAGAACCGACTGGTCAAGGTAAAGCCAGCGGAAAAGTTGTATATCAGCGGCCGGGGTAAAACTCTGCTTACCAGCGCTGGTGGCGTGCTTGTCCGAATGACGCAATCTGGTGGAGACGAGGCTGAGGTCCAGGGGTTCGCTCAGGAGGATAACTGCTTTCACGCAATGTCGATTTCATCAGTCCATATTCCCCTTCCCGCTCTAGGCACTGGTTCGAACCACGGCGTTGGCGCCTGTTGCTGAAGCGTGGCTGTGCTTAGTGCTGTGCGCATTCAATTTTTGAGAATGCCTCTCGCGCGCAAGCTCGATCGGGGTCTTCTTCCTCTCCTGCCCTGATGCTTCCTTCGAAGGCGCAGCCAGTGTGAGGCTCTGGCCCCGTCCCTTTGCAAGGGCGCGCCACTCACCTGGCCGTCGATGATAAGAATCCATGGCCCAGTTCTTCCAAACATTTCGGCCGAAGGGCGAGTCTCGAAGTTGACTTTCATTGCTGGCAAGTTCACCGGCTAGCCGCTCTTTCATGAAATGAAGCCCGTCCGTGGCTGACCATAGAGCATCAGCTACATAAGAGCCAGTAAGGTCTTGCGCTAGGGCGCTGATTTCTCCGTAGAACCGAGGGATAATCTCGCGTCTGAATTGCATATTGAATTCTGTCGGAGACAAGGCAGATTGGACGATGCGGGAGGAAGCTGGATCTTTAGACATCGCCATCAACGTTTTAGTGTCCAGCGCTAATATGCTGTCCTGCACAACGGAGCTTGTACCTGGACTTTGTAGCATTGTCTGAGCCAATAGTGAGCCATGGATATCAGTCCTTAGTGTTGAAGTTTCTGTGCTCTTGCTCCCGTCATTATCCTTGGGTTGTTCTGGCGCCTCCATAGGTCTTAAGCCGAGAAGGTTGGGCAGGAATTCCTCTCCGTCACTGGTGTATTCTGACTTGACCACCTCCGATACATCCTGCAGATCCACGCCTCGCAAAGCACATCGTTCGATCAGTACTCTGATTAGGCCAGTCCTCCGTCGGGAGATCAGGACTGGCAGCTCTGCTAAGATCAATCTTTTGGCTTCACCGAGGTCATCTTTTCCCAGCCGTTCGAGTATTCTCATCGCAACATAACTTGCTGTATCGTTTTTAGACAGGCTGCCGAGCCGTGGCTTCAAGACGTTCTTGTAGAGCTTCTTGAACGTTTTGCCAGGAAGTTCCTTGACTAGGATCTCGACCAAATGTGAGCCAGTAGGATCATAAATCAACCCGGAGATGAATTTAGCACTCTCGGAATCTTCTTCTAGCTCTTGATCTGGTAACAATTTTCGAAAGACCGAGTTCTCTCCTGCTGCCTTGTTCTTGCCCGATGCTGAGAGCTCGACGCGTAGAAGTAATTGTAACACAGGATTGCCGGTCGGATGGGTAGCCAATGCTCTCAAATAAGTGGTGTCCAGTGCCGAAATCGCACTGCTAATTAATTTGTCAAGCGCATTGCGGAATGTCTTTGGTACGACCCGTTTGCTATCAGATGTCTCGGTCTCTTTCTCGACTGGTGCTTCTAGCTTTTCCTTTCTCTTGCTAGCGACCATAGCCTTGACAGACTCGTCTTCCAAGGACAGGCCCGATAATATCAGGAATAACACTCGGACAGTGTGAGAAGCGAATCTGTCGGTGAGTAGAAAGCCCATGTTTGGCTCAAGCTCTTCTGCGGCACGGAGAAAGAGGCTCTCCGTAGACATCAATCCAGTCTGGTTGGCTTCCTCGACTTGAGGCTCCTTTTCCACGTGCTTCGCCGCTTGCAAGAAAAGCGTCTCACAACAATGACTTCCAAACCGATGTCGCACAAGATAGGTGAGGTTTCCAAGGAACTTGCTGAAAAGATGTCGCAGCTGTTCAGGAGTTGACAACATGATGATCTTCTCGAGATATCTAGAACAAGATTGACTCGATGCGACCTTCATCTCTTTGCCTTCAGTCTCCCTATGCACTGCCTCGAGGAATACTGCACGGTCTTCTGGGGACTCGAAATCATTTGCAACGATTTTGGTGTTGACGTTTGCGTAGTACTCTTGTTCTTCGGGAGTAAGAAGTCCGTGAAACTGCGTTTCTTCTTGCGGCTCCTGAATCCCTTGCGGCCTTTCCATATTGAAGCTGATGAAGTCGTCTCCAGCATCGCCCTCCACCACAATTTCGCCTGGGGCCTCTCCATCACCATCTTCGATCTTCAGGCGTTTCGAGGCTCTCTTTCCCTCTTTTTCCTGCTGTCGCCTCCCCCGCTTCTTGCCCTCGCGAGGCATTTTGAGAGGAGTAAATCAGTGTCAATGAAGACAAGCAATGCGAGAGGCCGACACTTTAGCGACAAACCGTGGTGAAAGTGGTTAGCAGCTTGAGAACAGGTCGAGAGGTTCTGCGTAGGACAAAAAAATTACGCTGCCAAGCCTATTCCGCAGATCCACCAATCAAATCGATGACTAGAAGGAGCGCTCACAGCCTTGTGATCAGCGCAGCCTCAGCCTCAGCCTCAGCCTTGTCGTACAGAAGCTGGAGAAGTCTAGGCCTTCATGCTTGTATTCTACAATGAGACTCGCGTCATGGAACATAGCCAGCCGACGAAAGGCAAATCGCATGCAGCTCAAGTACGAGACTCAATGCCTCTCGGAGCACTTGAGGAGCCCATCAGGTTCGAGAAACTCTGTGCTTTCTAACGCAAGCTACCACTGCAAATGGCGTTTCCTCTTTCCGGAAGCGCTTTCCCGTGGCATTTTCTCAATATCTGTGCCCAGCACATCTCGCAACGCCATGCAAAGACTCGTGGAGATGTGAGAAATACGCTGAAATGAAAGACCCAGCATAAGCTCTAACAGCAAAATGTCTCGAGCTGCCTTCATATCCTGAACACTTCCCATTGAATAGGGCCGCAGGGCGGACATTGCGATTAGTGCCGACTCGAGGGGGATGGACGCAAGCGCCTGCAGCAGTCTAGGACTCAGCCAGGGTTTACGATGCCGGGCTTCGGTGGCGACTGTCGTAATGAATGGAGATTGGACATGATGCGTGGTCAAATCACGATCTCGCTGTTAGAAACTGTTCAAGTCGTCGGTGCTCCCTCGCACATGTTCGATGTTTTCTTCAGCCTGCGCCCTGCTCCTGCGCGGCGATTTGTATCCTTTGTTGGAGCTGCATCAGCTCGACTCTCTTCTTTTCGCTCCCTTCCTGCAACTCCTTGATCCTAGCCTCCCGCCTGGTTATTTCCTTGGTGATGAAATCGAGCCGGCCGTCGACCGCATTTACAGCCTCCGTCTTGTCCTGCTTCAGCAATACTGGGCCGACCAGTTTGTAAATCCCGGCATCGTCGGGCAGCGATGCGAATTCTTTCTGGACAGCCTTGTTTTCTTGCTGCTGCGCTTCGAGTTTTTGACGTGCTTCCACCGCGGTTTGTAGATCTGTGGCCGAAGGTTAGAACATCAAAGGTAGCGTGCCCAGGGTATTGTGTTCCCGACCGTCTTGGAATTTTTGGAGAGCTTCAGACAAGGCCTGCAGCTTATTTCTGTCCTCTTCCATGGCGTGCCGGTCGAGAAGAGAATCGAGTCGTGATGAGAGGATTTGTAACAGATTTGTACGTGCCTGGACTGGGAAATCGTCCTAGCGCGCAGGCGGTTCGCGGGGCAAATGCCGGTGCGCCATCTCCGTTCCCATCCCACCTTCACCTTTGCAGCTTTGTGACGACTCTACGATCCTCCAACCTCGACTTCACGCGACTCTGAAACCTGATTCCTAGACCTGGTATAGCTGTGCTGGATCAGCTGAACAGACACTTTTCGTTCGTCTCCATTGCCGCCTGAAGACAACCACCAAGAACATCTTGCCGCTTGTTTACCGCAACTGTAACTCGGCGAAGTACCTCCACGATCACTCTTATCTTCTGTCGTCCCTTGTCTAGATATCCAGCTTCGGAGCTTCGCTGCTCAGCATGTCCAACACCGACTTCCTCGGCCGTGCAATCGACACGGTAAAGAAAGCCATTGAGCTTGACACCGCCGGCTCCTACGAACAAGCGTACCAACAATACTATGCCGCCCTCGAACTGTTCATGCTTGCCCTCAAATGGGAAAAGAATCCAAAGTCAAAGGAAATGATCCGTGCAAAGGCGGGTGAATACATGGATCGAGCAGAGAAACTGAAAGCCCATATTCAGACCAACGATTCCTCCAATCGCAAAAAGCCCGCTGCGATGGGTGTCAACGGGAAAGCTGTGAATGGCGCAGGCAAAGGAGAAGCAGGAGACAAAGACGAGGAAGATGCAGATTCAAAGAAGCTCCGAGGACAATTAATGGGAGCGATCCTGACGGACAAACCAAATGTAAAATGGGAGGACGTCGCCGGTCTGGAGGGCGCAAAAGAAGCATTGAAGGAGGCTGTCATCTTGCCTATCAAATTCCCTCATCTGTTTCAAGGTAAACGACAACCCTGGAAAGGAATATTACTCTACGGACCTCCAGGTACGGGTAAATCATACCTCGCCAAAGCGGTGGCGACCGAGGCAAACAGCACTTTTTTCAGCGTGAGTTCGTCAGATCTGGTGAGCAAGTGGATGGGCGAGTCAGAACGACTGGTCAAGCAACTCTTCAACATGGCAAGAGAAAACAAGCCGGCAATTATCTTTATTGACGAGGTCGATGCCTTGTGTGGACCCCGAGGTGAAGGCGAATCCGAAGCGTCGAGGCGTATCAAAACCGAGCTTCTCGTCCAAATGGACGGAGTGGGAAAGGATTCTCGTGGCGTCTTGATCCTCGGTGCAACAAATATCCCCTGGCAGTTAGATGCTGCCATTCGCCGACGTTTCCAGCGAAGAGTGCATATCTCTTTACCCGACAAACCGGCACGAATGCGGATGTTTGAGCTCGCCGTCGGAGATACGAAATGCGAGATGACGCAAGCGGATTACAAGGCGCTGGCGGACTTGAGCGAAGGGTACTCGGGGAGTGATATTAGCATTGCGGTGCAAGATGCGTTGATGCAGCCCGTGAGGAAGATCCAAACAGCCACGCACTACAAGAAGGTAAGTTCAACCCCCCTCTCAGGCTCTGTTTCCGAGACGAGCTGCTAACGAATGCCCTTGGCGGCAACTAGGTGATGGTGGATGGCGTTGAGAAACTCACACCGTGCTCCCCTGGTGACCCTGGAGCAAAGGAGATGACCTGGGTGGACGTTGACTCAGAAAAACTACTCGAGCCCCCGTTAACTGTGAAAGACTTTACTCGCGCGATAAAAGCGAGTAGACCAACTGTGTCTGCGGACGATTTGAAGAAGAATGCTGAGTGGACCTCCGAATTTGGAAGCGAAGGCGCATAGCCAGGCACACGGAAAACAGGAGATAGAACTTTGCATGGAAGCGCAGAACGAAGACGACGATAGCAATGTCATTTTTGTCATTTTGGAACATGGGAAAGAAGGGGTTTTGCAGGGATGAGCAAGGGCGTTCCAGGCTTGTTAGCAGTGAGGCAGTGCTGGCTATATTTCTCGAGGCAGTGAAGGCACTGAATCCAGCTTGAGTCGGATGTTTGAAGGACCGGTGGCCCTCAAAACAGGAACCAGTGGACAAACGCAAGATCTCATCTTTGGCGCAACGGCCCTGGAACCTGCTCGACTGTGCCAGCCTGATGCAAGGCTTCCACCTCCTATGCTGGATATCGGAGGCGCTTGGAACCGTGTCAAAAAGAGGGGCCGAATTCTGGGACAAGATTCAGCAGGGACCTCTGTCGTTGAATCTGGCAGATGTTCTATGCAGTGTACATGAATGAATGCCCCAGGGCTCCTCTTTGCTGGCTTTTTGCCTCCGCCGTTCCTGTGGATTCTTGACTGATATCCCATCGCCTCTGGCACGAGGCACGCTGTTTGGCTAAGTTGACCATCTTTCCCAGCCTTGCGCAGGAGGTTCCTATGTACACATGCTAGGATAAATCGTGTCGCAGCCTTTCCTTCTGATGACAACACTGCTTCTTGTCCCTGTGGTCGTCCTGTCTCGTCCAGTCCGGTCTCGAGCCTCTGTAGCCGCTCTGCGTATGCTCGCTGCGACAGTGCATGCATGTGCCGTCTTTTCACGAGTGTCCAGGCTCGAAATTCGTAGATCCCTGTCAAAGAAAGGTAGGTATATAGTTCGCTCGTCGATTCGAGTGGTCATTACAGTCTTGAGAAGGCTGAAGGAGGGGCGAACATCATCGCGAGAAGTCTTCAGCCTCGCGTACATCAAAAGTGTATTCATTCTATCTGACGGTGGGTGCATCGTGTGGTTTGGGATAATAAAGGGCGCGCGCTGCACGGGGAGTCTAACCAATCATGCAACAACGTTGCGACGAATTACAACCGATTCCTTCTAATGGTAAACCCTTCGTGATAATAATCTATTATGGTCCCCCTCCCTCGCGCGCGATCCAAGTTCGTGAATCATGTCGCCTTTTGGTAGGAAATCTCATCTCCCCGGCCTCGAGGTCCATGTCTGTAGGAGATCCGTTTGCTTTCCGCTTGGCCGCCCGGGGCCGCACTACCATCGACTTAAAAGGGCCACACCCACTTCCTGATCTCCTCGGGGTCGATGCCATCGTTGAAGGCCGCGGTGCGGTACTTGATCTGCGAGCTGAGCAGCTTCTCCCTGGCGCTGGCGCCCTTGTTGCCCAACTCGGGCATTCTGTCCAGCGCCTCAATGGCGAGGCTGAACCGGTCGGTGCGGTTGCGGATGGCGAGCTCGAGGGGGGTGTCGATGTTGCCCTTCTCATTGTAGCCGCGCACGTGCAGGTTGGCTTGGCTGGGGCGCTGGGCCGTCAGCCGGTGGATGAGCCAGGGATACGAGTGGAAGTTGAAGATGACGGGTCTGTTGGGTGTGAAGATGGCCTCGAATTCTCGCTGCGACATGCCGTGCGGGTGGTCGTGCTCCGGGATCAGCTTGAAGAGATCCACCACGTTGACAAAGCGGATCTTGAGCTCGGGAATGTACTCGCGGAGCAGCGCAGTCGCGGCCAGGGCTTCCATGGTCGGCACGTCGCCACAGGACGCCATGACGACGTCGGGCTCTTGACCCTGGTCATTGGATGCCCAGTCCCAGATGCCGGCGCCCTTGGTGCAGTGCTCGATGGCGGCATCCATGTCGAGATATTGCAAGTGATTCTGCTTGTCGGCAACGATGACGTTGACGTAGTTGCTGCTTCGGAAGCAGTGGTCCATCACGGAGAGCAGACAGTTTCCATCGGGCGGCAAGTAGATGCGGACGACTTCGGGAGACTTGTTGCACACGACATCCAGGAAGCCGGGATCTTGATGGGTGAAGCCGTTGTGGTCCTGGCGCCAGACGGTGGCCGTCAACAAAATGTTGAGAGACGCAATCTTGGCACGCCATTCGACTTCGAGGCATTTCTCAATCCACTTGCAGTGCTGGTTGACCATTGAGTCGATGATGTGGATAAAGGGCTCGTAGCTGTTGAGCATCCCATGGCGGCCAGATAGGAGGTAGCCTTCGAGCCAACCTTCAACAGTATGTTCGCTGAGCATTTCCATGACACGGCCATCGAAGGCCAGGTTGCCACCGTCTTCGTCTTCTTCGAAATATTCGCCCATCCACACTTTCTTACCAGCCTCGTAGACGCCGGCAAGCTTGTTGGATTCTGTCTCATCAGGTCCGAAAAGACGGAAGTTGTGTGGGTTCTTCGCGACGATGTCTCGCAGGAAGATGGCCATGTTCGACATGCTGGGTGCTTCTGTGATGCCTCCTTTCTCACAAGCCAGCTTGTAGTTGCGGAAGTCGGGCATGAGCAGCGGCTTCTTCAAGAGTCCACCGTTAGCGATAGGGTTAGCACTCATCCGCCGGTTGCCTGCCGGGACAAGCTTCTTGAGATCTGGGATCAATTTGCCGTCCTCTCCAAAATACTTCTCGGGCGTATAGCTCTTCATCCACTGTTCCAGGAGTTTCAGGTGTGCGTGACTAGACGCAACATCTGGGAGGGGAATCTGATGGGCTCGCCAGAAGCCCTCGAGGTAGTGCCCATCCACTATTCGTGGCCCTGTCCAGCCCTTGGGGCTTCGAAGGACGATCATGGGCCATAGAGGCCGGAACGCCTTTCCGGAATCCCGTGCTTTCTTCTGGTGGGCTCGAATCTCCAAGACGCACTTTTCCAGGGTGGCAGCCATTGCCTGGTGCATGCTCAGAGGATCGCTTCCTTCGACGAAATACGGCGTCCATCCATAACCGATGAACAGCGCCTCCAGCTCTTTGTGGCTGATACGGGCGAGAATGGTGGGGTTGTTGATCTTGTAGCCATTGAGGTGAAGAACAGGGAGAACGGCCCCGTCGGTGATTGGATTGAGGAACTTGGTGCTGTGCCAGCTGGTTGCCAAAGGACCAGTCTCGGACTCACCATCGCCGACCATGGTCAAAGCGATCAGATTGGGGTGGTCGAAAACGGTTCCGAAGGCATGTGAAATACTGTAGCCGAGTTCACCTGCCCAGTAGATTAGTTGCTGCCAGAAATAGGAAATAGGATCGTGGTTGGGGTTACTCACCTCCTTCGTGCAAACTGCCCGGCGTCTCGGGCGTGGCATGGCTACCAATGCCCCCAGGAAAAGAGAACTGCTTGAAGAACTTCCGCATGCCTTCTTCATCTTCGGATTTGTCCGGGTAAACTTCGCTATAGACGCCCTCCAGATAGGCCTGAGAAATCACGGCGGGGGCGCCGTGTCCCGGTCCGGAAACGAAGATTACATCAAGGTCATACTTTTTGATCAGGCGGTTCATGTTGACATAGGTGAAGACTTGCCCGGCGTCAGAACCCCAGTGCCCGAGGAGTCTGGCTTTCAGATCTTCGACCGTGAGCGGCTCTTTGAGGAGGGGGTTCTTCTTGAGATAAAGCATGCCAAGGCAGAGATAGAGACTGGCTCGCATGTAGTCATCCTGGAGCTTCAGCTCGTCGCTGCTGAGAGGCTCGCCCTTGACGGTAGAGCGGGCTTTGCCAAAGGACGAGATGCTCTCGACAGAGACATCCTCCTGGGCCGTGGACGACATGGTGGAGGGAACAAGAGAAGGGAGAAGACTGCAGCGGATCGCAGATGGGAAATCTATAAGGTGGGAAAGGCGGAAAGGGGGGGTGGGAGGTAGACGGTACAAGGTGAAAGTGAGGTTGTGGTGAGGGAAGAGTGAGGTTGAGGTGACGACAGGCGGAAGTGAGGAAAGGTTTATATACCAGTCAATGATGATCACATCTACTGCCTGCAGACACTACGTATCATCCATACATGTCCCAGTGAACCACAAGAAGCCCGGTCGTAACGGACGGCGGCAGGCACCGTGGATTGAATCCATTGCTAATCTAATCGGCGGGCGGTCGAGAAGCATCGTGATGGGGATGAGCGACATCTTTTTACCATTCTCGCCTTTGTCGCCTCCACGCCTCCAGTTATGCACCAAGTCGGTTGCATCAGAGTGCATTCAATGCGAGCTGCTCAATCCCTGCACGTGTCCGAACAAGGTTACAAGTGGGTGTGTGGGAAGCGGTATGAGTGATCCGAAGCATATGCTTGGGGGGGAGCTGCATCGTGAGCAAAGCTGACTGTTTTTCCCGCCAGCTTGAATCCAGGATTGGCGAAGCTAACTTGCACAGACCAATGCAAGGATACAAGGATACGAGCTTGGGCGAGTGAGGACACTGGGACCAGCTGGGGGAGCTGGGCAGAGGAGGGGCAGCGATGGCACGAACAAGGGAAGTTGCCGCTGACATGATCTGATGGTAATGGACTGGCCAAGGAAGCTGGAGCCCAAGCTCGCAACATCAGGAGATGCATAAACTTCGACGGGCGCGACATGTGAGGAATTTGTTCGATGCTGAAGGTTTCACGCCCTCAATCCAAGTCGACGGGTTTGTTGGGTGGTGTGAGGCACCGATGCACCACCGCCCACATCAGGCATAGCGGTATTTATGCCGCAGACAGAGATATGCGTTGCGCTCGGCTGTCCGGATTCCAGCCCATCTAGTGCCTGACCACCGATTGACTTTGGGTCACTCTCTGCCCGTCGTCCATGCCACTCGATTCTTCTCCAGACACCGGCCAGATCCACGAGAGGTCCTACAGGACAACGGCACGACGAACTGGTCATCGGACTTGTCCCCATGTGCTGCCATGTGCTGTACAGAAGAAAGAGATTGGAAAGGGAAAAATACCGCAGCTCGCGTAGGGTCGAAGCGAGCCGGGGACAATGCCACTCTATCAACTCTATCGCATTTCCCAACGTCCCAACCCACGAGGCTGGATTCAGTCTTCATGGGCCAATCTGGCAACTGGAAGCCTGGGTTCTTTCCCTTATCTCTTCACCACTATCCCAAAACCCTAACATCACGAGCAGCTCGGCCAACGCAAGGTCTGTAATCTGTACTGACAAACCCTCCTCTTTCAATGGGGGCCCTCGTTGAATGCATCCAAGCTTGTCTCAAGGCTTGGGTCTTGTTGTCCAGGATCTATTCAATCCAAAAGCCCAGCAAACGCTAACCCTCTCATGCAAGATTGCCGGGACCTGCGTCGATCAGGTCGTTAACGAAAGTTCCCGTATCCTGATCCGACACCAGGCAGAGGTGCTGTGCATGTAGCGGATACAGCCGTTCGATCACGTCTGCTCCGTTCTTGTGCCGTATGGGGGCTCGAGTCAGGGGTGGCATTACCGAGGGGGATCTGAGGGGATCTGGGACGGACGTGCCTGGCCTGGAGGAGGGGGTCCCATCTCGAAGTGGAAACGTCAAATGGTTGTGCTGCAACAGCCGATGAAAAATGACGGCCTTTCTATTGGCCAGGTCGAGATGATCGGTCTCGTGCGTGCTGGTTTGATCTTGGCCTGTACCTAGAAGGTGACCATGTGAGTATTTTCCTTTAGGGCATGGTCCTGACCACTAGCAATCAACCCCAAATTTGAACCTCCCAGCTCTAGTTTGGTCAAAATGCTGCGAGTGCGAGATATTGACCACACACTTCAGCTGTCTGCCATGGCCTGAGCAACTGGATGGCTCCAGGCCTCTGTCTAGAAGCCCGTCTCTTCTGCAAATTCTCGGTTGGCAGAGCACATCGATCGTCCAGCAATCGGCCACTGCAACGTTACCCGGGCAATGGCTGTGGCCTTTTCAGAGGCTTGAACCGGTAGGATGGATCCTTTGTTTCCTCTCCCTGGTTGCTGGTATTTTGGGCTGGCAAGTGCTCTGGTGAAGCTTCAGAACGAGGGTGGCATTCTTCTGCTGGATCACCCAATTGAGGCTCGACGATGAAGGGATCATTACCTGATGACAATTGCGAGTTCCCTTTGTCTAAGCAAGTGGCACGAGATCAGTTCTGGACCACCTGATGAGCCATCACATGTCTTTTTGTTGAGGTTTGGCACTGCTTTTGGCGCTTCTCCTGGCAGCCTGCGAGCTCCATCCTAGCAGCCAACACTTACTCAGGGCTGGAGACGACAGAATGTTTCAGGTGTCTGTAACAATCTGCGTGAAGAGCTCTTATCCGACCTTGAACAGCCTCCGATCAAGGTTTGTGAGGCCTTGATGATGTTGGGCTTCTTTATACTGCACCGTCGACAGACTGCGCTTCACACCGATACTGTCCTTGTCATCAAGTGCCGACCTCTTCTTCATCATCTCCCAAGTTTGGAAGGCGACGACATCCAATGTTGAAGCTGAATATGGAACGCGATGCCTCTCGTTGGGTCCGATACAGTCTTGGAATGGAAAGAGATGAAGGGCACTTGCATATCTCTCTTGCCTGTTCAGGAATTTGTGTTGGGATCTGCGGGGTTGATTTGCCCGGCGGACTTGAGCACCGCGGGCGCAGTTATCAATCCAACTCAGTTCAGTCGCTGAATCAATCACTCTCCATCCATCAATCAATCAATGCGCCCCTCGACTCCAAGTCTCTCCCTGTCTCGCTCTCTCTCTCTTGCCTTTCTCGTCTTATCACAAACATACATCCAGACCCCCGACAGGCGCCTCGCCGCGTATATTCTCGTGTCTTACTCATGTTGTAGGTATAAAGCATCCAACCTCACCCCTCTCTCACCAAGGTAATTCGTTCCATCTCTATCTTTGTCCTCGTGCTCTTCTCTCTGCCCATATCTTCTTGCCGTGTATAATTGGATCCTCACTGCCTTCACCATGTCCACCACAACTACCACCACCACCCTCACCCAAGTCCTCTCCTCTGACCCCCCGGCTTCCGAGCCTCAGTACTATGGAAAGCTGCGCTACATCCCTCAGGGCCAGACACCCACTCCGTCTCCTCACAACTTCCATCTCCCTGCCATGGCCGAGTTCGGTGACGTCCGGCTCCAACCTCTCATCGACATGCGCCCGGTCCCCACCATCGCCGAACTGCCCAAGGCAAAAGAAGGCGCCGCCCAGCTCGACACCCACGGCTTCACCGCCATCCGTCACCCAACCACCATGAACGCTGCCCCTTACACCCGCGCGAGCTGGAATGACCCCAACCTGCTCAAGCAACTCTACGTGCCCGAGACGGAGGAGATGGTCAAACAAGTCACGGGCGCGAAGACCGTCATCACCGAGGCTCTGCTGCTCCGCAGCGCCATCTGGTCCGAAGCAGATGCTCTCGCCACACACGCCGGCCATGGGGACCAAAAGGAAGAACAGCTGCCGCAAGAGAAGTCTCAGGAAGAGAAGGATCTCGAGCTTGGGTTCCCCCAGTTCATCGGTTTCTCCAAGCAACACGGCGGCGCCAGTCCCGCCCCGAAGGTCCACCTGGACTACGCACCCAACGGGGCGCGGACGCATCTGAGGAAGTACCACCCCACCATGACGGCCACCGCGCAGCCCATCATCGACGCCGAGGAGAAGCTGCTCGCGCAGGGCAAGTCGCTGAGAGAAGACTACGCCGAGTCCGGCCTCGGCCCTCGCTGGGCGCTGTACTCGATCTGGCGGCCCTTGAAGCGCGTGCGCCGTGACCCCCTCGCCCTGGGCGACGCGCGCACCTTCCTCGAGAGCGACTACGTCCCCGTGATTGTGAAGACGCCCAACCTCGGCATCTCCCCCGACTCGAAGGACACTCACGACACCGAGTCGTACCTCGCGCGCTGGTCCTCGGGCCAGAAGTGGTACTTTATCAGCCAGCAGGAGCCCGAGGAGGTGTTGGTCATCGGCCTCTTTGACAGCAATCGCGACAAGGAGACCGTCGCCGCCGGCGGCACCTTGCACTCCAGCGTGGATCTGCCGGGGACCGAGGATGAAGAGCCCAGGGAGAGTTTGGAGCTCCGATGTTTGGCTATCTGGTAAAGGCATGCGGTAAGGTATGGAAGTGGACGGGTTGGTATATATATATCCTGTGAAGCTATGTGCACGCTGGAGTTACGTGGATGACGTTTAGTAGCAAGGAACTGTGGCGCCGCAGAACACATATACACATTGAGACGTCTCTGCAATTCACAGACCCTAGTTACGTAGTTCGCGATAGAATGATGTAGATTTTGAAAGGTCCGAGTTCTCTTTGGAGTACTTTGGGTTTTCTCATAACTACCTGTTTGCAGCCTACTGATAGTCTTTTCGCTGTTCCTCCAGCCACACACATGTCGTTGCGCAGGCACTTTGTATCCTGCGTCGCGCTCCGCCGTCCAAAGAGGCACAAGTAACCAACAACCCACGATATGACCATCCCGTCCGCACGGATCACAAGACACGCATAGGACCTCGCTATGTCGGCCACTCCGTAAGGATCTTACTGCTTGAGGGCCAAGCCGATCGAGTTGAGGTACTGACACCTCTTCCTGACGGCCGTGCTGACCTCGGCCATGCCCGTCGTCTCGGCCGTGTCGAAGAGCATTCTCATCCAGTCACCACCACCACCGCCGCCGGCGGCATCGGCACCCGCGCTGCCCTCCTGATCGGCGAGCGTAAACTCCTGCCACATGGGTGCGCCCTGGGCCCTGAAGGGGTTCGGGTCGAGCGCGCGGATGAAGCTGATCCAGTAACCCTGCAAGAGCGGGACGATCCACGCGTTGGGCCCGCCGCGGCGATAACTCGCGGGAGCCGCGCCGTTGGTGTTCTCGGGCCCCCAGATGGCCGAGAGCTCGACCGTGTGCGGCACGCCCAGGCCCTGGCGCACCTGCGCGGCGTCCTGCACGTTGAACCAGTAGTTCCAGTTGCCCGGCACGCCGTACCGCGCGTAGCTCGACGAGATGAACAGGTTCGGGCACATGTACCGCATGTCCCCGTACGCGTTGGAGACCTGTCGCCACCAGGAGCCCGAGTTGGGGAACTGCGGCCCGTGGTTGGGATAGAGCTGGTCGATCTGCTGCAGCTGGTCGAACGTCAGGTCGGGGAACTGGTCGTGCAGGAACGTGTTGGACTGGGCCAGGCTGGATGTCCCGCGCGGAGTGAAGATCGTCCCGCCGTTCGTGTCGTCGCCGAACAGCACGGGAACGCGGACGAAGTGGCCACTGTCGAAGGCCGCGTAGGTGTAGTTTTGGATCAGCGTGTTGTCCAGCACCGGGTTCCACATGTACAGAGGGGGATTCTGTGCGCCGGGATACGGCACGTTGTGGTTCTGTCCCTGGAGCTGTGCCGTGGTCTTGGAGCGGAGACACGACAGCGTGTCGTCCTTGACGGTTGAATCTTGACTCGTGGCGCGTGGCGCGCAGCCAAGGCGTTTCGCGAGGCTGTCATATTGGTACTGGCTTTCCTCGACGGTCAGGATGGGTGCGAAACTGACCGATTCGGCGGCGGCAGCGACAAACAACCCGTCATCTCGACCGCCGTATGCGGTTAAATGGTAGGCAATGGATGCGGCGCCCGCGGAATCTCCACCCAGAACAACGTGCTTTGGGTCTCCGCCGAACTGGGAAATGTACTTCTGCACCCATTCAAGTGCTTTGCGTTGGTCCTTGAGACCGTTGTTCAAGCTGGCGGACGGCGAGTCCTGGATTTCGCGACTGGCGAGGAAACCGTACGGCCCAACGCGGTAGTTGAAGGTCACGACAATCAGCCCATGGCCGGACGTGGTGATCAAGCCGCTGCCGTTGTAGTTTGCATTTGCGTTGAAGTTGAAGCCACCACCTTGAATGAAGAAATAGACCGGCAGTTTGGAGGTGTTGGTTGCGTGACTTGGAGCGTAGACGTCCAAGAAGAGACAGTCTTCGGATAATCTTGGGTCGTGAGCATTGTTGCCCGTTCCAAAGCAGATGTCACCGTGCTGAAGACACCATTAGAGACGGCCACGCACCGATCGGTAGAGGGGAAGTGTCAGTCACCTTGTTCGCTACGTGAATACCGTGGACAATGGGAGGATCTTGCGGCGCAGCGAATCGCAAACTTCCCGTCGGCGGTGCGGCATATCGCATCCCAAGCCATTGAGTGACCCCGTTCGCAAGGGCTGTGCCTTTGTAAGAGGCGTAGTCGAGGAGGACTAATTCATCGGCAGCGAACACGGTCGAGAGACAACAAAGAATCAGGGCTGGTAGCATCATCGGCGGTGAGTGTGAAGCTCAGAGCCGAGGGCGCGCGTCTGCGTGTGAACGATAATTTTCATTGAGCCACACCCTTGAAGTACTGGCGAGAGTTCATCCTGGCCAAATTTTCATTTACAAATCAGCAATCTTCACGAATTCCGTGAGCCCCTTCTTTCCGCAGTCAGGCACTTCTCGAGTCTTGGTACTTCAGGTGAGATATTCAGCGACGCGACGTCGCGAGGCGCAGCGCACGAGAGGAGAATCCACCATGGTTTGGGAGGGTCCCCCAAAGACGGCAGCAGAGACGTTGCTGGGAGATAAAGCTCCCGGATATGAGCAGCGTTGTGAGAATGTAGTCAACTGCGCTGAAAGGGACAGCCGATGTTTCGGTACACGCGGCCATTCCCGGTTTTGTCCAAGTTCTGCGTCATCACGGGCCTAAGTGGTGCGGCACAAGCAGGCTAAAGTCGAGTACAGCGGGATAAATCCGGTGACAATTGGGAGTTGTAAGGGAGCTTAGAAATGTCTTCCACAGAAAGGCCTTGTTTGGATGACCGCTGCGTCGATTCGAGAATGATGAGATGTTGAGCGGATGTCAATGGGGGACCGCATCGGCAATTCCCGCTTTCACGACCTCCCAGTCGATCCCGCCAATGTCGTCGCCTTTCAGCCTGCTCAGCGCAGGTGAACCGCTGGCTGACCTCCCCATCATAATTACCCTTGCCATGAGAGAGTCCTTTGCACCGGGCAGCTTGGAAGCTGTACCGTCCAATATGCAACGCTCGAACCAACCCTCCTCCTGGTCGGTCAACGGCAGTCCAACGAGAAGCGTCGCTCGCTCCGCACGAGCATGGCCAGGGCTGTCCTCAAGTACGGCAACAATAAGTTTCTCAAACAGCGTTTTGTGTCTTGCTTCGTTTTGTCGTTGCGCGAAATAATATGCTTCCACCAGGTTGTTGCTTATGACCAACTCGAAATATGCTTCAAGCGCTACCGGATCTTCCAGTGGGGGAGACATAGCAATATAGTACGCCGTCGCCAATGAAGGCTCGCATTTTGGATGTCGAAGTAGTGTAAGGAGGATCTCGTCAGTAAAGGTCGGTGTTAGCGATGGGTCTGTGAGGTGTTCGAGGGCGCGAGAGAATTGAGCGTGATCGAGTTCCCACAACCCAGCAACCAGAAGCTGCCATCTCTGAGGGAGGTATGTTCTTCGGGCAAAATTTGAGTCGGCGTTCGGCAGCTGGCGACAGTCTCTGAGCAAGTAGTATAGAAGGGCAAGTTTCTGCTCATCGGGAGCGGTCGACTGAACGATCTTGGACCACAGATTGCGCAGATCCTGGTTGGACCGGGGTGGATAGTTATTCCTTGCAGCTGATATTTGATCAGTAACCCTGACAAATGTTGGTAGCGAGCGAGGTCTCACGTCTTGTAAGACCAATCGTCTTCCAGATGCGGTCGAAGAATAGCTGGTCGCCGAACTCCTTGCGATGCTTGATGATACTCTCTACCGTCCGGGCGTCATAGGCATAGTCGGTCTTTGGCTGAAAGACGGCGTCAAAATCGTGCCAGTTGAGCATTTTGCACTGTGGCAGCAGGTTCCGCCGGACGCTTCGTGGTGGGATGTCAGTAATTGGTGTCCTAGTTTGCACGCAGTGAGGCTGCCAGTTTGACTTGGTTGGCCAACTGCGTCTCTCCTCCGCGTATTCGGTAGATCGCGTGTGGCATCAACAGTCTTCTCCGCACTCTGCCACGTGACAGCCTGCAGGGTCTAGTTCTTATGTCAGCGGCTTGGCGGGGATCCGGCAAAACTCCAAATCCGGCTTGATCAATCCATCCCTTACCGAATACTTCAACGAGTCGGTTCCGCGGTTGTTCTCTTCATTACCGGAATTGTACTCTGCATGAAGTCTTGAACGCAGATCGTAGATGCCCAGGCTCTAGAGTAGTCTTGGGACTGATTGGAAGCGAATCATATCACGACGGTGTCCCACAACGAGCTTACAATCAGTGGATGGAAGAACCGTGAGACGAACCCCGCGTTATTGCTTAATGTCAATCGCGCGTAGGTAAACCTGGATACTAACACAATGGCCCGAGGTGAGATTCTCTTCCCTTACCCCGTCATCTCTTTACACATATATAAAGACCAAGCCTGCCCCTCCGCACGCCCACATCAGCGCCAAACAAACCACATTGATCGTATATTTTGTCAAACGTCACAATGGGCTCTGAGCGTTATCCCGTCAAGCATAAAGGCATCTACCACAATCTGCCAACCTTCGACCCATCCATCAAGGACCTCACAGCCATCGTCACTGGCGCCAATGGCATTTCCGGCTTTCATACCATGCGGGTGCTGCTTGACAGCCCCGAGCGCTGGAGCAAAGTCTACGCCCTGTCGCGCCGCCCTCCTCCCAAGGAGATGATGGCTCTGCTTCCGGAGTCTCAGCGAGCACGCGTACAACATGTGGCAGTCGATTTTTTGGAGGACCCCAAGAAGATTGCTGATGCAATGGCCTCAGCTGGTGTTAAAGCCGACTATATCTTCTTCTACTCTTACCTGCAGCCCAAACCTCCGCCAGGAACTGCCGTGTGGTCCAATGCCGATGAACTGGTCAAAGTGAACAGCGCGCTACTCGATAATTTTCTCCAGGCCCTCACACTCGCTAAGGTCACTCCCAAGCGGTTTTTGCTTCAAACTGGTGCCAAGAACTACGGCATTCATGTCGGTCGTGGCCGCACACCCGCTATCGAATCCGATCCGCAACCGGCGCACCTGGAACCAAACTTCTACTACCCACAAGAGAAATCGCTGTTTGAATATTGTAAAGCCAATAACACCACGTGGAACGTCATCCGCCCAGCTTGGATCCTTGGCGCAGTCAACAACGCCCAGATGAACGCCCTGCATCCTTTCGCTCTGTATGCCGCGGTCCAAGCTCAGAAGGGTGAACCTCTATATTTCCCGGGAGATTGGGACACCTGGCAATTCGAGTGTCACCATTCTTCTGCTATGTTGACGGGCTATTTGTCCGAGTGGGCGGTGTTGGAGGACAAGTGCAAGAATGAAGCCTTTAATTCCCAGGACACAGGGCCGGTGAGCTGGGACCGCTTCTACGAAGAGTTGACACGTTGGTTTGGCGTTGAGAAGGGTGTGCACCCCCCCGAGGAGGATCTGAGCAAGTTCCATGAGATCAAAGGAAGGGGTGGAAAGGAGTCTCCCATGGGGTGAGTGCAGGAATTTTGACTTGGCATTAGAGGTCGCTAACTCGGTCACAGCTACGGCCCTCCTCCGACCTTTCGCGCCCTGTTTTCGCTTGTCGCCTGGGCTTCAGAACCTGCAAATCAAGAGGCCTGGCAGCAGCTCATGAAGGCTTCCGGAGGTCAGCTGACCGATAACCCGTTCAAGGATCCCCAAGCAAACTTTGAGTTTGGCGACGCCGCCTTCATGAAGTTTGGGAGCTTATGTATGAACAAGGCTAGAAGAATGGGCTGGACAGGCTTTGTCGATACGATCGAGGCTCTTTTTGAAATGTACTCCGAGATGGGCGACCTGGGAATGGTACCTCGGATGAAGGTTGATAAACCCAAGCCTTTGGTGTAAGGCGGGCAGATTGATATCCTTCTCCTTGCGTTGATACGCTGGCTATGTTGCAGTTTAGTTGTCTCTTACTATCGTCTCAGCTGTTTGCCATAATCAGTTAGCAGCCTTTGCAGAGCTTCGATTTGACTTATATTGAGGGCCGTTGTCTTGGGTGTTCACAGCTTCAGCGGACGGCTTGAAACGCCGTTCATAGACTAGATATACAGCCATAGAGCCAGTTCAACAAACGACCAAACATACATTGATGTTTCCTCCTACGAAGGTGTGTTGCTCGTGCGAATTTACAATGCCGTGATCGACGTCGGCAGGACACTATATTCTGTGGGCCTGACCAAATCCCGCAAGGATACGAAGAGTTGATTCGATCAAAGTCAAAACCCACACTCTCTTTACCAAGTTATGCTATGGGGTATGAAACTCAAGTACGGCATAAAGACAAGCGATTTGAGTGAAGCCGCACTCATTGGTTAGGATACGGTTGAAAGAACTGTTGAGGCCGCACTGTAACGGGATCAAGGGGATGAGGAGGCTCTGTTTATATGCTTCTATCGATGCAATGAAAACCTTCATCGTCATTTGCAACACCACAGACCTTCACACTGACTAGTCGAAAACGACGGCCGACTGCTGTTTGTCGGACCTTCTCATCGTTCTTGCAAATATTTCTCCGTGACTCGCCAGCAGCAGCCGAAAGTAAGGGCGTCTGGATGAGGATGAAGAAGCTGCAGGTGTGCATTTGAGGTGTGCAGGACACAACTGACCTCAACCAAAGCATTAACGTCAAAACCAACTGCTCAGCTTGAAAGAATTTGTCTTCGGCAAATGCTTGCACCTCAACCGTCGGCGACTCGGTGTAGAGGGGGCCATCGACAAAAGTTGCCGTATTCGCGAATGATGTCGAGCTGCAGCATGCGTACAGGTTGTGGCTGTCACGGCCAGATCTCGACATTCTATTCGTTCACTCCAAGGACGGTGATCCCTGGCGCGCGTCAACCCAACAGACGCCACAGTGTCAAGGACAGAAAGAGGGGTGTGAGGAAGGCATCTAAATGTGCCCCCCACGAAGATGATTGGATACAGTCGAGGAGTTTTAGCACGCCAATCGCCTAGACATGCTGGAGGGAATGAGGTGATCCGATCTTTTCTTCTTCTGTCGGTTATCTGAGGCAGGATCTAGTCTGGCGAAGCCCGTCAGATTGGACTGAACGGGGCAAAAGAAACTTCAATGCAGTGTGAGGCTGGATACGAAGCTGTCCCCGCTCCCCGGCCCTGGATCCTGGTCCCTTGTGAATCTGCCATTCGATACCAAAAACTTCTTTCTCCCAATTTGACATGTCAGCTTGTCATCATGTGCATAGGGGGAAGCGGACCTAGCAATGAGCTAAGGTATAGTCCCTCCTATTGACCCAATCAATATGGCGTTGTCCAGGCCCAATCAGGAGGACTCCTGAGCGCCATGCCAGCAGAGCCCTTGAGGCCATATTGTCGCTGCAATGGGGTTGACAGGAATGCAAAAACACAAGACATGCCCAACCTTTTCGAGACTGCCATTTGGCGTCTCTTTCTTCTCCCAGTTTCGTATCAGCATGTCATCCAATTTCCCGCCTAATATCCCGAGCCACAGCAGGACTTCCAGCCATGGCCTTCCTCTTGCATTTTCCCTTTCACGAACTCCACCGCTCCAGAGTTGCACGACATTTGGCAAGCAGACAGCCGTGCAGCACCTCTCAGAGACTATGGTAAGCAGGGATCTGCCCGGGAGATAGCCAGAACACTATTGAAAGTGGTTAACAAGGCGGAATTGTATCGTTCAACTCTGGCTCGTCTCCAGCTAGAGCTAGGATTGCCCGACAATACCGTGAAGCGACTTGACGCAACTATCAAAGAACTGATTGTCCCCTCTGTCACACCAGATCCTGACATCTCCGTTCTGAACTACGGGGTGGATTTCAAGGCCGTTGCCGATTCCATTAACCGCCACCCTGAGTTCAAGTATTATTTTGAGAGAACACGTTCCAGAAACTGGGAGACCTGCTTCAACAACGCTCTCTATTTCTGGGCTCACGCGGTTTGCGGGGTTGCAGAGCTCCGTCGCAAACAGACATCAACGGTCCAGAGATCATCATACAGCCCGACACCTGGATCCCCCGATGGCCCGGAATCCACTGGTGGCGGTGAACCATCTGTTACCCCAGCTTCCTTTGCTACTGGGGACACTCCTGATTCCCCCGACGATATATTCGTCGCTCCTCACGGCAGCCTCAGCCAGCTTGCCGGGGATCTCTGGATGAGGCTCTACCCTGGCAAATATGCCAATTGCATCGAGATACGGGCAATCAGCGGCGCCCAGGAAGAAGTCTTGAGTGGGCGCATCGAGGACCTGTTCCGTGTACGTTGTCCGCCTGGTCTGAAGAAGAATGGGTATGACTATATCTTGCCTCACTGTCGAAGATTTCTGGAGAAGAACAGAAAAGCTCCTCCCAATGCTGAGGTCGAGCTCTTCTACTACGTCAAAATCCCGACCACGGCAAGCCCGATCCGGGTCAAGATATGGGATAACGTGACGTGTGACCTAGCCTACGATATTTGGGCAGGCCTTGAAAACAACAGAATCCCCTTCATGCTCTTTCTGGACGACCAAAGGTACACCCGATCGCCATTGACACTTCCTCCCCCTCAGATTTCACCCAGACGATCACCCGAAGACATCCAAAACATTTCACAATCGACATTGACACTTCCGCCCCCTAAGATTTCACCCAGACGATCACCCAAAGACATCCAGAACTTTTCACAATCGACATTGACACTTCCTCCCCCTAAAATTTCTCCTCAACAATCACCCCCGGGCACCCAGAACCCCTCGCGAGGCACGTTCCATCTGCGTGGGAGCTATTGACATTCTAAAGCCACATTCTCGTTAACACAACGTCATACACTTCTCTGGGGACACCCGCCCAACGAAAACGAACCCACAACCACAATCAGGCTCTCACTCCCGATCTCGCATCAGGGAATCTCAGGAGACGAGCACTACGAGACGCACCCTTCCATCACGGCCATCTGAAATCTAAGCAACAAAGTACTTGATAGCATATAGTGGCCAGCGCAATTCTGCAATCCTCCGACGGCAACAGAGTGAACAATGAGACACTGGGGCGCTTGTGATTGGATTGACGCAGCAACGACGGGAGCGTCTCCAGAAGAGTGAGATGCCGACCTACAGCATTAATGCTCAGCTTTCAGGATGAATAGTTCCAAGGTTTCCACGTACATACGAGTGGGCCATAGAGTTCAAAGGCCAGTTCAGAGGAAAGCTAAGCCATGCAGTGCCACGAGACGGGCGCTCCTTTCGAGCTGAGTGACCCGTCTGGTAAACTTTCCTCTCCAAAGCCTATGACGGACCGAAATTCTGAACGCCTTGAGGGTGGGCTTCCTCGTGCTCCTCTTGTATAACGAGACCTGATACGCAACTGTAAAGACGCGATCTACCACACGAGCTTCCGGAGTGCTCTTTTTCGGCGGCTTTACCGTTCACCGCCTGTTGCACAAGACAAATAGGGCCGAGCCCGAAGAAATATCCCACACGTGAACGTACCGTGGATGGAGGGCGCACGGGCCAGGTGGCTTGCATTAGCCTCGTCAACATGGGCACATGGTACGGGACAAAATGCCCCTGCGCTGTTCCCGTCCAGGTTCCCTATCCCCCCTCTTCACGTCATGGTCCTCTCGCCTAGCTATGTCGGGGCTGGGGAAATTGTGTCAAAAAGATCCGATGATTCATGCAGTCGGGATTGGGTCGGGCATCAAGTTCAAGGTTGCCACCTGGATCACCTGGAACCAACCCGCCAAATCAGTCTTTCTGGGCCTACTTCAAATCACAAACTGAGATCCCGGCTCTTCGAATCAGATTGAGTTTCTCGTAGAGCTAGCCGAGTGATGGGACTCGCGGCAAGACGGCGCGAGGGCAAAGAACCGAACAAAAAAACCAGAAAGGGGTAGATGACTTGAACATGGGGCCTGGAATGCTGCTCTGTTGTTTTCATTCGCGGGACCGAAAGCTCGACGGCAGCTCCGTGTGCTGAACAAAGACCCCCCCCCCCTGTCCTCTCTCAGCTCGCGCGAGGCTGAACTTGAATTCCGGATGGTTGATTGCCCCCGCACTTTCCTTTTGGCTTTTTCCTGGCCAAGAAAGGTATCTGGGCGGAGAGGGCTTTGCCAGCTCAGTGCTTCTGTCGTCGGTGTGCCGTCTCTTGCTCATGGGCACATGCTGTGTTGCCCTTGTGATGGTAGCGGTGGCGGCGTCTACCCCGTTCTGTTTCCTTTTTTGACTTTTTGGGCCACTTTCAATCCCTTGCGAGCTCCTGCCAACTCCACTGTGTCGGTTGTGATTTCCGGCACTCAAATTCGAGAATGGTGTGTGTGTGTGTGTGTGTGTGTGTGTGTGTGTGTGTGTGTGTGTGTGTGTGTGTGTGTGTGTGTGTGTGTTGCATTTCGTGGCCTCTTGGGACGTTGAATCACGCTTGAGGAACGTTGAAGCGGATCTGATCTCTTGCCGTCGTGCTTGGACGTCTGTTTTGTTTTGATCACTCCTCCAGCTTTTGTTGGTGACCTCTCTCCATCCGGTCCGCCATTGACCTGGCAGTGGGCAGCTGCTCTCTGCGGAAGATGAGCTTCATATCACGGCGGTCTTCCCGCTCAAGTCCAAGGACGAGCCT